AAGTACTTTAGTCACGGGTTTTAGTCACGGGGTGGTATAAAATGCTATTTTAACCAATAACAGCCTGTAACAAAGCAATTTATTAAAATTTCTAATAAAAAACGGCAATTAAATGAATTGTCCTCACAAAAAATATAAAATAAAGTTAAAACACACATAACCTCACTTTTAGAAACTACTTTTGTTTTGAAGTATACTTACAACATGCTATTTCGATTTTCCTTCCTTACAAATCATACACGCATCATTTTTCCACCCTCTTACAAGAAAAATCGCTGTAATAAATTTGCAATTATTTGCCTGAAGAAGAAAAGTCAATGAAGCAGCGCTAAAAGCCAATCCAATGGCGCACATTTAAATAAGCCAACATTGACTGATGTTGTGTTCGCGAAAACGACAACAATGCCATCCGTTTTCCGGCTGGCTGTGAGATGCGGGTGGTGCTTGTCCTTGCACGCTTGCGATCCTTCTTGCCTCCTCTTTCTTCATGCCCAACGTTTGTTATGAACTCCGTTCGGACATCGACCGAGTGATTTCGTTCGGACGCAATGTAGCATGGCATCGTACCATCGCACGAAATGGACGACTGAGAGTTAAGTCCGCAGATGTGCTCGACTGTATGTATAATACGGCTGCATGTGTGGAAAGGAGTCGAAATGTAAGGAATAAAAAAAAGGGCCACTTGCCAGTCACAGAACGCGTAGTAAACTTTTTAACAACATATGTACGAATGTCGTGACCGCACTTTTACGAGGTTGGTACGCTTACACGTCGCTGGTATTGTCATCTTTATAATCCTCGTAACCTAGATTTTCAATATCGTAAATTGAGGATACTACAATAACACCATCTATGTTTTAAATACAGAAAATGTATTTAATCAAGTTTTAATCAAATAAACGTCATTTTTTTTGTTTTTGGAGGCAAATAGAGAACATAACCTTATTTTTATCATTTACTTTGACGGGTGATGGTTTTGGAGGTTAAATTTGTGTTTTTGACAAGAAATCAACTTGTAATTCTGTTAGTTCTGTCAAAAAATACAACTTAACCTTATTTTTATTAATTTACCGTAAGAAATATGAGCTAAGAGGTTAAATTTGTGATTTTGACGACATATTAACACGTAATTCAGTCAGTACTGTCACAAAATACACCTAAACTTTATTTTTATTAATTTCGTGTAAGAAATACGAGCTAGAAGCTTAAATTTGTGTTTTTACCTACATATTAACACGTAATTCTCTCAGTATTGTCAAAAAAATACAACTTAACCTCATTTTTACTTGTTTACTGTTACATATATGAGCTAATAGGTTAGATTTGTGATTTTTGACAACTTATGAACCCGTAATTCTGTCAAATTCGATTATTTCGGACAAAAAAAACCAACATAACCTCAATTTTAAGCCATATTTATGTAATATTAATACCTAACTTTAAATTATACCCAATTTTCCAACTTGTGCTCAAGACGTTTAACATTTCTTCATTCATTAACAGTCGTAGTTATTGAAACAAAACGCGCGCATGGCAGTCTCATGTCCCACGCCGTAATGCGCGTAATTCCCGCCGGAAAGTTTTGCGCCAGCGCGTGCGAAGACGAACCGGAGGCGCAATTTCCATGTATAACTAATTTTCATAGGTAATGCACGCTTTGTAATAACCCGAGATGCGTCTCCGGAGATTTAACGCGCGCAAATTAGCATGCCATTTCGCGCGACGCGCCGCCATCTCAAGTCTGCGACCCTATCTGCCCTAATTAGCAGCCCGTCGCAGTGTCGCACACATAATATATGTATTAATATTATTCACATAACGGACCGACAACCTTGTCACTTATAACACGCTAAATACCAAAATAAAAGTAATAAAACCGACGTTACAGCATAAATTTCCACAGAAAATGTGGGAATTTACATTTTCAATGTTACAGAGATGTCATCGCTGTAAATCAGTATTCAATTACGCAAAGAATAAATATTTATAGAATCCGGTGAGTTTGCGATACGCATTGCGATGATGACGAGCTTTTGACGTGCGCAAGTACCTACCTGATTGCTCATCATCAGCGACGGCTAAAAATATTATTTGGCATCGGTGTTTTTAGTCAAATGCTGCATTCCGATTATAAATAAATTATCATCACATGCCATCCGAATTCATAGGCATGGCTAGACTGCGTTGGGAGATATTCAATCGTTAATACAGAATAATAAATTAAAATGTAACTGGTATTTTCAAAATGCAATATGTTTGTAATTTAAAAGCAATATGAATTTTATAGTGAGTATTTAATTTATGGTTGGAGGACTAAATTTAGTTTTATGAGGTGGAAATGTGGAAATGTGGCAAAAATGCATATAAATGTCGAGTTTACGATATGAAGAACATGTTTTAGTTTAATTATACTTTTATCTGCATAGGTTTTTTATTAAAAATTGATAAATTAATTGGTTTCTTGATTTTTGAGTTAATTATGAGCCGTATTTGTCATTGGAATTTTCAATTTTGAGTTTAATATATAAAAAATGCAAACAATACAGTTGCAGCGCCATCTAGAATTGCATGATATTACTATTGCGATGATTGATACTCTGCATCAACTTTAAACCTTAACTTTTACCCTTTTTAATTATTTTTTTGCAACAAAAAGTAGTCTATGTCTTTTTCCAAAGTCTAGTTTATCTTTATACCAAAATTTATCAAAATTGATTTAGTAGTTTTTGCTTGAAAGCGGCACAAACAAACAAATAAACCCAAATATGCATTTTTTTACTTTTAAAATTTTTATTTAACCTGAAAATCTATAATTTCCTCACTTTTATAAAAAAATACTCTAAATAACGCATTTCAATTGATTAATTGACTTTATATTTTAAAACATCCAGAACTTTTAACTTATGTAATAGAAAGTAGAGCACTGCGAAGTTTAGCAACAAGAATTTCTTATACCCTTGACAGTCGACAGCAAGCCGAACTTGCTCAGTCCACATTCGCGAGACGTCGCCGAACACAAACACAAAAGTCAAACAGCGCAACTTTCGCAAAGTCGATCTGACTAATTGTGTTAGATTTAATTTCCTCTAGGACTATTGTCTATTCAGTCACTGAATCCGGCTGGAATCGACTACAAATGCGCGAATTATTTAAAAGCAAAAGTAACACAAATGTTGCTAATCCAATTACAATTAAATTCATGCACAACACAAAAAGCGTGAAATTTACCAATCAAAATTCTATTCATACCAGTATTAAACAACCCACACTCTTTTTTTCACTCATCTACAAAATATGTGTTTGATTTATTTTCGTTTCGAATACAAGTTCAAATTATGTAATTATGTTTTTGTCATTACTCATCCAGGCATAGGCATTGCGTGCCTTTCGCAAATACCAAATAAATTATTTAAGTATTTGGTGTGAAAGAGCAGCCAAGTTATTTTTGAAAATTCACTCGCGTTTAAAAACATACAGGAATGTTGGTAGGTGGGTGAAACTAGTGAATATACACGCTGAAAGTTCACATCTTTCTCGCACAGATAAAAAAATCTTTTTTTCGCTGCGCGTGCCGCACACAGTGCATAATAAACGAAAGGTTTTAAATATTTGATCAGCACGCAGCGTTTGAAACATCATCACGTTTTTTACCTCCCCCACATCCACGTCATCCGCACACAAAAGAAAACAATTTTCCAGTGCGTTGCGCGGTGTTATCATTGAAACAAAAAAAAAAGCGAGTCTGTGAGAGACTAGGAGTCTGTGAATGTGAATGATTCGGTTCGAACTCGAAAATAGAGTTTGAAAATTCCGATTTAAAATAGTCGCCCGGCACTGAACTAGAGTTTTCAGCGCGTTTCACGCACGCAGAGCGAATTTGTGAAATAAAATTCACGCGATATTAATGCGTGTACAAATTATGAGGTGACAGCTCATTATCATAAACAAAACATGTTTATTTGCATAATGGGAGCGCATCGCGAGGTGGTGCTCGTTGCACTCCGTTAACTGGAGAATAAACTAAACTAATGAGGGAAAGATAACGTGGTGGAGAAAAAGAAAAAAAATGGGTTGTGGGTGAGAGCATGACATGTGGGAAAGGAAAATTTGCTTTAATGATTGTATAGGTAGACGAGGTCAAGGAAAATTTATTTGTGAAACAATTAAATTACAATATTTTATTTAATTTAAAAAGGTTTTTCTGCAAAATTAAAAAAAATTTCTTGAAATTAAAAGTTTTTTAGTATTTTTTAACTATTTCTGAATCAGTTGTCAAACTCTGGAGTTAATACTGTTGCTAATTATGACAAAAATAACAAATTTATTAAATGTTTTCAATTTTTTTTAATTTTCAATTTTCAACCCTAATTTTACATCCTTCTAGTTATATTTTTGTAACAAAAAATAGTTTATTTGCTTCTCCTTGATTCTAAATATCTTTATACCAAAATTTATCAAAATTGGTTCAGTGGATTTTGAGTAAAAGCGTAACAAACATACAAACATTTTTTATTTTACCTAAAAATCCACAACTTTTCAACTTTTATCACAGAACATCAATAAAATACTCCAAAAACATTTCAATTGATTATTAAAAACTACTACTTAACGTAAATATTTAATTTTTTTCTAAAAAAATTTTAATTTTGCAAAAAATTCATGTAATAATTTTAAAAAATTATCTCCTGAAATTTAATACAAATGTGTTTCTCCATTAAACTTGGCAAATATTGAATTGTGTCTGCGAAATTTAATCTTTATGATAATGTAATTATCATAAATTAAAAAAAGCTTCATAAATAAAAAAAGCGAATAGATATTAATTCCTCTCGTTAAACAAAACATGATTTACGGGCTGCACCACGTTGGTGGTCGGCAAATATTTGCTTCGAGTTTTCCACTCGCTTGCCGATAATCGCGTGACCCTGTCTGCGGCGCGCATCGCCACCAGCTCGACAACGACGGCGGCGGCCGGTTGTCATCCCGGCAGTTTCTATTTAGAAGTCTCAGCTGGCCGGCGGCCGAGCGTCGCCGAAAACTGTGCCAGCGAAGAGCGCGACGCCGACCCGGCCCGGCCTTACATCACACCTGCAGTCGGTGATATCGCGCGCTCGGCGCCGGTTAATGAAAATCCGCCGCCGCAGTGCATCCTCTAGTGCTACGCTATATTCGCATACGCGCGTGCCGCCCCTGCCGCCGCCAAAATAGCGGCGTTTAGTGATTCCAGTACTTTTGCATACACGTCCAGTGAGTGAAAAAAAATGAGTGCATTGTTTTGCAATAACAAGAATTCAATCAAAAAATTGATCAGAATTACTTTAATGTACGTTTGAATGATCAATAAAAATCGCATTAACTCTGTTTTTGCATTTTCCACTAATTTTTCATTTAATGATTCCCTTCTTAATGCTGCCGCTTAACTCCGTAAAGCAGTTTTATTTAAGCAATTAACCGAATGGATTGCGTGATTGATTCCAACATTCGCTGGCTTGTTAACTGCTTAGCGGGAGATCTAATGGTGCTAACTAGAGAAAAAGTCCGAAAAAAATCTATAGGCTTTTAGCTGGCGCGCGAGAGATGTTTCGCCTGAACAATGGAAACGCATCGTTTCTTGTTTTATGCTGGGTGCGAATAGCGCGCGCGCGGAAAAAATACGCACTTATCACACGTATGGCGAAATGAGAAAATGGCGCGCGAGGCCTGTCGGCGCAAAGGATCATTATATTCTCGACAATGTGTCGCGCCGTCGACGCCGCCTCACGCCTCTGCTTTGTCGACGCGTTTTTTTTTCAATGTGTATCATATATTACTGAATGCAGTAGATATATGTCAATGGCTATGAAAACTGTTAGAAGAAAACTGTAATCACAAGTTTTCTGAATTTAGTTTTTGAATTTTGGTGTAAAAAGTCATAGAAAATCGATTAAAATTTGTTTAGGCAGGAAAATTTATGAATAAGTAAGTAATTTATATACATACCTTCGTGTAACGAGTATAAAGTTGCAAAATCAAGTAAATGACGACAATAAGAACTAAATTTAGCACTTTATAACCAAACTGCGTGCACGATGACAAACATATTTCTGAGGTTAGTGTATCATAGTGCCAGAAGTAGTAAAAGTTGCCACTAGATGGCTGAAACTGAAAGTATTTGAATTAATTTGAATTTATTCAAGTTTAAAACTAGGTAAATTCCTTAAAAATCATTAGTTTATGTTAAAATAACAAATATTTGGTAAATAAACGGTATCTACTAGTACTTTTATCATGTTTTTAAAGAAATATAAATATTACAGTTTTGACTGTGAAATCGCGCCATCTGACGGACGTTTCTCCTACTTTATACTATGATGTTTGCTAGAAAATTATTGTATAACCTCAAACAACTCAATAACAATTTTATCTACATAAAAATAAGTTCCCCTTTTCAAATCCAACCGCAAGTAACAAATATTCATATAAATAAATCTGTTGAACCCACAAGTGTTACCCCATTGGGTGACATTTTGACTAACATTAAAACACAGACTTTTTTGAACGTGTACTTACCGTACGCGCGTGCAGTAAACGAATTCTCTTCAACATACTCGTATAGCGCGCAAATAAAAGAAGCGCCCGCTGAGACCGCGCATAACGTCGCAATTCGGGCGCATGCCGACCGCACTCCCCGGCATTGTCTGCGCAAATAAGAAAAAAGAGTTCAAGCCAACGACATCGTTTCAAAATTGCAGGAGCGGCGCACGTACCGGCGAAAAATTTCGGAACGCACATTATGCGGGATGCTCGCCGTCGAGCACGAGACCATCGGGTGCTTGCGAATGTACGCGCCAACGAGCATTAGTTGAATTGTTTGATATCGCAAAAATCTACATTCTGTTCAGAGGAACTTCAGGAAACCACTCAAATTTAAAAAATCAACTTAAATTTAGATAGTCTATAAAAGCTTTGAAACTTCACCACCAGAGGGCGCTACAAGTGCTTCATATGTTTTGATCTTTTTTTTTCTTTTTAATTTGATATTAAATTTTAATGTAAATAAAAAATAATTTGCAATAAAATTTTATATAGCAAATTAAGTTGTGTATAGAGATGAAATAAATGCGCATTTAATAGGCAACTTTACGATCATTGCAAAGATGTGTAATGATGGTGGACGCGTTGTATGCTGCGGGTTGCGGTTAAGCTCGTTAAACGTACTAACGGTCGTCTAGTACTACGGTCTAGTTCTAGCATGTTCAAACTGTACTTTGGCGAACGTTAGCGTACCGACTGCGGATTTACTGTGTGTCTACATATATAATTTGACTGTGTCGCACTGCCTGCCACTCGTAAAGCGTTGCTAAAAACTAGCGTTTAAAAAGCGCCAGCGCCATTTCAACTCAAATAACAAATGTGCTGTACATTTGGTTGCAGAACGTGCAAATGACAATCGTGACCAAACTAAAATACCAAAAAACTTTTTAGATTCTAATCATTTATTCATCTTTAAAGTTAAATTTTAAATTTTTGGTTTTATACAGTGGTTAATAAAGTTAAGATGAAGACAAAAATCTTACACGCGGTTACACCGTCCATAAGCATGCAAATTTTCTTTTTTTTTTATCTTTCAAAACGCGCCTTGAAGAAGCTGCGAACCCTCGGCTGCAACGATATTAGTTTTCGCACAAAGTGCGAAGGAGTTCGGCCCCGGCAAAGGCGAACACAATTACCGATTCATTTATTCGCATCGGATTTGCATACTTTGAGCTTTCAGGTCTTTGGTCTCTCCTCGTCCCTTCTAGGCTCAACTATAATTTGCTTGTTAATCGACGTAGACATCAAAAAATGCGTTTAATTTAAAAGTTATGTTGGTTGCATATTCTGATGCATAACTGGTTGCATATCTGAAGCATGCGCAGTCATGCCTATTAGATTAAGCCAGCATAAGATCGTTAGTTTACGCCACGTGACTTCCGCTAACAGGAGCATGGCTGCAACCCAAGAATGCTAATCCGCATGTAAATCCAAGGACTATACACCACCGCCGGCGGTAATGGCGTTACACCGTTGTGTGCATATAAAATGCAGTTTTATCCCGGTGCAAGAAACACAAACGCTTTAAACTCGTGAACAGGTTCATCTCAGCAATAATAATTGTTGCTAATTTGTGCTTCGCATTCAAATTTTTCGTAAACACCGCATAAAAACATAAAAACATAAAAAAAACTAAAACAGCTTTTACTACTACTAAAATAACCTAACAAGTAACCTCTATTAGCTGTGAACACTGTTGTTTCTTGTTGCTCATCTTCGCAATTTGCCCAGCGCAGTTGAAATCGTGGGCGGGGTTCAATGGCGGGTTTAATTAAACCTCAATTAAAATAGACGCGCATTGTGCAGCTTGATGTGATGCCGCCACCTACGCGATGTGTGCAAGCACATGCTTTGCAATATTCTGTACCATTATCAGTTGATACCAGAGGGCGCACACGAGGTTCATCTGTGTGAGTGTGTGTGTGTTGGGTGTTGGGTGGCGTCTCGGTTAGTTTAGCTCGAAAACTCGCGCCTGCCGACTTTGCTGAATTGGCTGAATATCGGATTAGGCGGCGGCGATGGCAAGTTTGCTTCAGCACGCACACCATTCAACCGCATGCAAAACGAGAGGCGGCCGTGGTATAATGGCGTTAGTAATCGACTTGTTTGTGCACGCACAATGGCCGAAAACATTCTAATTCAATTTTGCCAGCGGATAACATTTTAATCATCGCTTACATAAATATCGAAGTAAATATTAATAATTTGGGGATGTCATGCAGTAGCAGTAGATGTAAACCTGGTTGCATAAGCATTATATAGAATTATGTCAACTAGGAAAATAAAAGTTTGGTTATGTTTACATTTAGAGCAAAGAAATAAGAAATTTAAAGTTTCATTTTTATTAGCATTAGAGTATTCCACCAATTTCTTCAAGTTTTACTACTTTTAATTGTTTTAATCACCTTTAACTTAAAAAAAAATAATTTTTACTTTCTTGTTTCTTGGACCTTTTAAAGAAATAAGAAATGGTAATAATGCATTTTAGCGTGAATCTCGGATTCAATTATTTACCTATAATTATGATTGAATTGCTACATTAACTTTCATCCTTTATTTAACACCCTTTAAGCAAAAATTTTCGATATTTTAATTAATATTCTGCTATTCTCGATGGAGACGAATCCAAAAAATCATAGATCATCAAAATCCATCAAACCGTAGTTGAGTTATGAATGTTGTAACTAACACACTATGTTTAATATATACTACCAAGTATATTGAAGATGTAAATTTGGTTGCATAATCGTAATATACACTTCTATCAAATATAAAAATAAAATTTTGGTTATGTTTATATTTACAGATTTAAAACCGTCAAATTAACGATAAATTGTAATTTAACTTTGATCGCATTAGAGTATTACACGAATCCCTTCAAGTTTTATTACTTTTCACCCACGCAGCGTTCGCCAAACAAGTTAAAACACAACGTTCGTAGTTCGCATTCAACCCGATGAATAAATGAATATGAAAACGACGTCCATAACATATTATTCATTTCGCGTATTTTTACGGACTATTAAAATTTTAATGATATGCCCACTCGTGCACTCTCGAATTTCTTTTAATGCGCTCGATAACATTTCCTCCACTCAAGTCAGAACAGATAAAAGTGCTCGACTGAAGAGATTACTTTGTAAGGAATAAGAAAAAAACGCTCATAAAAACGTCGAATCGAATTTATATGCAGAAAAAGCTTGATTTATGACGAATTACACTGCGTAGGTAAAATATTTTTTCTACTTAAATATTTGAAATGTAAAGTAGTACTTTAGGCACGGCCGTGACTAAAGTACCAATTTATAACCTTACATTTCCTAGTATTATGCAAGCGAATTTTTATGATTTGTAATACAAAAATTGAAATTAAAAAACACTCAACGTGAAAACGTGACTAAACGTTGTTATACACTCGATTGATTAAACGCTTGCACTTAATCAAACTCGTGACTAAAATTCACGTTTATCCACTTGATACTTAATATACTATAAAAATAATGTGACTTGAAGGAAAATTACAACAATTTCAATTTGTGTGCTTTGCAACAAAAACTATAAAACATACTTTATATTACTCGTAAGATGTTCGTTATGCGCGAAATTTTATGCGTGTGTTATTATACATTACGACCGAGGCAACAAGACGAAAAAACCGTCGACGATGTATAAAAGCAGTAGAAAGGAACTCGAAGACTTCACCCCGGCCATAAAACGAATTTGAATGTGAATTATTGCGTAACGTAAATGGATACGAATGGAAAATTGTTAGAGTCGCTTATAAATGTCCGCCATAAAAAAACGTGTGGGAAGGGTGTGCAAATGCAGAGCGCCACGCACAAAAAACATATTCGAATGAGACACTTTTATGCGGTTTTTATGTAAATGCTGATATTGTTAGCCAAACGACGCTGAATTTAATCACTGCCATGCAGATATAAATTAATATATCTACAGTTATTATTATTATTATTATTATTATGTAATTTACGCGTTGGATGAAATTGCACTCTCTACAAAGTGGATTCCCAATTACTATTTGCAAATACTCACACTTATACGATGCATACGATGTGAATTCAATGACCACGAACATTTGCGATCTGAAAATAGAAAATTAACCAAATTACAAGTTTCGCCAGTTTACATCTGTAGCACAAATTGTTATGCCTGTGCTATGATCAAAGCAAAAGCAAAGTTGAATGGTAATTGACTCAACAAAAAAATTAACCTCAACTAATCGCTATTAACATGGCCGACACAATATGGAAACTAATATTTTTATTCATTTAGTAGTAATGTGTAACTGAATAAATAAATAAATAAGAAAAACAGAAATGTGGCGTTCTGTGACACTGAATCAGTGTTGCATGTAACGCATGTATGCAGACATCGCTTGGAAAATTGCATTCCGTTAGTTTAAATTAAATTTTATTCGCCGCATATGCTAAACATGCACGGATGCACAGATTTTCATTACAAACTGAACTTTAGGTCGGTAGGCGAGGGAATTCTAACGCTTGAAGTGAAAATTTAGTGCATAGTGTAATACTGTACAAAATGCGCGCAGAAAAGAACAAAAACGGATTAAAATAGATAAAAGCGCGACATTCCCGCACGAAAAATGAGATTTGGGTTATGTATGCTTTCAATTTGACTTGTGTATATACACTGGTGGCCCCTATAAGCAGCAGAATAAACTAAAAACTGTACTGAATTAAGAAAAAGCTAAAAATGTTTTTATTTTATTTTTTAGGGTTTAAATCGTTATTTTTCAATAAATTATTAACAAAATAGCTTTAAATTACTTTGTATATTATATTTTATTTATGTTTAAAGATATTTTCTTTCTAAAATATATTTTTTATGTTGTTATGATGCACAGCATGAGCTAGGCAACTTTATATACACTAAAACATCATAAACACCCGCCATCTATTGTTTTCCTACTGTTTTACAACATTTTAACATTTAAAATATGAACAATTATAATAAAAACACATTTTAATAAGATCGATTATCAAACTAAAAATCCTAGTTTAAAGTACGTAATAAAACCGAAAGTATAATTTGAATACTAATGAAATTTTTAAATTTTCATAAAAAAAATTAGTGCAATCTTCCAGTTTAACGACGAGGTTAAAACTCATCGACACAATTTTCATCCCCCTTGCGACGGGTAGTTTTAACGCAGTCAAGCGTTTCCGCAGCGATTTTATAAGATTTGCGCGTATAATTATAATTATTATTGAAGCAGCGCAATTTCCCCATGTCATACTAGCTCCACTTTCCGAAGCATGTCCTAGATTATTGCTTTATAATTAATGGTTTCATTATTAATGCGTTAATTAAGTCGTGCGCAAAAAGTGCGCTTTGCTACGGCGATAATTTTCCAACGTTTTCACAATTTTAATAGCCGAAAGCTCGCTCAGCTTAGGTGCTTTACAGTGTGTGCAGTTGCGAAAGGAAATGAAAAGCGTGACTATCCATTGCACAAAGACCTCTAGCAACCAGTAGCTAAAAGAGTATTAAACACATTAAAAACTGACATCATCGAGTTTAACGCTTAATGAATATTACCTTTAATTTTAAAAATTAAGAAATGAAAATGTAAATTTTTTATTTCAAAGTTAATTTGAACATTTTCACTGTATTTCTTATTCGCATTCATGAGTTAAATTATACGAGTATATTGGGACGTCTACCTTTTCAGCAGTAAGTAGTGAAAATTGCGTCGAGTCGTTTGGCGCTTTTCTCAAGTGTGGCGTTTAATGTATTCACTGCCAATTTTCTAATCTCACCGGCTTTTCATGCAAAACATTGCATTAACATAGTGAAAACTCGCGTAAACAGTTTTACGTTAGGAGAAAACTTTAATAAGCGAAATTTTCTAAACCAACAAACAAATGTATTGCAATAATTGCATCAGCATTATGGTGTAGAGAATGTTTAGTGTAACAAATGGAATATAAATTGATGATTAAAACGTAAATTATATTTATTCACGCCAAATATATGCGAGTACAAACGAATTAATCATGCGCTGTGTTTGCGTCGTTTGCGCTTCATCTGATATTGATATTTTATTAGTAAATTATTTAATTTAGTATTGTTTGCTGAAATTAACTCGTGTTTTGTTTGCAGGTTTACATTCAACCGCAATCAAGAGGTGAAGCAGAAGGAGCCCTTTCCAAGGGCCTCGGATAAACGTTTTTTTTTTCTGTTTTTTTTTTCCTTTAAAATTTTTTTTCTTCATAGAAGTGAATTTTTCTTTTTATATGTAAGTATAAAATAATTATTTTACTTGACTGAAAATGATGATGGTTTTTGGGAAGTGTATCTGTTCTGACTAAAATCCGAAAATAACTATTATGTAGGTAGTGCACGATTTTGTTTCCGCGTTCTTTGCAACATTCAAAATGCACGTTCAAAGGACGTCGGAATATATTACGCCTCGTACTTGCTATCTGCAAACAACTTCATCATTTGTCATTCGCACTTTGCGAAACCAGGTCGCAGAAAATTTAATGTAATGTTATGAATTTTGAAATAAACAAAACTAATTGAAGTAGTAATGGTTTACTACATGCAACAAGGCAGGGTTGAAATTAGAAGTACTGCAGGAATGGACATTAATAGAAATGCCCATAAAATAATAAATTTTAGACGTTCTTAAAGCGTACGCATCGAAAACGTGCTTCATAGCGCCATCTCGGTTTAAATTATATAAATATTACTATACTATACTTAAATATGCTGTTATACTATTTAAAAACTTAATATTTTACTACAAAAAGTTGTTTATGTTCTTTTTCAATGTCAAATCTATCTCTATACAAAAGTTTACCAAAATTGGTTGAGTGGATTAAAAGTTATAACAAATCAAACACACAACAATTTGTAATTTACAATATTGCTAATAGGCAACCACATATACACACTTTTTTCTCTATTGTAATAGTTGTATACATGGTTGCATCCCTAAAAAAACACCACAATGTAAATTATTATGCTCGATAATAATATCAAAACTCAAACAATGATTAATTAAACAAAAATGAGTATTCTCCTTGAAACAAAATTCATTAATAATCCTCTATTTATATTTTGCAACAAACTCTAAAACATTTCTAAAGAAACTAGCGTTTTTCGCAATAAAAAGATTTTTAATATGCTCCATAAATGTTAGTTTCAAAAAGTATATGATAACGGCAGCGGCTATCGTGCGCTCGAATTCTCTCCGCGCTGGCGCATTGTAAAGCGTCTCTGCTTAATGGCTTTCTCGGCGTGTTTTGCACGCGACTCTTCTTTTTAATCCTGTGCGCGCATCTCGTCGCGAACTTGAAAGTCCATTGAACGTGCCCGCAAGTCTCAAACGCTTTGTGCGCGCCTCGATAAAAAGCGCATTGTCTACTCTGTTAACGCCATTAGATACCGAGACGAGACAAAAACGTACATATTCTTTAATTACCTCACACTGTACTGTGTACAGTGCCAGGGCACGCACCAAACGCAAAGCATAGTATTATTTAGTATAACGGACAAAATGGATGTTTGCTACTCTTTCACGCTAAAACCACTGAATATTTTTTGATGAATTTTGGTATAGAGATAGATTAGACCATGGAGAATGACATAGACTACTTTTTATTTAAAAAAAATTCTTTAAAACGTGAAAAACAGAAGCCAAAAGTTAAAAATCACAAAAAAAGATTTTTTCAAAACTAATTTTTATATTCTTTGATTTTTTCAAAAAACGTGATAAAAATAAATTTATATTAGAAAAATATAAGAAATATTCGAGTGCATATTGAACATTTGTGTAATATGATCGATAGGAAGGGCAGTTTACTGAAAAGATCAGAAAAATTGAAAACCGGCTGCTGATGAATGCACGAATGGTCAAGGGGCTTGTCGAAAAGGACGAAAAAGAAAAACGGCCGGATGACCACGGATGAAGCGTGACGGGATTGCGAATGTGCGCGAGTGTTGCGAAAAGTTTTCGGCGTGAAGACGTCCGGTGCGCGTCCGGTCCTCGGAGACCCTCAGGTTATAATTATCACTTTGACGCAACAAAATGAAAGTCTACTTCGGGGACACAACTTCTTTGATGCGCATTCGTGCTTCGCATGCTATTTTCATCAATTTTATTATCGTTTAAAAATTTAATTTTCCAATATTGGAATTAATCATTGTTAATAATTAAGTTTCGTTCGCAATTTAATAAAAATTAGCTTAATATTGAAAACAGAAGAAATTTAAAACTTATAAGCGCATTTAGCGCCATCTAGGTTCAAATTATGTTACTAAAACTATTGATAAATGTTCATATCAACTTTCAACCCTTATTTAACGTCTTTCCAGTAAATTTTTTGCAATAAAAAGTAGCCTATTACCTTTTCCATGATCTAAACTATATTTATACTAAAATTTATCAAAATTGCCTAAGTAGTTTCTACTTGAAAGCGTCACAAACAAACAATTAAACATCAATTAGGTTTTATAACCACTAACCACTAGTTAGAATAAATCCAAATTGCTTATTAAGACTACATAAACCTTTGTTTATTTTTTCCTCACAAAACTTTTCCAATACCGCCCGCCATTAGTTTCAAAGCGTTTTATTTATTTTGGTAATTGGGTCGCGACTCCCAACCGGCAATTTGAGTGGATGCGGAATTCTGTAGTTTTATAAATAGTGTTGTTCCCATGCAAACTGCAAACTCCTGTTTTCCTCACGGTGCTCTCACGACGCCTATAATGTATATAACCTGTTATAACTTTTTTTCTCTCTTGGGCGTAAATGTAAATGTAAATGAAATATTTTCCGACTAGTATCGAAAGTCGTGAAAGTTATTTAATATAAAAATAGCGTGATTTATGCAGCTCTAAGTTATTGCGCTTGAATAAGCACGTATAATGAATATCATTCTCTCCACAAGTGGCTAAAAATACCAACTTACACGAAAATGTCGTGTCATTAATGCTTCCTACGTGCGGGCCACAACGTATCGCATGCACCTTGTCACTCAATCAGAATACACTTAAGGAAATAATCCTGTAAATATAGTCAATTTATTTACCTATATTACTAACATAACCTCTAAACATTTTTATAGGTTATTTTTGTATTTTGAGGTTATATTAACCTGCGTTTCTATGTTATTAGTCGTTTTCCCCTGATATGTAATTTTTGCGAACAAACGAGCAATCAGTGTTTGCTGCTTGATCAATGGCCGCCGTTAAAAAATACAGAAATAATAAAATTGTATAAAACTCGCAGCGATAACATCGATTTCGCTTCGAATTCGCTTCGATTCAATGCCCACGACGGGCGGAATCGGCGGTTGTTTGCTGTTTTAAAATTGTTTGTAATTAATTTACGCCGTGGCGGCGTTAATTAAATTGGAACTGGAAGGAGCGGGGCTAACAGCGTGCAGCATTTTTGTGCTTCTGTAGAGATTTCTAAATGCGGTAGCAATTTGCGTCCTTTGTGCGCTCGCTGTTTTTCCGTTCACGTCTTTTGTGCGAACAAGAATTTACAGTAATGTTCGAACATACTAGTTAATGTTTCCGATGCAATTCCAACTTTGCGCAACAAAATCAAAGCGTTTTATCGACGAAACATGCATTTTTCTACATAAACAACAATATTTCATGGTTTTATTCGTGTTTTTTCACGATTGTATTGAATTAACCTCAAAATTTACTTGTAGAAATATATTTTCCTCAAACTTTCACTTTTTACCAAGAGGGCGACACTAAAAAGCTATTTAACATTAATAACCTATAAATTTTGCAATTTTAATGCATTTTTCTACATAAATATCAATATTTCATGATTTTATTAGAATTTTTCACATTTTTTTCAAAAGTAACCTCAAAAGTTACTTGTTAAACCATATTTTACTAAAACTTTCACTTTTTGCCGTAAGAGGGCGACACTAAAAAGCTATTTAGCAATAAAAACCAATATAATTTTTTAATTTTTAAAAATTAACCTCAAAATTTACTTGTAAAACGCCTTTAACTAAAGCTTTCACTTTTGGCAATGAGAGGGCAACACTAAACAACATTTTAATCTCACTAACCTATAAAATTCAACAAACCTCTATAAAAATAAAACTAGTCCAAGAACAAATAAAAGAAACACGTCCTTTGGAATAAAATGAAAGGATTTGATATAATCCACATTGCGCAAAAGTTCATCCTTCGATTAAAATACACTTTGGCGAATTTATGCCACGCACTTGTCTTAACAAAGTGTAAAAATAAAACGTGACCGTGAATAGCGCTTTTCCGCGCGTATTTCGGACGCATTTCTCGATTTAGCAAAACCGCAGACAGACTTAACGCAGAAAAAAAACACGGAAAAAATATCCACGCGCAGGCGAAAAAAAATACACCACAATGCTTTGCGTTCAATTCGCACGCAGGAAAAAATTAACCCGACGAACAAACAAATTGTTTGTCCAACGAACCAACGAAGTGATGAACCGCGTATTCTAAAAACAAACACATTCACACAATGCGCCCCGAAATGCATTCGGATTTCAGAATTTCTACAAAACCAATACGCTTTTCAATATTTCAGTTTTAGCGTAGGTTGCAAAAAACAGTTTCATTTTCTAGAAAACGTAAAACTTGCCAAATTTATTATTCATCATTCCGTAGGTGTAAAATGTGTGATAAAGCGTGCGTTTCATTCGTTGAATGTAAAATTCAAGATGGCGGATGTGTCGATATCCGTGATACAAGCAGGTATACACTCACGTGATGCTTGTGTGCGTGAAATTCAGTACAGTGCGCGTATTTTAAAATAGCAACCGCGATATAAGCGTCGGCGTCGTTAGCGTCGCGACGAGCCGCGGCGAGCGTGTACCGAAAACGCATCTCGAGCGTGCGTTAGTCGCGCACACACGGTACCGGCATTGATATGCGCGCCCATCTCAAAATCAACACCGAATCTCAAATCGCATCCTGACTATTCTCCAGCCAGACACCATTCAAGTATTATTTTCTACTGCGATAAGTCACCGAGTGCAAGTCAAGTGACAGGACTGAAGAAAAAGTGTAAGTCGTATTTTTAATTCACCTTTACGCCTAGATGCGCGTATTCCGCGCGTGCCGTTCGTGGAGAAAAAAAAAACACACGCGCACACAACACGCATGGAAGGTCTTAATTTAGTTTTCGGTGACGCAGAGCACGCTCAGCAAGAGGCGTTAATTTTAGTCGCGTTGAGAATGGCACATTTCGAAATGCCGGTTTTGTTTCGCTTATAATCGAATGTAACCAAACACCGTTTTATCTTCAAAAGTATCCGTTGATAAAATAAAAGTGTATTATTCTTTCAGTGAAAACACGCCGAAGTCAAGATGGAGCAGTTTGAACAACTGTTAACCTGCGCCATATGTCTGGACAGATACAGAAATCCAAAATTGCTGCCATGTCAGCACAGCTTCTGCATGGAGCCGTGCATGGACGGGCTCGCGGACTACGTGCGACGTCAGGTAATCTTAGAGCATCATCGACCAAAAATATTCACGCGGGGCCGAACTTTCCGATCGGCCGGCCGGCCGGCCTACGCAAATATTTTTATATCAAAAATGCTACTGAACCCGCTCACATCTGAACAAATAACGCTCGCTTTATACAAATATATTAATGAATACGATTTATCGCTTGTAGTTTGCCTTATTGCCAAATCGCGTGTGCCGAGAGTAATAAAATATATTTTTGGACGTCCTTTACGCATCTCCCGCAGGTCAAATGTCCCGAATGCCGTGCAGAGCATCGCATCCCATACCAGGGGATTCAGGCGTTTCCAACCAATGTCACCCTTCAGCGATTCCTGGAGCTACACATCGAGATCACCGGCGAATTACCGGATCCCACCAGCGGGCAGATTATGGAACGATGCAATGTCTGCTCGGAGAAATCCTATTGCAGCCCATGCTCCCACTGCGAGAAGAAGATCTGTGAAGAATGTAAAGGTGCACATATGGATATCCTACGCAGGGAAATTGTAAGGATCAACAATCAGATCCGACGTGGTATTCATCGCTTGCAGGATGCACTCTCGATGGTTGAGAAGAACGCGCAGAGCATTCAGACAAACAGCTTGTCTGTTTCCGAGGAAGTGGAGGAGATCTACAGACGTCTCTCCAAAGCGGTCAAGGATCGCACCGAGCACTTGCGCGGCGAGTTGGATCGTTACATGTCCACCGAAGTGCGCACGCTGACGACTCTGAAGGACAACTTGGAGCAGGAAATCTCCAACATCATCAGCAATTGCGATCTTGCCGACAAGCACTTTAACGAGAACGTGCCTTGGGATGACTGCGAGCTGATGGACGCCAAGGAGATCTTCTTGAAGACTGTTGATTTCATTAGGAACTTTGAGTATGAAAATTCGGATTACAGCCGGAAAGTTAGGTTAGTCCTGGCGCATGATCCCAATCAGCTGGTTTTACACGTGGCAGGTTATGGGGATTTAAATATTACCAATCCGAGTAATCCCTTTGGACAGGGTACCGCTCTGCAGGTGCCTGGAGGTCCTGGTTTGATGAGATCCAAGAGTGATCATCGTTTAGCGTCGCAATTTAGGCAACAAGAGGAACGTCAAGGGTATTACGATGGAGAGGAACCTCCATTAGCAGGAAGGAAGTTTGGAGAACGTCATACCAAGACCACAACTGGTGGAGATAGGTATACAGATCGTTATGGTCGTGGTGGTACTGAATACGGAGAAGATTATGAAGAATCTTCAAGGCCACCAAGGTCCAGATATCGCAGCAGGTACAACCGCCATGGAGATAATGATTCTGACACTGAACAGACCAGTAGGGTACGATTCAATGAGCAACAACATAAAGAACGGGAACGTGTCCTTGACACAGAAGACGTTGCTAAAGGACCACTTAGTGGTATTACACGTCTGGCGGACTCACCGAGAGTCATGAAGAAATTAATTGAATCTGAAAGTGGTGGGGGTAAGAAAAAGGAAAAGAGGTACCATCAGTACAACCACCTCAACCTAAAGTGGTACCCAAACGACCACCACCACCAGCTAATCGCCAGCAAAGCGAGGAGGATGAAATCGCTAAAATCAAAAAACAGAATAAAGGCGCAACCACCTCCACTGAAACCGAACCGCCTGCAACTGTCACTAGACAAACCTCTAGGCGTGAAGAGGAGGAAAGACCAACGCATGCCGCGAGCAGAAAGACACCGGCACCCGCCGAGGTGAGTCCCGATGAATAAATCTACTTCTACACATACAGTACCTGATTTAGAGTTATCAGATCTTTTTCTAAAAAAACTCTTACATCGACAAAAAAAAAACACAAAAATATATCTAGTGACGTAGCTTTAAAAACCATATAAAAACAAAAACACCAAAAAAATTACTTAATAATTACACACTGTCTGTGGCATGTTCCGAAACAAATACCAGAACAACGATACAACAACAAGTTGAAACGACTCCTTCCGTTTGTGTTATAACGTGTGTGTTGGTGTGCACCTGTAATTGTGAATGCTCTCTGTAACTATCAATGTCGGTCCAGCATGATGACCAATGTCATGGACTATTGTTACCTTTGTCACATATTTGCCTGAAAGTAAACCAGCGGAAAACTTAAGGGATACAGTTTTTTTGGGTTCATCATTTTTGTGCATCTCAATTTTACATGCGACGATAAAACTAGATCTACTAATCCTTTAACAATTCATTTTCATTTCTTTACTAATATCAAAACTAATCAGATAAAAATGGACGATGTAAAACCGATTTTTGTCGTTGTATCGGTGTGAATTTTTGTTTGTGGAGCATGCCATCAGACGCACCTATTGTTGTTTCGTGACAGTGTTAAGTGTCCGTGTCCCTTAATCACTTTCCGCTTGTTTATTTTCCTGTAGGCGACCACGAGTGCCGAAGACGAGTCGGACGAATCAACATCCGCGCCCCAGCAGCGCAAGACGCCGGTGAAACCGTCGGGGGCGTCCGCGCAAACCGCGACCACACGTCGCACATCCGCGGAACCTAAAAAAGCCACACGTTCAACCAGTTCGGATTCTTCCACATCGAGCGAGTCTAGTGGTTCGGCAGTGCGTAATACCGGCGCGGCGTACACCGCTGAAGAGGTAAAGCAGAAGTATTTGGCGCGCGGTAGCGTTGACCATAGTGGCGACGCTCCCTCGCGCACCCGCCAGTCCTCGACGGGGTCCAACAGCGGTAAGGACAAACCCTTCCAGAGTCGCTTCTTGCAGAACAAAACCACCCCGACGCCACCACCAGCCAGCACCAAAGAGGAGGAGACCGAGACCAGCAGTGAGGAGGAGACTTCTTCCGAGAGTGAATCCGAAGAGTCCACACCGAAAGTCGAGCCCAAAGAACCACCAAAGAGTGATATTGCGCCGTTGTTAGCGCGGAGTCAACTAGCGCGTGACAACAGCACTGACTCGTCGCGCAAGCCCACGACAACAACAACCACCAGGGATGACACCACCGGGTATGGACGGTCAAGATATAGTACTAAGGAAGACCCACCAATTAACAAATATTCGACACACAGCACACGCACACGTCCCACATACGAAGATGACACTCCTAAGTACGGCTACACCAGTCGCTTCCTCAACAAGAGCAAGAGCACCGCCGCGGTGGCCCCCGAAGAAGACGACTCCAAGTATCATTCTTCTTTCGATGATGACAGCAAGTATCCAACGAGTCGCAGTCGTTATATGGCGATGAAAGAACGCCGGCAGAGGTTGGCGCGGAGCAAGTCCAGTCATAATTTCGACGATGATGATACCGAGGAGCAATTGTCGCCGACGTCGACAAATCCGAGCGCTTATCTCGCCTCGAGGGGATACGGATCGGCGTCGTCATCGGCAATGAACGATCTGGCGCGCAGCCGATCCTCGCACGCGCTTAAATCCAGAGAGAGCTCGCCCGAACGCCCATCGCCCGGTACCGAGAAGGATGGCGCGGCGCTCAGCTCCTGGGCGCGATACTTGAAGAACAAATACGGTAATCGCGCCACTGGTAAGGACAAGGATGGCGGAAGTGCAACGCCTTCGTCTGCGAGCAGTTCCGCTGCCGCAAGGCGGCTATCACTCGGCTTGCCTCTGCGGTCGTCGACGGAAATGGGAAGCTCCGATGACGATTCAAAAAACATGCAAGGCTCCCCACTACCCCTACAGCAGCTACAGTAGCGGCAGCAGCCGGTGAGTGCTACTTCTCATCTGATTTACTCTTCGCTCTGCTTTTCCTCACGTTGTTTTCCATGTCAAACATTGCTTCGTTTTTGTTTTCTTCGTAAATTCTGATTTTAAGCATTGCACCATCACTGGACGACTGTAGAAGACATACCAATTCTGCAGTCGCATTCCTCCGGTGCTAAATTAAACTCTTCGACCGTTGTTTGAATAGTTTACAGGTCATAACCTCAATATTATTTAAATGGCGGACGATACATATTTATAGTTTAGTTAACCTTAAAACCTTGCACTTAACTGATATCCTCTTGTGTGTGTGTGCTTGATGCCGTTTTAGGTATCGCGGTGGCAACAGCAGGTACTTCCCCTAGAAGCCAGTACCTGCAGAAAGGCCGCAAGCTGTTTGAGATAGGGAGTCGGGGGAGCGAAGCCGGATGCTTCACGTGGCCGCGCGGCGTCGCCGTCGGCCCGGACAACACCATCGTCATCGCAGACTCGTCGAATCATCGCGTGCAGGTGTTTGACGCCAGCGGCAAGTTCCTCAAGGAGTTTGGGACGTACGGCAACGGCGAGGGTGAGTTCGACTGCCTCGCCGGCGTCGCCGTCAATCGCATCGGTCAGTTCATCATCGCCGATCGATACAATCATAGGATACAAGTGAGTGTAACACATCATCGCATTTACATATCATCAATATGCATGTATTTTCAGGTATTCGATCCTTCTGGGAGGTTTTTGAGATCGTTTGGTAGTCAGGGTTCGTCGGACGGGCGATTTAATTATCCCTGGGGTATTACTACGGACGCGCTAGGTTTTATTTATGTTTGTGATAAGGAGAACCATCGAGTTCAAGTAAGTAAAATGTTTTTTGACATATTTAGTAGTGAATATAATAAGTTTTGACTATTCACCGCTTGAGGGCGCTGACAATGCAATAATTTTAACTCCAAACCTGTAATTTTTCCTTTGTAGGTTTTCCAATCGGATGGAACATTTGTCGGTAAATTCGGCACAATGGGCAACAAGCAAGGACAGCTCGAACATCCCCAGTACATCGCCGTATCGAATACGAATCGTGTGGTTGTATCAGATTGCAATAATCATCGCGTGCAGATCTTCGACGTAAACGGACGTGTGCTGTCTGCGTTTGGCAGCGAGGGATCAGCCGAAGGACAATTTAAATTCCCCAGGTATTGTGTCCACACATTAAATCAATCCCCTAAAGGTCGAGCGATAAAAATACCGAAATCGATGAGTTTCTAATCTACATCAACATCACGTGTAACATTTTCATGCGCATCGTCCGCACGTGCCAATCGTGTAATAGACACTGGCGGACATATTCATCATCAAACGCCCACACGCGAGTTGTTATTAATATACTGATAATAAATCCCATGTGGCTGTTACAGAGGCGTTGCAGTTGACGATCAAGGTTACATATGCGTAGCTGATTCCGGGAACAACCGCATACAGATATTCCACCCGGACGGCACGTTCCTGAAGGAGTTCGGTTGCTGGGGAACGCGCGACGGCGAATTCAAGGGATTAGAAGGCGTCGCGATCGCATCGAACGGCAACATTCTCGTCTGCGATCGTGAGAACCATCGAATTCAGGTGTTTTGAAAAAATGGGTTCTCGTTTTATTTGTATTATTCTCTATTCTTTGACGATACGATTGTAAATTTTGTATATGCAAAACGATGTAAACGAAACGGAACGTCATGGTTACTATTACGCAATACTTTGAAAACTGTACTAATTTTGTGGATGATTATTTGATTAATAATTTCGCTCATTTGTCAATGTGTGTTACCATTTTGTTATAGTTGCAATGAATTTACGAGAGGTATAATACTTTAATACGTGTATATTAAACAATTTCTACTTCCAACCAACAATGTGATTTATTACTAATTTTCCGCCATGAATTGATACACCTAGCGACATCTATTCGCAATATTTACCAAGTAAAACAATTGAAAACCAGGTGCGAGTGCCATCTACATGTGACACATATTCACGTACACTGTTTGCATGCAGTGTCCGCAGCTGACAAACATTCGTGGGGGGTTGATTGTGTAAAATGCGTGTTGTTCATTAATTGTAAATTGTTAAACAATGGCAGTGCGTACTTTTCTAGGAACCTGGGAGGTAAATAAATCCAATTTATCATTATCCATCCATCACCCATCATAGTTTTGTAGTAAATTTATGTTGCAATCATTTAATCAGCAGCAAGCAGCCAAATGTAAATAAACAAATATGTTATCTCAAGCGTTGCATTGCGTTTTAGGTCACGAAGTTCCAATACGAAAACGAGAGTGACACCAAAGGCCTGGAAGGGTGGGTCGTATTGACAAACATAAATTACAATCTCTAACTGTCAGAATCATGTTGCAGTGTTCGATTCACACTGGATGAGCTTGGAAATGTTGACTGGGTGGTTGGTGCCGAACTCAGCAATGTACCATTGTTTGCTTGTGATACCTATGAAGTATGCACCACTCGGACTTGTGTTGGCATTTATTTACGGCTGCGTTTTGGAGCGTTTGCAGGCCATGTCATTGAATTCTCAGTAAATATTTCAACATTTTAGCTTATTTTGTTGCTAAAAATATGATATTTTAGTGTATGCAGCATAGGGGACTCAGTGACAAGATGGATCAGATAGTGCTATTCTGTAATGGCTGGTGTCAAATGCACTGCAATCGAATTGCGGAAGTAAAACATAACGACGCCGCAGATATTCCTTTCTCATTGTTGCCGGCGCTTGAGGAGGGATATTTTAAAGATGTGACTATTACATCGGCGAATAAGAAACAATTCGAGACACATTCGATTATACTGCAATTGCTGGGCGATAGTATCGATTGGTGCGCGCCGCAATCGCCGCTGCAATGCCTACCTGAGAACGTGCTCGGCACGATATTACATTTTTTGTACTCCGAGTGTCTGCCGAGCTCGATGGACGACACTACTGCCGAACAAGTCATCCAAGCTATCTCAACCTACGAGTGTCTTAATAAGCTTAGCGATTCATGTCGAAATTTTCTTAAGAACAATGCGCTTAAAAAACGTACGTGCACGTTTATTATTGCACGCAATAATTTATTTAAATAAGCCATTTGTATTGCAGAAGTCATCGAGCTCGTCAATGAGATGCACGCGTCTATTAATAGAGTGATAGAGCACTTTGTGAATTTCAATTCGGCGTCGAGTGAAGACCTCGGAAAAGGGCCTAACGGATGGGCGGAAGAAAGTCCTGGTCATTTGTGTTACATTATTAAACAAGCTCTGCGTGATACAGCTGTTGGTAAGTGTTAATATTAAATATTTATTCTTTTAGTCAATTTTATGACTTAATTTTAGTTTGTGCCAAGATGTTGTTACTCTGCGACTTGTTTTGCAAACGAAAAAGCGAGCTAACGCGCGAGGAACGCAATGAAATCATTTTGTACGCGAATTCGCGGGTGCCGATATTGGTAACACAGGTCCTCAAATTTTTCCAAGCGATTAAACGCACATTCAGCGGCATGACACCGGCGCAACGTCAAGAAATCGCCATGTTTCTAGTCCCAGAGGTAAAAAACATTTTAAATTAAATAATATCAACTTCAAATTAAAATATAATTTTTGTAGATCGAATCAATCTTTGATACACTAACAGCTCTAGTTCGCGATACAAACAAAGCGATGGTGAAAGTCCTTGAATTACTGGCACCGCACCAAATCAAGCAGAATAGCGACGCAAGTGAACTCTTGTCCAGGACACTGTGCAATCTGTTGCATAGTAGAGAGATTCTAAAATGTCGTACTCTGCAAGAAATCGTCAGTGGAACACTTGAAGCACTAATGAGCAAAAAGTAATTATTACATTGATGATATTTTGAGTATAAATTAATTAAACTAATTTTATTTATAGGGAAATATTTAACGAAATGACCGAAACACAGAAAATTCGCACCGTGACACGAAACTTTGATCAACTCATCGAGGAGTTGACGTTCTTCCTGATTCAACTGGAAGAATTACCCTCAGCGTTGGACGATAAACTAGAACTGTCCGAGTTTAAATTTTGTTTCAAAGTTGGTACGAGTAAAGTGGTAAGTAAAACATTAAACTAGCTTCGAAAACAAATAAAGATTTGATTTGAATATTTAGGCTGGTATTCTGGAGACTTTGGTAAAACATCGCAAAGTCTTACAAGCATTATTAATGCACGTGTGCGAATTAGTCCAACGTGATACTTTCATGCAAGCACTCCAAAAACTCGACTTATTAGAGGTACCAAGTTCGTCCACAGTCGTCGACGAAGCTAAAGAAGAAAGGAAACGAATTTCAACGCCTAAACATCAACAACAGCAACAATCATACAAGGTTAGGCTTTAAAATGTTCTCGAAAATCTTTAAACTCATCAAATATTTTATAGTTTAACTTGGTAAACACCTTATATGTGCCTCCGACCGCGAAACATAGCAATTTAGCGAAGAGATCTCTGGATCTCTTCAAAACCGGCACAGGCACTGATATGGTTTTCGAAGTCCTTTCACCCAACAATCAAGAAGATGAAACTACGCAAGATGGCGGCAGCGAAGAATCGACTTGCATCAAAGCGCATCGTGTTATCGTCGCAGCGAGATGCGACTGGTTCCGGCGCGCATTACAGTCCGGAATGCGAGAATCCATCGATCGAAAGATTATCATTCATGATACTTCACCATTCCTCTTTAGAGTATTCCTTGAATACTTATACGGAGGGCGAATAGAGGAGTCGCTCGGTTTGTCAACTGAACAATGGTCTGATTTGTTATTACTGAGCGACCGTTACGAAGTTGATTCGTTAAAACAAGTTTGCGAAGGCATATTGCAAGCTAGCATCGACATGGAGTCAGCGTTGTATTACTTAAGCATGGCTGATCAGTTTAATGCACGAATATTACGCGTGAGTGCTTTTAAACTTCAATTTTTTTGTATAAATAATTATTTTGACGTGATAACGTCTTTAAAATCGTTTTACGGGTGACATGTTCAGAAACTGTGTCACGAGGCCTCTCGAGGCCGATCGCAGGTATACCCCCCTCTCGTTATAACGAGAGAGAGACGACCGATCTCCCATCTCATCTCGAGCGCTGCCAGTCATTCCGTGACACTTGTGACGCGGAATCCACACGAGCGGAGGCAGGCATAGCGTTCGAGTGAGTGGACCGATCTTCCGTCTCTCTCACTCTAGCGGCATACAAACGAATGGAGATTTTCTCGTGCGGTTAAGTTTTCGTTGAATGTTTAACAGTAAAACAAAATGTGAAGTGCAAGTGAAGTGTTACAACAATTGCAACAAACAAAACTTCATCACCAATAAGACGTTATCACGTAAACATCTCGATCGTAAACCTACTTTACAAACAACCATTTTTTTGTGATTTCAGAATGCTTGTATCGCATTCATCGCCCAAAATCAAGAACTAACCGAAAGCGAACTATTCTACGAGTTACCAATAGCTCTCCAAGCTGAAATCTTCGACTCTGTATGGTCACATCCTCCGAATAATCGAAAAACATATACGGACACTCCAGACGAAGCGATCGCGGATAATTCCAAAAAGGTATGTTAAGATATTACCGTGAATACATAGAAATTCAACTTAAAGATTAGAATTTTCTGCTTACAGCTACACTCCCGTATCTGTTCAGTCGAAGATCTCCCTAGTCAGGACACCGCGCGCTTGCAGCAATGCATCCTGCAGATGCGCGACATCCTTGGCGACACTGCATCACACGACATCTTGGTGCAAGTTGTCCTCGCCGCGGATTACGACCTCTGCAGAGCCATCAATTATTTCTACGCGCGCGAGTGATGAACCCCAGTGAGATAAATTTCTGTTGCTTTCCAGCGAGTATATCGTGTGATTGTTACACATTTCAAATTGCGCGTGCGTGCCTGACGATGATGCGAGAGCTCTAGCGTGGCAGTATACAAATGCTTTAACAATGTTTTATCAAAAAGGAAAAAACAAATTGCACCGTTGAGATTTTTATAATTCCTGTTAGACGTAAACGCTCTTTCGTTTTTGGATGTCTCTCTGCGTGTTTGTGCATTTATCGGGTATGTATTTCTTAATCCAGCAGTACGGCTAGTCAAACTTTTTTACTTGAATATTTTAATATTTTTGTTTCCGAATCTCAGAACCAGCCTAGTCAAATTATAATCGACACACTTAAACAGTACGAATGTAGCCTGTCATTGTAACGATAAAAACTCGTCTTCGCTATTGTTTGAGAACCAATTATTAAAGTGGCAGTATTACATTTAAATGCTAGTGATCTATTATTTTAGTAAGTTTGTGACGGAAGCGGCAAAACTATGTGGTAATCAAAAATTATTAGTACATTCTCGTAATACACGATTTAAAATGATATGCATAGCATTTTTAAATGTTTCTAACTTTTAAATACATTATAAAAATGATTTTACCTAATGGACGTCATTACCAGCAGCATGAAGAGATACGAATTGAGGTTAGTCGGCGCAGGGCGGTATATGACGTTAGGTAATATTATCAATCACTCGAAATTATATTCGTAGTAACCACAAGACTAATTTACTTGTATTGCAAAACATATTGAGCTATTATATCCATGTTATTGTTATTAAATTATTTATAAAATAAAAGTTCTTTAAACAGGTAGTATCATTTTGGGGTTATGTTATGTATGCACCATCAACATCTGTATTGTCATCGGACTGATTGAACAATCAGTTAATATATGGTTACATAGGAATTTAATTTAATTTACAAAATATTTATTAAATAATAAACAAATATTACCTTATTTCTTCTTGCGTTTATTGCCTCTGTCCATGGCATTAAGCTCGGACTGTTGCATAGCCGCTTCGGAGAAGATGCGTTTAACTTTGTCCCTTCGTTCAGCATCGCTATAAATAAACAAGAAATAATTGAAATACATTCATCCACTATTGTTATTATTATCAAATCGTACCTTTGTAACTTTCTATCCAACTTAACACGCCCCAAATAAGCTTTATCTCTGCGTATTTCACGCATTGCGCCTTTCTTCTCCTTTTTCAGTTTGTATATGAGTTTATCGCGTTCTGCCTTTTCTTTACTTTGTACTTTATGCTTCTTGGCATCATAAACCTTCTCAATACTAGGATCATAGAGACGCAAAGCCTTTGGTTTCACTTTATCCAACTGCAAAAACTCCAACTTTCTGTTGCCTTTGTACTCTTCAATAGTGGTAATAAAATTTCGTATTTCATTAGATAAAATATCATTATAGTATGTTAATGGAATTTGTTGTAAATATTTGTAGCTCTGTTCAAATATTTCATAACAAGATGGTAGGTCTAGTAATTGTGTATAGAAGTCTTTTAAGAGGGAAACTGCCACGTGCAGTGTGTTGTGTTTGAAATCTTCGGTGATTTCAGAGTTTTCATCAGTTTTTAACAAATCAATCACGTTCATTTTCGGTGATTGAACATTTAAAGTTGAATGATCAGTCATAACTAAAAGCGATGATTGCGATTTGAACGGTGGTAAAACTTTTAGGATTTTTACAGTGCTTTTTGGTATCGCCATGTGGATAATCCCATTCAGAAAACAAATTGTTACTGGTAGAAAACGTTTAGATAATTTAGTATACTAAAACAACAAAAAACATCAAATCAAAACCAATTTTCTTTGTAGTTATTGCAAAATGTACAAAAACTCACCTCTAAATGTATGCAAAGAAGGAACAATCCATACGCAATATCACGCTTGGTCTTAACACGTGACCTGAACAACATTTGTTCCATAAACATCACACACGGTGTGACAACATGATGTTGAAAATCAGACGTAGAAAAATACAACCCACCAATTTCAAGTACACCAACACCTCAACGCCTGGATAACTCTTCTTTCCCCTAAACTCACCCTGTTTCTCTTTAATGACTTCAACTAGACTTGTCGCGGCATTTTCAAGATTTAAATCTGCTAAATCATATAAAAATGGCGTCAAATTGAAGAATATTTGGAACATATTTTTCAACTCGACTTCACTCTCAATTTCAGTGCATAAATCGTTAAAATACTGCAATAAATAAACGAATAACATTCCAAGGGCATCTTTGTTGCCTTCTTTAAGACTGGGATGATTGCATTTGATCATTCTTTCAATGATAACGGCATGATGTTCCGGAGATTTACCGTGTAGTTTACCGTAGAGTTTATCGTAATTTTCTGGTAATTTAAAAGTGTAGGGTAATTCATTGCGAGCTATTTCCATTATTTCTTTTCTTCTAATGAGATCTTCTTTTATTTCTTCGGTAGTTTTCGGAGGTATTGGTTTATCTTCAATTGGTTCTTTATTTGTGTTTTTTAATATTCCACTTTTTATTTTAGTAGAAGGAATCGTTGAAGTTTCATCTGAATTGTTAGGTTTTACCTTTTTAGTTAATTGTATTGATGTTGGTTTTGGTTCATTGTCATCTTCTTGGTCTTCTTCAGACTTCTCAAGATCATCCTCTTGCTCTAATGCATTATCTTCAAGTCCCCTCTTCTGCCTGCTCTTGTTCACCATCACTTTCTTCTTCTTTCTCTTCAGTTTCCTGCAATTCAAAATCGCAATCGTTTTCTGTCGGTTCCTGTTCATCATCTTCTTCTCTTTTTCTTCCTCTTGTGATTGCTCCAATTCATCATCTTCTTTTACTTCTTCTTCCTCCTCCACCACTTTTACTTGCTTTTCTTTTAATTGTTCCAACTCATCCTCACTTTCAGAGTCTGATGCTTTTAAATCAGATAAATCATCATCAGTTTCAGCTTCTGATTCGTCTTCTTCATCATCATCTTCATTATCATCATCTGCATTGTCATTATCAGGATCAAAAGCATTACTTTCACCATCAATAGCATCTTCGTCTTTATTGTTGATTTTAATATTTAACAAAACATTCGATTTGCCTTCCTGATTATAAGACAGTGTAACCTCTTCAATTTCTTCGTCATCATACGCAAAATTATCGTCTAAATCGTCCGCGCTTCTATGTTTGGAAGTTTTCGGTTTGTCGAAAACTCCATGCATTCTTTCCAACCTTTCACGCTCTAATCTATAAAAAATATTATTTAAAATTTGTTTTAAAAACTCTTTTAATTATAAACATACTTCTCTAATTTTTCTTTATCTTCTCTGGCTATTTCATCCTCAGTTTTCAACTTGTCTGATGGAGTACCTCTTGCTTCAAACTTCAGCTCTCTCATCACTTTGTCATAATCATCCACTTCTGCCTTGCTGTCAACTTCACTTGACTTCTTATTCTTGTTAACCAATGGAAGCAAATCCTTCCACTCTGAGTCCAACTTTTCAGTCAACTCAACTGTTGCTTCTTTTGCTTCTGCATTTCTGCTTTCCTCTTCTTACTCTCAATAATCAACTGTTCAATTAAATCCTTATGAGACTTGGCACCATCAGCTTTCTTCAACATGCCACCACCAAAATGCACATCTCTCACAAACTTGGAGTCTAACTTTCCACTGTCTTCCTCATCCTCATCCTCAGACTTTGGATCATCAAACTTTTCAATTTCACTCAGTGTTTGCCCTTTGTGTGTGAGCACCTCATCATCAGCAAGATTAAAGATGTTCTTTTATTGTGCTGCTTAACTCTCATAGCTGTATACCTTGCCATGCTTTTATCTTCAGCAGATAAACCTGAATCTCTTTCACCTATTCTCTTGTCATGAAATGTATTGCTTTTATTTAGCATTTTGTACTCTGGTAGCAATGTATGTTTGCGTTTTGCCAGAGCTTTAGCACGAGCAACTCCTGGTAAACCGCGATCATTTTTAAGTTTTCTTCCAAGCACTTTGATTTTCTCATTATTAATGTGAACCTCAAACGGATTTAATACTTTTTGCGAGCGGTTTCTTTCTTGGAGGAGATTTTGTCTGCGCCACTGCGCTTCTTATTCTTAACTTTAACCATTATCACTTTATTTAAACAACACAGAACTTAACTCATGAGAAATTCACAACTTACAAACTTTAAGAAACATGCATGACAGGCATGCTTGATTTGTAGGGTTATGTTTAAAAACAACGTGAGACAACTGACATACAGGACAGGTTGGTGAATACGCTGCGCGTCGATTGGCCGCAACAAAGCAAACGAATCTTTAGCAATTGAAAACATTTTGTAGAGAACGCCCCGTATCCCTTGAACTAATGTACTTCTTTTGAGTTTCTCCCAGTTATACTGTAGTTTAACAGACTCTTTATACTATGTATATATTTTAATGTCCTAAACACCCAAAGAATGACTTAAAATGTCCATTAATATCAGAATTTTTCGAAAAATTTGCAATTATTAAGTGGAAAACGCTCTGTATCTCGTGAATTGTTTTAAGTTTCACATCTTCATAATGTAGCTTACGAATAAGTTTTAATTATATATTTACTTCATATTTGAAATATTTATTTATTTATAATTTTTCGTGAATATTGATTTACAATTTATATTTGGAGTTGACATGTTTCGCCCAGAGGGCATCTTCATAAACATTTATGAAGAGTTTATGAAGAGTTTATGAAGATGCCCTCTGGGCGAAACATGTCAACTCCAAATATAAATTGTAAATCCAATATTCACGAAAAATTATAAATAAATAAATATTTCAAATATAAAAATGGATTACATATTCGCCAAAGAAAGTAATAAATATATTTACTTCAATTGAAAATGTATTCATCATAATACTCATCAAGAAAACAACTTATCCTAAATAACTGAAACAAAATGACAATTTCACGCTTTAACATTCGTTGGGCATCCCGCCGGGTTCTCCAAAACCAAAACTCTACCATTTACATTTTTAACTTTACAGAAAGGCTCTGAGCTAGTAGATCTGGTCTCTAAACTCTCATTTCTCGTTACATAAATAGTGCTTCCACTTGCATTAGCAAACGCATCCTTAGTGACGACTTTACCTTTGTTGTCAAATAAATTAAAATTGCAAGGTATACCAAACAAGCATCCAACTTCATGTGCAAAATCATCAAAACTCAACTTCTGTTTTCTCGAATTTTGCAACAAAACCAGCCCTTTGGTACCTCTCCTACCAAATCTCGGCTCAATTCCAACCAACTCAACATTAACCCATGGACAGCTAGGCACAACACAATTAGAAATCTTTGTTAGTTGCACCGTCAAGGTGCTGTCCTTCAATTTCTGCGTTTCCTCCATGATTAACGAGTCTTGAGATGTTCTATCCTTTTGTAATTTGAAAGGCGCTCTGATAGCTTCTTCAATATACGTTGAAAACTCCTTAGCAACCCGTGCCAAGTCACCATTCGTGCTATAAAACACCGTAATTTCATCAGTGGGTACAAGTTGCGCCTTCTTCCTAAGTTTCTGCACACGATTAATTATCTCCCTGGCAGTACCCTCATCCTGCATAGACTGATCCGGTGTCACGTTCAGCAACACCAAAACATCATTGTCACTATGCACCTCATACTTCGATGAAGTCACATCGTCAGATTTAAAGATCAATCGGACTTCCTCGATGCCAATCTTATGTCCACAGATCATTTTGTGACCATCCTGCACCATCTGATTAATCTCACCATCACCCAAAGCTTTAATAGCAGCGGTAACTGCTTTAAAGTCATTCTTTAGCCTCAATCCAAGCGTTTTATGATCTGGTTCAGCTCTTAAAGTAACACCGTACTTACTCTTGTCTGTTGTGGTTGTCATTGACCTAACATTCAACTCACCAAGTATATAAGGCTCCAAAGATACAACATCATCGATATACTTAGAATCTTGATGAATAACAACCACATCCGGTAGCGGGTACTTAATAGGGATAGTTTTCCTATCGCGGATTACTCTGCCCAATTCAATGACGCTCTGCATCCTACTTACAGCTCGTTCAATATCAAGATTGATCAATGTTTCATTGGGAGTTGGTAGCATAAGGTAATGAACACTGTCGGCTTCCTCATCGGTCAATTTCTTCAAGTATTGGAACATATTGTCAGCCAAGAAAGGCGCAAACGGCGCCATCATCTTAACAATATTCAACAATACATTGAAGAGAGTGAACAAAGCCTGGCGACAGTCTTCAAGGCCACCTTCACCCTTTAGACGCTTGCGATTCATGCGTACGTACCAATTAGTCAAATAATCGATGTATTTCGTAAGTCGGGGCACAACAGTGTATAAATGATACAGCGCCATTTCCTTCCTGACATAATCAAGCAATGATTGCGTGAATGACAAGATCCATCTATCCATTATATTAGTACTCTTCATGTCAACTTCCGAATACTTGAATGGAACCTTATTATCCACCACATAAGACTCTACATTCTGCAAAAGGAATCTGAATGCATTGTACCAAGGAAGGAAGACATCTTTCACGATATCACGAACACCTTCCTCTTTAAATCTTAGATTTTCCGCGCGTACAACCGGTGAATTTATCAAATACAATCTGAGCGCATCAGCACCGTATTTCCTAACAACTTCCAGCGGATCCGGATAGTTTTTCTTACGTTTGGACATCTTTTGTCCATCACTAGCCAAAACCAAGCCATTTACAATCAAATTCTTAAACGGTGCCTTACCAAACAAGCATTGGGAAACCACTAACAAAGTATAGAACCATCCTCTGGTCTGATCAATACCTTCAGCAATGAAATTCGCTGGGAAAGCCTCCTCAAACTCCTTCACATTCTCGAATGGGTAATGCATTTGTGCATATGGCATCGAACCAGACTCAAACCAACAGTCAAACACCTCAGGGACACGTCTTAATGGAGGATTACCCGGGATACGAGATGGAATTTCTATGTGATCAACGCTCTCGCGATGAATATCCGTGATTTTCAATCCGGTGAGCTCTTCCAGCTCAGCAATGCTTCCAATACAACGCATTTCATCCCCGGAAGGAGACATCCAGATAGGAATAGGTGTACCCCAGTAACGATTACGTGAAACAGCCCAATCACGCGCCTCTTTCAACCAGTTACCGAAACGTTTATCTTTTACAAAGTCAGGTACCCAATATGTTGATGAGTTTGACTTTAGAAGTTCCTCAGACATGTGTTCAACGCGTACAAACCAGGAAGGCACTGCTCTGTAGATCAATGGAGTATCTGAACGCCAACAGAAGGGATAACTATGTTTCACTTGACTGTGATGAAACAATCTTCCATTTGCTTTTAAATACGCGATGATGTGCTTATCAGCATCCTTGATATACTGCCCTTGGTAATCAGTAACGGCAGATGTGAATCTCCCACTCGCATCAACAGGGCAGATCGGGTCCTGATCACGAGTGATAACACCATTTGCAAGACAAACGCGGTAATCGTCTTCACCGAAATATGGTGCTTGATGTACCACACCAGTACCACTCTCCTGGGTGACATAATCATCCAATAAGACTTTATACGCACCTTGTTTCTTCATTTGATCAGCAAAGTAATTAAAAATCGGCACGTACTCCAAACCTTTCAGTTTAGCACCTGGGAAGGTTTCTTTTACTTCATAATCGCCTTCTTGGAACACAGCTTCAAGACGTGCTTCCATAACGATGTAAAATTCTCCTGTGGATGTCTGCTTTACCCTGACATATTTATGTGCTGGATGTACACATGCTGCTAAATTTGATGGTAGTGTCCATGGTGTTGTAGTCCAAACAAGCAGAGAAGCTTTATCTTTATCTCCAATGATGGGTAACTTGACTGTTACAGCTGGATCAATTACATCTTTGTAATTTTGGCCAGATTCAAAGTTTGACAGTGGTGTATTGCAAGCAGTGGAGTAAGGCATCACTTTATTGCCTTGATAGACAAGTCCTTTGTTGTACATCTGAGTGAATACCCACCAGATGGTCTCCATGAACCATGGGTATAGGGTTTTGTAGTCATTTTTGAAATCAATCCATCTGCCAATTCTGGTCATGATGCTCTCCCATTCATTGACATATCTTGTGACAATCTTTCTGCATTCTGCATTGTAATTGCCAATGCCCATCTTGGCAACATCTTCAGGGCCTTTGATTCCCAGGGCATTGTCAATTTCAAATTCAACTGGTAGACCATGAGTATCCCAACCAAAACGACGTTCTACGTGGAATCCTTGTTGATGTGCATAACGAGTTACAACGTCTTTGATTGTTCCTGCTAGGATGTGACCATAATGCGGAAGGCCGGTCGCGAATGGAGGACCATCGTAAAATGAATATCTGAATATTGATTTTAAATATTTTAGTGTTAAATCTAATTAAATATGCTTACTTTTATAGATAGATTATATTTTAACGTACCTGGGTTTATTTTTCGACTGTTTTAAGCAAGTTCTAAACACGTCTAATTCCTTCCATAAGGTTAGGATCTTCTCTTCCTCTTGAGGAAAGTCGATTGACTCAGGCACGCGAGGAATGTCCTGCACTCTTTGGTTTTCCATCGTGAATGATGAAATATTTCACCTGAACGATTCAAATACTCCGAGTTATTTCAACTTATCGCGTAATTACTGAAATAAATCGGTAGAATTACATCAGCTGCACAACGTGCCGCTGACAACTCAAATACACATTGCTCTATTGTAGCGACATCTACATGAACTAATTTCTAAGGTAGACACGAAAGCAATTTGAATTAAAAACAATTTTTGGGAGTTATTATCACAGCTAACTTCTTTAACTTTCTGATCAATGTAAACAGAGGAAAGAGAAGAGGACTTAGATATGTGCGAATGGACTATTGAACGACTTTGGCACGTTTGAGGACTGTGATTGCCAAGGGTTGCCCTTTGAGTGGACAACCCGCAAAAAGTGGTGGGGTTAAGTGGCTACGTGCATAATTGCGCGAAAGAGGGCAAGTTGTGCATATCTGTGAAGTTGGCGGAACAAAATAAAGAAAAGAAGCAAACGTGCTTTTATTATTGATGATTCCTTTTGTCTTCACGAAATAACAGGTTTGGAGGTCTATTCTACACCAGATATTTAGTATATTATATCCAATACTTTAATAGTTGCAAGATTTATATTTCATATACTCTATCCCTAAAGAAATGTATAGTTATAGTCACAACAAAATCGACTATGAATATTAAATACTTAAAATCACAACAAGACTTAGATAAGTTGCCAGATAGATATATAAATTAAATGCGCTCCAGGCAAGAATATTCAGAAACTAAATTTACCCCTAACTTTAAAGAAACCAAGCGTGTTGCGATTATGTATGAGCGAACTTAACCCGACGTAATTCTGCAACACGATTGATTTATGATGAATGGTAACATTGTCGTAGTTCTCTCGTCCTATGATCAAACGTAATTTATCCAGGAATTCGTCGAAACTGAACATCAGGCGGTCGTCATCGTTGCATTCGGTGTGATAGTACAAAGGATGAGAAGTGAGAGTGAAAATCGGCGCGTCGTCGTTGAACGGGTTCCATTTTACAGCGAATTTCAATGGTTCACCGCGGTTCCACATTAGGCGTACACCTCTTGCATTCCGATCCCTAAATTTTAAATAAAATATTATTCGTGATATCAAAAGGAAAAGAAACAGAAAAAAAAAACACGAAAATCAAATGTAAAAACTTAAATATAAAAAAAACAAAATTGTTTTATGTTTTGGTAGTGTCAAACCTTGGCTTGAAAGCTTCATAAGGATTAATATGCGTTTGCGTCCAACAACTATGAACCATGTTGGTCAATCCATCAGCAAAGCCACTTAAGCGACTTTTTGCGTGCACAAATCACAAAATCATTCAAATTTTACATTTTTTCCCTCAAAAATCAAATAAATCTTAATACTTACGGCACTAATGAGCCAGGTGGATAAACCAAATCTCCAATCACAACATTATCCAAGTTTTTAAGGAAAATTCGACGATATTCAAGTATTTTCAACGCAATAAAATCATACTTCACACTGATTACACAGTTTGTCATCAGTAGAATCAATCTTTCCTTGTCTGAATCCCATAGGTTAATCCTATAAGTTAATAAATACATAAATTATAAGTCATAAATAATTTTTTGTAATTTTTCTTTACTCTGTTAATAAATATTTGCCAACTAAAGCACCATCCACTTCTGAGATGATGTCTGAGATGCAATCTCCAACAGCCTTGTCAATAATCCCATCACGATAAGTAAAATAATTTGTTGCAGTCTCAGCTTGCAGGGCAATTGCTGAATGGTTCACAGTTTTGATGCCATTGAGAGAGTTTTTGGTACCTGTTGATATTCTCCTAACCAAAGGAGTGACTAAAAAATACAAAATAATAAACTGATACAACTTCTGCAGTGCTTGTTGATGTATTACTCTTTTCAGTAATATTAGTAAGTAAGGTTTTTGGTGGTGATTCCACTGTTGAATCATCATTCACATTGCTGCCTAGAATTTTATCATCAACTGAAGAAGTCTCACTGCCATTACTTGGAGATGTTTTCCCTAAATCCTCACTCTTGGACACATCACGTGTGATTTGCAGCGTGCCTTTGAATTCATCCGGAATGTCATCTTCTAGTTCATCCATCATTTTGTTTGTGTGTTAATTTAGTTGACAAATAAAAAATGATGTTTTAGTGAAGTTGATAATTTGAAGTGCTTGTGGGAAAGCTACAGGTTGACTTTGATTTTGTCACAGTGTGGAAACTGTCACCTGAAATAAATTGTGTCCTATATGAATACAGTATGCAATTATCGGTTTGATAAACCTACCTGCATCAAGTCAACATTTATTTCGTAGAAATTATCGGTGAAACAAGTACATTGTGTACCTGTGGTGGCTGTGTTAATTATTTCAGTCTTATTATGCCACCAGTTGCTCCGTGGATTGTATGTTGGGTTGCATATCTTAAACTAACAAATTTATAAAATTAAATTTTACTTTTTGTTAAATTTGCAATAAATAACTATTATTAGTAGCATATTTTATAAATAAAGTATTTTTTATTTATTATTCAATAGTTCTTAAGTGATTTTTATCATTTTACTTTGGTTTCTTTATTTTTTTCTTAAAGATTCGCTGAATTTGCAAATTATCAATGATAAAACATAATTAAATGATTAAATTTCTTTATAACCGCCACACTAATAACTTAAACAAGTATCAAAGACTAGAATTGAATACTTAAAATAGTTTTTGATAAATTAGTACTGAAACATGTTTGCGAATTAAATTTAATAATAATTTAATTAGGTAAGTTGTGTTTACATCACGCAGGTATTTTCATAAAAGCGTAAATTCCCTGAACTTACATTTAATACAGTGTAGGCGTGCTCTATTAATATTCGAGTGCATAATCTATTAATGACCGCAAAAAGCGCGCATTGAAGCCGCTACAAAACACGCGCCACAAAATAGCAAAATGTAAAACGGCATCACTTCCGCGCATTGAAAATTCACTGGAAATGCATAACGCGTCTGACGCCAAACAGACTTAAGAGATTATGAAGCTGAGAGTCTCTTGAAGCGTGTAAATGCATAAACAGCCCGCCGCTGAAACAAAGTAAGCGATATGTAATTCTTCCGATGCGAATACCAACCGCGCGTGTCACGGCCCGCTGACGTCGGTGATAGATTCGCAATGCGATTACGATGGCAGTCGTGGTGCGCAGATTTTTCGGCGGGCGGCGAATGACGCTCACGCTGCGGGGGTGGTTCGCGCGCCATTGGCGAACGCCGGCGGCGGTCGCCGAAGACGCCCCGCGGAGATTCAAAGAGCAGCGAGCGCCGCACGCACGCACATAGTGCAATCGCAGCGAAGGACGACGGCAGGTGATCGGCGAGCGCAAAACGGCGCGTTCTGATATTCTCAGGTGCGAAAACTTCTAAAAACCCACAAACACTCAGAAAAACTTGATAAAAATCTCAATAACTCTCAATAAATTTAATATTTTCAGAATGCTGACTTGGTGGTTTCTCATCGCAGCCATCTCGCTCTCCAACGCCTTTCTGTCTACGTCCGTAAACGCCCGCGACACATGGCAGAAGCCAGGATGTCATAAAGTCGGTGAGTGATCAAATTAATCAGCATTCACTTAATTATTATGTTTGGTTAGTATCACGTGTGCGAAATTCCAAACTCCATTAATGTGCGTCAATCAATGTGTGGTTAATGTGTCAAATTTTATTACATTTAACTACATTGCGATAATAATTTAACGAGCGAATAAGTTACGAGCGGGACATTTGCATGGATTCGCACATTCCGGATTTATCCGCGCATAGTTGGTGACGATTATCTGTTAGACGGACTTTGAGGAAATTACTTTTCACTCATTCTAACATTCGACATGTTAGTAGCATGCAGAATCAATATCCGTGGATGTCATTGTGTCAAAACACATTGATAGATACTGTTTGATTGGATAACTTAGTTTTAAAACTTTTTAGGCAGGAAAAAGCGTTATTTAGTTAATAATATTGAAATTAGTCATAATTTTAATATAATTTAGGTTTTTAACGCAAATTTTAGTTTATGTGTTTGTTTGTGACGCTTTTACTCAAAAACCACTGAAAATATTTTAATAATATTTGGTGTAGAGATATTATTGACTGTGGAGAAGTATATAGGCAACTTTTATGCAGAATTTTAACTTTTAAGTCTAAAATTAAGGTTTAAAGTTAATATTGACATTTAATCATAAATATAGTTAAATATTTTGAACACAGATGGCGCTAAAATGTGATATTCGATGTTTTTCTTGTTTTTCAATTAAAATTCCGAATTTTATTAACAAATTCAACACATAATACACTTAGGAAACATTTATTTACTATTTCTCTAGGCCACACAAGAAAAATTAGCATCCCGGATTGTGTCGAGTTCCACATGACGACGAACGCATGCCGCGGTTATTGCGAAAGCTGGGCGGTGCCATCAGGGCCGAAGGCAAGCCCCACGCAGCCGGTGACTTCCGTGGGACAATGCTGCAACATTATGGATACGGAGCCGGTGGAGGCACGCGTGCTCTGCGTGGATGGCGTCCGAACTCTGACGTTCAAGAGCGCCACCAGCTGCTCCTGCTATCACTGCAAGAAGGATTAAACTACGCATGCCATCAATTGACACTCGAGGTACTTAACTTTATCAACAGGTATCAATTGGCTATCGTACCCTTTTCTGTTTTCCAAAAAATACGACAAAATTTAATTTCATTTAATTTTGAACGCCGCTGGGAACTTTTAATTACACTTTCCGCATTATAAGCTTTCAGTCTGTCGCAAACAAGTAAAACTTTAACCTTTAATATTCGCGGAATGCGTGATTTTCAAATTGGGCCAGGCGGTAATCTCTAAAGTGGAATTTTATCGAAAGTTTTATTTGCGTTTATTGAATCATCGTAATGCGATTTGGGTTTAGAAACACACAGAAATAATCCGGTGTCAAATTAGTTTTATTTAAAGTTTAACATAACCAAACTTTATTTTAACTTCAAATTAAATAACTTAACCTCTAAATATTAGTATTGTTGCAGGAAATTCCCCAGGACAAAACTAACAAAGAAAACCATATCACATATTTATTTTAACACAAAAAAAAAAAAAACATTCAAAACCTAATCTAAAATATTCTTTAGAAAAAATTAGCTATATGATTGTCAGTTGCAAGAAAAATGAAAAAATTAAATGAAAAAATGTATATAATATAATTATCGATTAAGTGATGTGTAATTAAGTATGTAAATATAATTATACTGACTGATGCTGACTGAAGAAACAAACACGTCTATGAGAAAACACAAATATCTACGTCTCTTTACGAAATATTAGGAGTACTACTCCAGATTCAGAGTCTATTCTATATCTGCACATTGTGAAGAAAAATGCTATATTCTTACTGTTCATGTAGTACACTTCATTTAAATAAATAATTATAAATGATAATGTAACTGTGTATTAAAATAATAAAGTCCGTATGAAGTGAGTGCAATTATGTCTTGTTTCTTTCTTCTTTTTGAATAATTTTACCAGAAACATGAACAACTAGTGTTGCGGGTCGTGGAAATTACGAGTGGAGCGATACATTGCGGAGAAGCAGCGTGACTGCTTTGGAAAAAGGTAGGTGACGCGTTAATTAACTAATTAAATACACAAAAACTGTAATTAGGCTCGAACTGAACGGAAATTAGTGGTGAATACAGGTAAATAATTGTTTTGTTTGGTATTAATATCCGCTTATATTCAATTTATATGATTGGGAAATATTTGATAAATAATTGATGTTTACAATTAGAATATTTGAATTTTAGTAAAATTATTTGTCTGACATTTTTATTTCTTTCAGTTTTATTTGATTTTTTTACTTAAAGTTAAAATTATTTTCGGTGTGTTTAATTGATTAGGCTGCAGTTTGACAGTTGACAGTTATAACTACGTTTGCAAATAGTGGGCTGCAACCCAAAATACAAATTTACTTGTGTACTTTTATTCTGTTGACATTTGAACTAGTTTTATTGGTTTTGTTCGATTTTGACAGTTGACAGTTATAGCTACGTTTACAAATGCTAGACTGCAACCCAAAATACACATTTAATAGTGTTCTTTTATTATATTGACAGTTTTTACTTTTTATTGCGCCAAAGCAAAGAAATTCTTAAATTTTATTAAAAAGAACATAAATAATAAATAAAAACATACTTTGGAATAAAAATATGTCATGAACAATTATACCGTCATCAACTGACCAAAATAATAACGGAATACCCGAAATTTTCATCCCAAATAAAAAATATTTATATTATAAAATTCTTTCACCATGACACTAATTCCAAACAATATGCGAGTGGTACGCAAAGCAATAAAACTTAGTTTACGACTAAACAAGATAAAATTTGCAAACACCCAACAGACGACAAACAACAAATACGCGTATTACGACGAAGTACGAGAAAAAAGTTGAAGTGGCAAAAAACTAAATGAATGCTACACCTATAACACGCCATTAAGTTTTATACGAACTATAAATAAGTAATATTTAAGCACAAAAAAAAACGTAAACATAAATATTAATTAATTCATAGCTTATATTGTCAATCAAAGAAAATATTAGACTAGAATTTTGGCAGTTGGAGCGTGGGTGTTAGATTTATTATTAATTAATATAATATATTATAAGCAGTTGAGGTTGATGACGTCCCAGGCAAGCTTAACTTCTTTTTTCATTTAATCCTAAGCGGTATTAGTAAGAATTAAGAGTTCTCCTCATTAAATTGTCATGCTTAGACAACAGTTGTTTACAAGGCATTAACGGGGCCGCTCCGCCGAAATGCAAATTTTATTGTGAGTCGCGCTAAGACTGCCGGCGAATCTCATATTTCATTATGAGTGCAAAATACTCCATTCTGATGGAAATCTGCGTATTATCATCGTAATCTGCTTGACTTTTGCGCGTATAATTACTGTGCATTTTCACAAATGTCAAAAACAACCATCAAACACAAAAAAGCAAAAAATTTAAAAAAAGATAAGAAACAGTAAATTAAAACAGTAAATGAAGTAATTTTATTATATTATTATTAATAATTATAAAAATACCTAAATAAATTTATTTAAGTTTGTTTTGGGGTTTATTTAATTCCGAAAGCTTTTTATGTTTCAAGCGCAAATTTTAATCTGTAAGCTTTTTAGGTGGAATACAAACGAGTTGGGTGGAAATGAATGAATGAATTTAAACGCACCCCGTTGTGTCTGGGTTATTACCGAGATGAGTAAGTATGGCGCATGAAATGTTTATCAAGGAACTAATTAACTTGTTGCTTGCGTTGTATTACAACTGTTAGACAATTATTTAGGCATTTATCTTGTACATTCACTTCATGTTTGCATTACGTGCATTATAATTATAAACATGACATTATATTCTCATCATAAAACAAAATATTATTAATAATATCATGTAAATAATCACGTTTTTACTTATAAAACATATAAGATATGACTGGTTGCATATATTGAGTTAGGCAACCAACTATACACTTATGTCATAGTGAAAATAACATAATATGGTGAATAACTTGCAAAATGTGAATTTTTTGATATTGTTTATATTTAAATGTATTATAATTATAAACATCTTGTTATATTTTCATCCCAAGAGCTCAAAAATTAAATATGAATAATATTATATGAATAATTACGTTTTTACTTACAAAATACACAACTACTTGTATTTTTTTAGTTAGGCAACCAATTATACACTTCTCTCATAGTTAAAATAGTATAACACGATTAAGAATTAATAAAACGCGTAATTTTATACGCTGTTAACTTGTTTTTTTGTTAACACCCGCCTTAAAATTGTGTTCTTTTCATCAATAATTAAATTATCGTTCAACAATTAAAATGCTAATCGAATTATGTCACCCGCAAAACTTTTCGCCGTGTTGCCGTGCGATAAAAACCAAGTCTCTTGTTGCGTCTTGTCTTCTCGCTGGAGAATACCCGTTGATTATGTTATTGTTCAATTATATCGACACGAACACGTAGGATGAGCGAAAAGTGTATTAAACTACGTTTAAAAATAAAACCCGTCAAATTAATTTTAAATTTTCATTGTAATTTTTTTCGAATTTTTAACCGATATTACCGAGCATTGCATTCATAAATCACATCTTGCGCGCCTCCACCATGTCGATCGTGAACGATTTAATAGGCGCCAATGAAACGCGGCATTAATTAGATTTCTTTACCGCGAATATGTCAACGATTTCCCGTCATGTCATAGCATTATCTACACCTTCCTTACGAGTATTTCACTCAATGCTGGAATTTTTTGTTTTATTCAACTGAAATGTCGATATTCTTAAAATAGATTAATTAAATATTTTATTGTTTTTATAGACCTGCAATCCAGTAAAAATAAATAAAAATATTGAATTTTAAGCTTGTTATTAACAAAAAACAAATTAAAAGTATGAAAAATTTGATTTCATGTGTTTATAACCTTGTTATGTTATTAAAACTATGACAGATGTGTATATATGGATGCATAACTCTATATATGCAACCAATTATACATTTTATAATTTAAAATATATACAAATAAACACATTAGCGATTATAAAAAAGAGAAAACAAAATCACATTCACATTTTGATTGGAATTAACACATCGCCAAACCTTTAACATCCAAGTGACGCGAATCAATTTTTTAATTAACGAACGAGTGCTAAAAAATTCAAACGACAAAATTGCGGGTGTCGAGCGCTTTTTTGTTCCCTCGAATTACGCACACCCACTCGTGAGCGCTCAAGTTGCACAAGGGAAGTTTTCACATGAAACAATGAAACGCTTCACGTCTGATCACTCTAAACGCGCTGCAGAAACATTTTATTACTATAAACGTATTTTTACGCATGTACCCATGTAAAACATACATTTTTAATTGAATTCAACCAAAAATACGTTTTAAATAATGAATTAAATGAGATAACATTCCACATGCTTCTAAAGAAAAAAGGAAAAAAAATTGTGAATGAAGTTATTTAATCTGTCTAATAAAACACGTGAAATATTCCAGGTAGGAAGCTATTATATTTTCTCACCGCACTGAAAAAAAACTAATCTATCATTTTAGTTTCGTAATAAATTTTAAATCGCACCGGCTATTTTTAGCACAAAAGAGTTTGGATATTTTCTCAAGAGGAAAACGTAAAGGTAACAGATTAATAAATAATGCACAGTACAAGATTTCAATCTTTTGAATCTCCTGAAGGTTCATCTTGTCTAAAAGTCTAAAGAATGAAGTCAAAAGTCTAAAGAATAAAGAATAAACTTCTACAATATATGCAACTAAATATGCTTCTTCCTGACGCTTGTAAGCAGATTGGTTATGAGTACTTTTAAGCATTTTTGAGAACCAAATTTTTACAGGTTTCTATTTTATCTTCTATAAACGGCATCAAACAGTGCAATGCGAAGTGGAAATGAATTCATTTGCGTATTTTACATTCACACTCTCCATTTGCGCTTACTTACATATTCATTGTCTACATTTCCAGAAGAATATTCACTATTGTTTGATCGAGCGGAAAGAAGGTGGGAAAATTGCACAATTGCAAATGCAACACCTACTTTCCAGAACACTTAGGGGTATTATCTTGTTTTTATGTTTTCTTGGAAGTGGAATATTATTTTTGGAATTTTGTAACATTGCGCAATATAAATAACGTCAATATTTATATGTTCGATAGTCGTACCGCAACTCAAACATGACATTAATGTAAATACATAATGATATATTAAGTATCAAGTGGATAAAAAAGGATTTTTGTCACGAGAGTGATTTAGAGTAAACGTAGCAAGCGTTTAATCAATCGAGTGTATAACAACGTTTAGCCACGTTATGCTTAAGCTATTTTTTTATTTCTAATTTATTTTTACGTTGAAATTTTTGTATTTAAACTTTTGTTTATTAAATCTTTGAAATTCGCTTGCATACTACTGGAAAATTTGAGGTTATAGATGCTAAACCTCACCCCGTGACTAAAACCAGTGACTAAAGTACTTTAATACACTTTTATTCTTTATTAGTTTATTTTTTGTGGAAATACAGAAAATAAATTATTCTGATTTTAAAAATATTAAAATATTTTTATGATTTGAAACCAAAATTCTATTTTTAGTAATATTTTCTTCTTACATATAGATCATATTAATCCCCAAATCAACAAATGTAAATCGACGTGATGCATCCGACGCAGATTCAACATCTTATCTTGTGAGATCGCATGATCGTGTGAGTACATTAGGTCTGTGGGCTCGTTTAAAATGCGTGGATGTAACTTGTTTAAACAGCATTTTCCAATCACTTAAGGGCGCGTTCTTGGCGTGCGGGTGGAAAATGGTCGCGCATCGTGTCGCGCCCGATTAATGCGCGCCGTGCAGGCCACGAAAATATCCGATTATTTGTTTAATTGAACAAATAATGCGCCAGACCTCAAAATTATTGCGACGTGGGTTTTAAATTCGATTATCCCAAATCAAAATTTTGGTTGGAAAAGTATTCAAAGTTTTAGGATTCAATTATTAATGCATAAAATACTTTTTCGGGGTTTAATTAAACAAGAAAACAAAAGATAATAATATATAAGTTAGTGAATTGATATTTTGAAACACTTAGAACGTGAAAAACATGTTTTTAATTTTAATTTGCATTAAAATTTAGTATTTGGGTGATTTTGAGGTTAAAATCATGCAGTTTTTTAGGTTTTAACCATTTTTTACATTATTGCAATGCTACAAAACATTTTTAAGCTTAAATTTATAAACAGAAGCTTTTAGTAAAACTTTTTTTCATTAAAAAGTCTAAAACTTCTGGTTTGTTAATTTTATATAAGTATTAAATAGGTATATGTTATTTTTAGGATTTTGAGGTTAAATTAATGTCAGCTGGTGCTTGTTAACCAATATAATCATTAAAGCAGTAAAACAAAGTACTTTTAAGCACGTAAAGGAGAAAAAAACGCCTTTATTAATTAAATTTACTCCAAATTTTGCGTTTTTACGATTTTTAGGTTAGGTTATTGACAGATCATGTTTACTAACCAACTTTAGTCAAAAGTCCAATAAAATAAACACCTTTAAACCACAAATCCATAAAACTTTCAATAAATAAACACCAAATCAAGTTAATTTAATAAATTTATTTACTTTCTACAAAAAATACTTTATATTACAGAATACATACATTTCACCATCAAATAATCCCAATACACAGGTATTAACCAACATAGAAAAACATAATAAATATTATACGATTGTGTACACAAGTGAAAGCTCATCACCCAGCCTATGACGAGCTTTAACCGCCCACTCCGCCTTTATATCGATATAATAAAAAGCGCTAATTAGATGTGCAGGAGTAATAAACCGTTCGAGACATGTTTATACAAGTACAGAATTTTTCGCTTGGGTTTTAAATCAAGTTTATATCTCTCTGAAATTAAGCGCGGAATCCAAGTTGATCGGGATGCGAACGATGCGGACGATATCGCAATCCTTCGCAGGATGTATCCGACGATGAGCACAACTGACAGCGGCAGCCGGCCGCCTCCAGGTACTCGTAGCGACGAGCATCTTCAGAGGCGCCTTCTTCGCAATGTCGCAGTTGGACTACGGCTTGGCTACGACCGTAGTGGACACAGACAGGGTGTGAGGACTTTTGTATGGGAAACGCCAATCGGAAATCTAATAATTATAATAATAATAATAATAAATAATAATTAATTGAATTTTAAAAATTTTTAAAAATATTTTTTATTTTTACCTCGTTTGAGTCGCATCTTCCCCAACAAGCCATAACAGTGACAGTATCCCAGCATTGTTTCCCAACTGCATCGCTTTGAGTCACACGATAGGTGTAAGTACTTCGGTGACAGTCCAGTGGATCCTTCATTTCCTTGTTGATTGGTTCCGGGATGGCTTCGATGAGAGTGTTTTGCGCCTTGATGCGCTCCACGTTGCCGACTAAGAGTAACAACGCGACAAACAATCCGAGTTTCATCGTGAAACGCTTTGAAGTATTTTTTAATGATTAAAACACTGGTTTGATTTTTAGTTTAGTTTTTTTTGTTAAAATTTTTTAAAGGGTTGTTTTGATTGTTGTGAGTTTAAAGTTAAAGACAATTTGTTAAATGCGTGTGAGGCGCTCGCGAGCGTACTGCTGTGGTGTTTTCGCGTGTTTTGTGCGCTCCTCGGTCGACACCACCTGAATGCAGGGCGTGCGATCGAAGCGCCGGTTTTCCCCGATTTACGCGGCGATTTACCGTCGATTTTCCGCTGACGGGTTGGCCACTTTTCCACGGTGAGTTACCGATTACATTGCGGCGTTCTGCAGATTAGGAATTGGTTGTTTTGTTATGGAGTTATGGAGTTATGGATTAACATTGATTTCTAATGAGATATTGACGAGAGAAGAATGGGATTTGTTTCAGATTTCAATAAAAATGTTTTTATGTGAATAATCTGAACAATATATTTAAGTAAACATAATAAATAAGTATAATAAACACAAATTATCCTAATTTTTCAATAATATTTCTTCTTGTGGGTGTTTTGTAAGGTATGCAACTTTTTGTGCGCGTAAAATGACGCAAATGGAACCTGAGCTTCATCAATAACCTCACAAATACTAAGGTTACATTATGAATAACTTTTTGTTAAAAAGTAACAAAGTTTTTACCTCCCACGCGGGGAAAACTGTTTTTTGGGTCAACTAGGTGCAATGTTATATTTGAAAAACTATACTGATATTCTATATTCCATCCAAATGTTGAAAATTCAAAAGTTTTGAAATTTAAAACAAAAATTAATATACTACAACAATGTAATTGAATATTATTATTTAATTTTGACGTTTCTGACATTTTATTCATCATTTAAGTCGTGATTTAAGTAATCAAAACATATATTTTCGTTAAAATTAATTAAATTTGTAAAATAAACGGCAATTTTTATTATTTTCTTATAAGATTTATTTTTTAGTGTGTTTAGTAAGATATGCAACTTCTTGCACGTCTAAATTGATGCATTTGGATTCGGAGCTTCATCAATAACCCTAATTTCTAATTATATTTAATTTCTCGTTAAAAATAAACAAAGTTTTTTCATCCCACGCTAGCAAAACAATTTTTCAGACCACCTGAATGCAATTTTAATATATCCAACATAATACCATCACTTTATACTTACACCAGAATCTAAAAACCTCAAAAAAATCTGAAATATGAAAACAAAATTAATTTTCCTTTTGAAATTCAAGAATGAAGTCTGAATGAATGTTATTACAATGACTTTGCCTAGATACGATAACAGTATCATGGAAAAATAACGTGCCTAGACAGATTTGAATCGAACAGATTATTGAATTTTGACGTTTCTGATATTTTATACATCATTCAAGTAATCCGCCCAAATTATCAGTGTTCCCCAATATTATATTTACAATTCTACACAAATATTCGATATTTCTACCTCAACATACAAACTTTTTACCAACTCACAATTTTCAATAACAGACTCGCCGCCTCCTGCAACAACGTACAGTGAAATCAATTGTCTAGCGAATAATTTACAAATATTGAAATCTGGTTGTGGGAAGGCAAAAAAACGGCCGAAAATATCAAAGTAAGACTTTGTTTTCTCTTGATTCCTACAAACCCCTCTTAAACATTTTGCCCATTTTATTCCAGATTGATTCGTAACAGTATCCTTTCAAAACCACAAGCACAAGAAATCCTCCACTGGCGTCGTGTTCTTCGATTTTACCACAAACTTTCTCGCGTATTTTCTTCAATCAATCGCTTCGGGAACACACGCTCATACACCACACACACATTCTCATTAAAAACATACACTAAACAGGTGTTAGAATCAGATGAGCTTGTGTAATAGCTTGTGCTAGTTCTTGTTAGTTAGCAAAATGGCGGCGATGACGCAAATGCAGCCGGCTACCAGCAGTAACACCGACGGCCCGCATGAAACCATCAAGTTTGGCGAGGGCCGTCGCTTGAGCATTCCAGCAATGCAAGCACTCTATGAACTTCAACAGTCTAATCAACTTTGCGATGCGACCATCTTGCTGGACGATGGTTCTGTGTATCCTATTCACAGAGCCATTCTATGCTCATGCAGTGCTTATTTTAAGTAATATTTAATAACCTAAAAATTAAATTTTTAAGTTTTAATGTTTAAATGTGATTTTTGAATCTTTAGAGCTGTATTTACAACATCGCTCCATGGTAAGAACAAGACAAACATCCTTTTACCAGGCGTCTCCCCTGAAATGATGATCCTGTTGATAAACTACGCCTATCTGCGAAAACTGGACATTACCCAAGAGAATGTCTATAAAATAATTGCAACCGCAGATTATTTAAGCATTTTGGGTATCTTGGACATGTGCTGTGATTATCTGGAACAAACCATAACTCCGAGCAATTGCATCGGTATAATGCAATTCGCGAAAAATCAATTTTTACAAAAACTGCACGACGCTTGCTGGAAGTATATCATGCGATATTTTCCTCAGATAGCAGTTGAAAGCTCTGAATTAGTCAATCTACCAGTTGATGACCTGCAGACGATCATCAACGCTGATGAGCTCAATGTAAAAAGTGAAGAAATGGTTTGGGAGGCTATTCTGAGATGGATTAACCTCAAACCCGACGAACGCAAGAAACACATTGTTACACTCATGAAATGCATCCGACTAGGACTTTTAGACACACAATTCTTTTTAGAACACGTTAAAGACCATCCATATGTTACCAGCAGTGATGACTCCCGTCCAATGATCATCGAAACCTTAAAATTTTATATGACCTGGAAACCATCTCACATCGTGATGGAGAAGTACCAACTCCAGAGATAGCTCGCCCACGGGTCCCACATGAGGTGTTGTTTGCTCTGGGAGGTTGGAGTGGGGGTTCCCCAACGAATTACATGGAAACCTATGATACCAGAGCAGATCGCTGGGTGAAGGTTGAAGAAACAGACCCAAGTGGACCACGTGCTTATCATGGTACAGCAGTGGTGGGATATGAGATTTATGTTATAGGAGGTTTTGATGGAATGGACTACTTCAACAGTTGTCGATGTTTTGACGCTGTGACAAAAACATGGCGGGAAGCTGCCCCGATGCACGCACGTCGTTGTTATGTCAGTACCGCAGTGTACAATAATACCATCTATGCCATGGGAGGTTATGATGGTCACCATCGTCAGAATACCGCTGAGAAATTCAACCCGAAGACCAATCAATGGACTTTGATTAGTCCTATGAATATGCAAAGATCAGACGCAAGCGCATGTACCCTCAATGGTAAAATCTACATCACCGGTGGTTTCAATGGGCAGGAATGCATGCATTCCGCTGAGGTTTATGATATTGAGACGAATCAATGGACTTTGATCAACCCGATGCGTTCACGAAGATCCGGAGTGTCCTGTATATCTTACCATGGGCATGTTTATGTCGTTGGTGGATTCAACGGTATCAGCCGGATGTGCAGCGGGGAGAAGTATAACCCAGCGACGAACACCTGGACCCAAATCCCGGACATGTACAATCCAAGGAGTAACTTTGCAATCGAAGTGATCGATGATATGATTTTTGTTATTGGTGGCTTCAATGGTGTGACCACCATTTACCACGTGGAGTGTTATGATGAGCGTACGAATGAATGGTACGAAGCGACTGATATGAATATTTACAGATCGGCGTTGTCGGCGTGCGTCATTCAAGGCTTACCGAATGTAAGGGATTTTATTCATAAACATCGTGAGAAGTTAATGGAAGAGAAACGGCAGAAAATGATCGCGTTGGAAGCACAACGTGAAGCAGCCAATAATAATAATCAAAACAATGATATACAAGCACAGCAGGCGCAAGCGCAGAATGCACATAACCTACAACAGTTGAATGTGTTGCATCAATTGGCCAACGTGAATAACCTCAATGTTCTGAATGCGAATGAAGATGTGGAACCGCCGCAAGTTGTCGAAGTTGAAGAGGATATTGAGGAGGCCAATAATTAGGTGCTGGAGGAAAGGACGACCAAAATTCAATATGATTAAGTGATAATCTTAAATCGGGCGTGATGAATTTTACAACAACAGAAGAAAAAAAAATCAAAACAACAAAAAATAAGAGATGCTCACTTAACTTTTTTATTTTGGTATAAAATCTGTATAAAAACAAGAGTCTAAATTTTAAACGAATAGTTTGAACAGAAACATTGGTCCATACATACTGCAATTTTAAAAATATATTATGGGGATATAACATTGACATGCTATTATATATTTTTAAATATTTCTTGTTTTACAAATGCTTTACTATTTCGTTTATGGCTTGCGATCACTTTTATTAATCGTGCCTTGCAAATATACGAATGCCTTGACGAGAAACGTGCAGACAAGTGTTGTGTTTATTTTCGGCTAGCACTTTAAGATACATTTTGGTAATGTGTCACTCTCTTGCGGAGATTAGCGACATTCTTCAACAGTTTCTTTTTTCTTTTGCATTGTTAGATTGGATATGTTGTAGGTGTTTATTTATGTGTTACATTATGCTTCCTACTCGTATATGATATTGCACTGTATAATAACATGTATTAATCATCAAAACATTGAATGAATATGCGAGATTTCGGTTTATCAAAGTCGTAAAACGATATTATGAGTTCATTAGCGCAATAAAAGTGATTCATCAGGGTGATCAGTAATATTTTAAGTAAATACAAGGTTTAAATGGTTATTATAACCTCCCTTTGAAGGTTTTAACCTCAAAATATTTACAATTTAGGTTATAGAACTTGCAGGACACAAGAAAAATCAGATTTGAGGTTAGATTGAGCTTAGATTTAATAGTACATTAAATATTCTGTTGAAAATTGTGTCAATTTATCATTTTTTGATATTTTTCACAAGTTTAACCCTCAAAACACGTTTTAGTTTAAAATATTCCCGCTTGGCGGCGCCACTGCTACTCCACTGCACTCTATGCAGCCAAATTACAGCCATAAAACTAATCCGCTCATAAATTAACGTGAAACTATCATTTCAAAAAAGTATCTGTAAATTTATTTAATATTTATTTATTTATTTATTTTATTAATATGAGCTTATCGACAGTAGTAAAAAATTAATGTACCGTGTGACCTTTGCGGAAACCATATTCCGTCTACTTTGCGGTTACAATCGCCATGTTTTTTTATTTTCAGCAGCACGTGAACGCGAACACAAATCGCCAACTAATGCGACGCCGCTGATATCGTGCACTTGCGGCGGTTGTGCGCTGCTTTTTACTCGTCCAAAGTAGTTTGAACAAGCAAACCGACGCAAACAATAAGTGTGCAACAAAATGGAGTGTGCGAGAGTGTGCCGTGACGCAACGCGTGGCACATTTTATGCGCGAGCACATCTTCGTTTCCATGCTGCAATCTTAAGATGTGCGATCATAGCAAGCTTTCATTTAATCAATAATAATAATACCTAATAATAATTGATTTTATTATGAAGTTATTTAGTAATTGTATTCTTAAAATATTAATATATTTTAATTTTTTTTATTTTTTTACCTTTTTTGTAATTATTATAATAAAAAATTAGGTTGAGTTAGTTACAACACTTATAACTCAAGAACGGCTGGGCAGATTTTGATGATTTATGATTTTTTGGATTCGTCTTGGCCCCAAATAGCAGAATAACTATTGAAATATTAAAAATTATAATTTAAAGGGAGTTAAATAAGGGATGAAAGTTGATATAAAGATAAAATCATAGTTATAGTTAAATAATTGAATCCTAGAGGGTGCTACAGTCTTTAATTTGCATTTCTCATTTCTTCAAAATGATATTTCGAATAATTAAAAAGAAAAACATGATATTTCATGTATGTGAGGTCAAATTTTAAAGAAAACATTACACAAAAATCAAAATAATGACAAATAAACATAATTTATTAAATAACTAAACAATTTACATAAATTACACTTGCAGATCTTGCACTTTCATGCATAAATTTATTTTTATTTTACGCTACAGCCAGTTGTGGCATAACAATAAAATCAAACTTAAACCCATTCTCTAAAACTCGTAAAGTCCACGTGACTACAGTGAAAACCACTGCATTCACCGGAAAAGCTCTGACTAAAGTAGGTGTTAAACCACGAAACAATACTCGATGTCCATTTTGTGCAATACTCTTCTTGTAACAATCCCACGCATTCACATATCGACTAACTCCATTGATTCCATCACACTGCATGCGTGTTTTGATCATATCCAATGGATAGGTTAACGTCCAGCTGACAACACCCGCTAATCCACCCGCCATTAACAACTGCGACGTACCAGCATGGCGGCCATCTTGTTCACGCGCTAGGTATTCATAGGTTAGGAAATACAAAGCAAAACTTGGCACATCTCGAAGTACTGTCATTGTCAACCCACGGAAAACACCATTCACTCCTTCTGAGTGATAAATATGACGTATACATTCCAAAGGACCAACTGTGTTGTGAACTTGTACTCGCACCTTTGCCAATTCCATCGGTGACGCAATCACACTTTGAAAGAAACCAGCACAAGCACCGGATAAAAATGTGTTTTATATGCGTTTGGATCATTGAAACATTTCTGTGTTTGTCCGTAGATACTGAAAACGATTGCGTTGATTCCAGCAACTGCAGCTAATGGACTTGTCATTCCACGGAAAAACATGGATGCCTTCGCGTGTGTATAACTTGCGTATACAATCACGTGAATTTGAATATTTCGAAGTAGAATTCTGTATTTGTACTTTTATCGTGTCGAATGGATGTCCAATTAGCACACCAGCGCATCCTTGGAAAAAGAATTACATTATCAATTCAAGGCTAAGTAAAATACACTAAATTATGATTCATGACTGACAATTACTGCAAAATGACTAATTAATGAAGTTTTTCATTCGGGTAATAAGCTAATACCTTAAGCTGTTTACGCAATGAAAGTATCTTTCGTCACGCGATGCTAATTACGATGAAGACATTGATTAACCTAACTATGAGCCTTATTTGAATAAGTGTCAATTGGGGTTAGTTTTCATAACCTAATTTACTTACCTCCAAGACTCCCAGCGAAAAATTCCAGTGCCATTCTTTTAAATTCACAAATTTTGCACCAAAATCAACGTTATCTTAAAAAGTGCCACGAACTTTTATATAATAACAATCGGCAGAATGAAGCAGTCCAGAGTAATGTCTGACAATCACTAATCTCCATTAACTAATAATAAAAAACACAAAAAATGAAAAAAATGAAAAAAATGTATTTAGCACTCTCGAGTAAAGTTAGAGACACGAAATAAATCAAAATCCAAGATGCGTTTTCATCTTATAGTAGTAGTAGAGATAGTAATTTGAATCGATGACCCGGGTGGTAATAAAAAATCATTTTACGACTTTTCGGAGTTTTATCCGTGCAATCATCACATGCGTGCATGACGCTGAACTTGAGCGAATTTTTTGCGCCAAGATTTAACACTTTTTCTGTCTAGTTGCACACAATCGCGATGAATGAACACACAAGCAGTTAAATTAACGACAAGTTCTACATTAGATGAATAAGCCATCATCAATCACAAGTGGAATATTTTATGTTACATATTTTATAGATTTCATTATCAAACTTTTACGTTTTACTACTTTTTAGTGGAATAATTTGCATGTGATCAATAAATGTATGAAATTATTCCATGTTTATTGAAAATCAAAACATTTATCAAGAATAAAACCAATAATAAACAATAATAAACGATATAACACGCGCCATCTGTGTGTATAACCTAAAACTCTTAAAATATTGATCTTATATTTAAACGTCGCGACGCTGCACGTCGTCGTACTTCTTCGCAGTGCTAAAAATAAAAGTCGTCAGCTGATCACAATGTGTCTACGCCTCGAAATCAGCGACGACACCAGACACTTATCGCTGTAATACAATACAATTGATTCCAATTAAGTGCTACACATGCCGTTGACTTAATCGAACACAATTACAAACATTTCAGTTGGTGTTAACCATCGCGACGCCCAGCATGGACGGCTTTCTGCGGGTTAACTCGTCGACCAGTGGTAACCTACCACCGTCACCGACCAATCTGTTCTTGGCTGATGAGGTGGCATCCACGTGCCCACTGATAACACCCTCACCACCCACCAATGACCTCATCAACCCTTTACCTGAACCACCCGAACCTCCAGCGTTTATCATCGGTGCGGAATTGGCTAGTAAATTACAATCTGTCAAAGGTATTTTTTTATAAATCAAATTATTTTATAAAAATTTATTAAATTTGATATTTTTAGATGATGATCATAAAACAGCTGATTCCGGCTCTTCTAGTTCATCCATCGCGGCGGAACCTGTGTGTACTCAACTCCTGAACCATCGACATTACCAACATATCACTAAGAATGAAGAATCCACCGCGCAGGACACCAATGGAAAGGTACAACCGATGCAGTTGACGTTTCGTAACCCGCCGGATGATTACCACTTCATGAAATGGAACTGGCCTTTGATTAGAAAGATTTCCACTTGGTCCTTTCTAGCCGGGTTGGTGGCGATGACTGCGTTGGTTATTACGATGATCTCCACTTTACCGAAAACCTGCAATCCACAAACGCAATGGTATCAAGGACAAGTCTTCTATGAGATATTCCCGGCGAGTTTTCATGATACTGACAAAGATGGCGTTGGGGACTTGACTGGTATAACCTATTACGCTAAATATTTACAGGATATGGGCGTTGGGGCCGTGCGACTTAATTCTATTTTCCATTCACATCATTATCCGGAAGATTATGAGAATCTGACGACTTTATTGGAGATTGATCCAAAGTTGGGGACATTGAATAATTTTAAGATTCTGGTTGATGGGTTACACCTTAGGAATATTTCATTGGTGTTGGATTTACCTCTGTATCCGTTTGTGAAGAAGTTAAACTCACATAAAGTGCAGGAGTTTAACGATTCAGATGCTAATCTTGATAATTTGGTTTTCGACGTGCCAAGACCCGAGAATCCTAATACTGATGAAGTGACAGAGGCCATTTTGTTTTGGTTGCAATACGATGTTGATGGTTTTATCTAAAAGGCTTGGAGCATTTTGTTGATGATCCTAACTTTCCATATTCACTGCGTCGTTGGAAGAAGCTGATTGGTCCGGATAGATGTTTGATTGTTTCTGACAAGGTGTACAAACAAATGCCTACCTTATGGATGAACACACTTTTGCTCAACGTGGATCTCATCGATGTGAAATTCAAAGTAGAAGATGGCGTCGAAACGATTCGTGACCAACTCAACGCTATACAAAACTCAACACTTTTCTCAAAACCTTCAATGCCATGGATACATTGGTCTATTGGTGACTTATACTCAGTCCGGCTTGCAAATCGTCTGCATTTTAGTAATGCTACTTTAGGTGCAACATTATTACAACTAATGCTCCCTGGCACTCCGAGTATTTTCTACGGTGATGAGATTGGCATGAGGCAAATACGTGATCATTACAACGACGCACCGGACGTCCGCCATTTGCATCACCTAGGCGCCATGATTTGGTCTGATAACACTGGAAGTAAATCATTCACCGAGCGTGGAATTCTACCATGGATACAAGGCAGACAATCACACAGTTCTCTCAAACAAGTGGAGTTGATTGGTAAAATGATTAAGTTAAGGAAGGAATCACCGTCGATCTATGTGAATTCCGTGATGAAAGATGGCGAAAACAAAGCGAACAGTGAGGTTAAGTACTCACGAGGTAATCTATTGGTGATTCAGAGATATTATCCGAGGAGGAGGGCGTTTGTAATCGTTAGTAATCTCGGCGAGAGGCCAGAGCAAGCTGATTTGTCGAAGTTGTTGTACAGTGGGGATGTTTTGGTTGGGCCACAGGCGGATTCCAAGTCGGAATCAATCAGTTTCAAGGATATTTCACTCTGGCCGGGGAATCTGTTGTTATTGTATTGGATTAAACTCAAAATTCAACTTCCACAAGAAAATCGAAGGTATTTAAAGTATAACTTATTGAAACTTTGTTGGAATGTAATAAAGTGTATAAAAATGAATCGAAAATCTGTTGGTAAGCGCATAACTCAACAACGCCTTCACGAATTTGCCCAATTCTTTTTTTAAATGTTTGTTAAAGTCCAAGGATGGTTTTTACAGCGTGAAAAATTGGAATAATTGCCGGGAAAACCCTAAAGACAGCCTTTTTCTATAGGATAAAAGTTGGCATTGAGATTCAATCATAGTTATAGTTAAATAGTTGAATCCGAGATGGCGCGCTGAAGTGCATTATTAGCAATCCCTACTAATATTATAAATGCGAAAGTCCTGATGTTTATCATGCTTTCACGCAAAAACTACTTAACAGATCATCATGAAATTTTGTACACATATTCTTAGTGGTCCCCGAATGGTTATAGGCTACTTTTTATTTAATAAAAAAATTATTTTTAAAATAAAATAAAGAAATTGTTTAGCCTAATACCTCTGCATCTGGCTAATTGACTACTTTAACGCCATCTAGCATTCCAGCAATGAAGCTCAAACCTAAGTACTATAGTACCATCACACTGTATTATCACACTGTATTACGGACAGCTACGTCAACATCAAATCCAATTGACTACACTATGGAGACTGTACACTATACTTCCATAGATTATACTTTCAGCCATTTTAAACTTCCCGCCATTCTACTTCATTGTTACTTCTTCTGTGACTACAGACGCGTACGGAAGCAACTTCATTATTTTAGATATTCGCGAGCAAAGCCGCGGGTTAAAGTTAGTTCTTTATATAATTAATTTCTTAAAATAAAATTGCGAATCTTATTGATAGAATTGACACATACTATGTCTGGAACAAGAGAATAAAAACGAATTACATTTTTATTAAACACTACCGGGACGAATTCGCGCGCAAAAGCAAAAATATTCGACTTTTCTCATTATTTCACTACAAAATGATAAAATAAGCAATCACATGCATAAAATGTATATTTTATTTCAATTTGTATCGTTTAATATCATCTTAGATCATAAGTAGTATTTTAAATGATTGAGCAAGAATAAAAATTATTTAATAATAATATAATTGTATTAGGTAATACGTATGTATACAAAATATTTATCATCATCGTCAATATATAAACCAATTACATTATTTCCGTGTGCAGGATGCGTCGGTTATTGAATATTCGTAGTAAACAAAGATTGCGGAACGTAAATTTACTCAATTCGTCGACAACAAACTCAATTCCATTCGTGTGTTCTTGTCGTGTGTGCACTCCGGACATAACCTCTATTCATTAAAATAAAATAAAACGAAAATGGCCATGTATCATGATAATTTAGTAGATATCGTATGCGTATTTACAATCGATCGAGCTATGATTTTAAAATATAGAATACTCTAGCGATAATAAACACCACGGGCTGATGGATTTAAATCTTGGTTTTCGCGATGGAATATGAAGAGCAAGCAAAGCAAAAACCCAAAACCAAGTGTTTCGCAAGTCAACTTTGGATTTTTAGTTCGCACCTTTATCAAAATCATCCGGAAATCGGAATAATTTGAAGGTGATGTATATGTGTGTGTGTAATATAAATGAAAATGATAAAATTTGAACCCATCAGGCTTTACATAAGGATGATTTAAAAACCGTTAAAAGTATGTGTAAATATGGAATTAATGGCACCCTGAGTTTGCTACTGTTTCCCAAACGCTGCACATCATCATCATGACAACGACTGCATCGTTTTGTGTTTCGCGCGCGGATCGGTAAGAACGTAGTTATTGGGCGTTGCGCGTGGAATAACGCCATCAGCGGCAGTCTGCGCAGTCGCTTGTTGTGGTATTTCAGGCAATTTATCAGCCGGATGTCGATGACTGATGCTCGGCGCTTTGCGGTTCGCCATCTTGTTGTTACTCAAACCAGAGACTGGATATTTACTGCGTGTCGACGACATTTTCGACTCCAGTGTCGAGATGGACATCGGATGTTTCGGCATAACAAACGCCTTGGTTTGTTTAATCAACGAGCGGTCATTGCACAACGCAGAGATGAGTGGCAGGTCCATTTTCTTGGACTTTTCACGCAGTGTGCGAATATCAAGCGGTTTGTTGGACGCATTGGCAGAGGAGGGTTTTTCGGGTATTTTATCAAGCGCCTTCTCGGCCGCTTGCAGCTTGTCGAGCCGGTCGACAGGTGGCGGCGGTGGTGGTGGAACACGGCGTAGTTTAGTAGGTTGTGAGATGTGCTTCGCGCCGGGCATTTCCAGCGTGTTGAGGATATTGTCGTCCGATCGGGTGCGCATGAAGTTGCTACGAGGTCGGTTCGGCGGTAACGGTGGCGGTACGGGTTCAAGACTTCCTGTTGTACTGGCAATACTAGGACTACCATAAACCGGGAGTTGAACATAGGTGTCGGAGAGGTTCTGACTGGAGGCATACCGATGCAGGTATGGATTGGAACGATAAAACATGGGTTGTTGCGCAAGCGCAGCAAGAATCGAACCTTGCTTAGCTTCAAGATACTCCTGCTTACTAATCGCAGGTTCTTTCAGAGGGAATACAACAAAGTCAACATCGCTGTACATCTGTTGTTGGTATTGTTCAATCTGCGAGCGTGATAGCTGACTGGTGTAAACAGTAGCAAGCGGAGGAGGTGGAGGTGGTTGACGAGGTTGTGGAGGTGGTGGTGGAGCGAGGAATGTACACGGGACCAAAACAGACGCCGCCTTGGAAGCAGCAACATCTAGATAATTATTAGGAGAGATGATGGAACCCAGTGAAGAACGTGGGTGTTTCGGAGGAATAGGTGGTACGCTAGGCGCGCTGGAGTAACTAGGTGAGGAACTAACAAGACTTGTATGTGCGGTGAGGATATTCGGCGGGCGGGTGGTGATGAATCTGGCAGTGACCTCTTCCGAAGGGTAAACCGGAGGCGGTGGAGGTAGGAGGTTCTCGGGGTATGGCGGTGGATCCCGCAGCATACCCTCATCGAAAGCAGCAGGATATGGAGGTGGTGGGGGTCTGGCACGCGGTTCAATCGAATCAATACGCTTGGGTGGTATAGGAATGTAACCCTGATAAGTTGATGGTAAGGTAACATAATCAGAATCTGAATCTAGAGTATTGCTCACGGATTTACAGGAAGGATACCTGCCGACGATCAAATCTGACAGTTCCTCAGCGGAGAGTAGTGTATGTTGATTGTCGGTAGGATCGCTGCCATCGCCACGGAATGAACCCGAATTGCTCACATTCGAATTAGAACGATTGCGATAGCCGTCAACTTGATCTTCTTCCAGTGGTATGGCACCTAAAGTACTATATTCTTCGCTGGGTGTTGTGTACTGCTCGCTGGAGCTGAGTGTGTACACGCCGCTGGTGTGACTACTCGGTGCAGGGCCTGAGGTGTAGACAGGTTCGCGTAGATCCTGATCGGTGCAGGTTGAATCGCTTACAACTGAGTTTTGCGCCGTGTGTGAGTACCCTAGTTCTAGACTGCTGCTAGTAGAGGGTCTCCGTTTACTTTCTGTGAAAAATAACAATGGGGGTAGGTTAATATTATAAAAATGTTATTGTTTAGCTTACTTGGAAGAATAACAGACGTTGACACAACAACAGTGCTACACGAACTACTACATTGTGATCCAGTGAATTTTCCAGGTTTACCCGCACTGCTTTCGCTGGGAACTTCTTCATCCTTCAAGCTCAAGGTCGCCAACGCGCCAACAGCAGATGCATTCGATGTACGTGAGCTTGCAGGCCCGCTATCCAATAGATGCGCTATCGCTAGACTTTCGGTAGATGGCGCTGGTGGACTTGTGATCATAATTTCCAATTCATCCTCACTGTGTACTCGATCGCTGACTATTCCAGACGTGGTGTTGGATGATGTGCTTGATATCACCGAAATTCGCTGATCGCAATCCCATCGCTGCATCTCCTCCTCTTCTTTTTTCGCTTCGGTGAGTCTCGGCGCAACCGCCATGCTGAATTGATGCGCTGCTTTACACAACGACAACAAGAGTCGGCTCTTCTCATCGCTGCTTGTGTACAATGTAAGTTTTTCATGCCCGGTGCGAATCTCGAATTTTTTACGCTCGAAGCTGAGCTTCCCGATGGAGCTCCATAGGAACAATGAGGGTGGGTTGTTGTCGGGGCAGACGCGTAGGCCGCGTGGGCACACCGCAAGCAAGAGCCCGCCGGGTGCAGGCTCATGCTTTGAAGCGCGCAGCTGGAAGACATGCGCATTCACAGCCGCTTCCAACTTGCATGCTTCGGCGATAAAACGCGCACGCGCCTCCATCTTGCATACGTTTCGCAAGCCGCGATGCGCGTTTTCGAGGGCGCGCAGCACAGCGGGCTCTCGCATACCGCTAGGCACGTAGTCCTCAGGGCGGAAGGCTGCAGCGTCGGCGCCATGGTCACCGAAGTCAGCTTGCAACGCCAAACTGCCGAGTCGGATTGAATGTTCGCCGGCGGCCGCAGTAGAGGCGGCATTAAGCCGCAGCTGCAGGTAGTAATGTTGGCGCGTCGTCTCGTCGCGCAGCAGGAGAGGGCTGTCGACGTAGAATTGCACACGGAAGTAGAACGCCAACGCCGGCCGCCCGTTCGCGTCCAGGCCATGGCTATGCGACGAACGCCAGGATTTCGGCGCATATTTCGATAGCTTGCTATCGGGTTCGGCAAACAAATATTCGCCATCTGTAAGTAAATAGCGGAAATGGAGTGAATGGTTATTTATTTAGGTGTGTGCGCGCGCGCGAAAGAGTTTAAAAGTCTCGAATAGTTATATCAAACGATTGGCCGAAGTCGAAACGCGCCAGCAGTAATAAACCGGAGTGTACCCGTCGGCGAGGAATGCTGTCCTGGCGCTGCAACATTCCACGCCGAGTGCCTAGCGCGGCGCGCGCGCGACCTCGCTCGATCTTTGTCTCGCGCCTGTCGCGCCTCACCTTCTTCTCTCCACGGTGAAAAAGATCAAATCCACATCGCATATAAGGGGATAACTCGCTTGCGACCGAATATCCTTTCCCTGCGTGACACGAGCCGTCGAAAGGTGGACGGAAACCGGGAATTCGTGCATTCTCGATGCCTGCGCGGCATGCCGATCCGACATTCCATTACGATCCTGATTTAAAACAATTCCTCGAACGAAAATAATAATAAAGAGAAGATGCGAGAGAAGAAACTACTCGCCGCGATGATTATGATTCCGTGGCGTGGATGTGGAATTTAGTAGCATCATCAGGTCATCCGAGGCCCGTAAAAATTACGGACGGCCCCCGGCGGGCATGCCCGACTCACAAACACACATTCATCGAAATAAATAACGCGCCCGGCGAAAAATGAACCGGCTTGTGGCGCGCGCGCGCACGCGCACACACAACAAAACAATGCGCGGCTAAAGACAGGTAGCAATCGGTTCGCCTCTTATAGCAATCGCTCGCGCGCACGACCAACACACACACACACACGCGCATGCGCAAGAAGAGAGCGGGTCATTTGTATACCGCGGGAATGCGCCCGGTTTGGTACACTCACGCGCATGAAGCGTAGATTCCCAATTTGACACAAATTATAATTACCGCATATGAGTGCTAAGCCGAACAAGTCGGTGTCCAGCATGCCCTGCTGGGCGAAGTGCAGGCATGTCTGCTGGTAGAGCTCGCGCACGCGCGATTTGGCCTGGACGATGAAGTAGATTGTCTGCTGATGCAGCAGATGGAGTGCTAGGAAGCGGGCGGCCGGGGGTAGCGCGCCTGCGGGGCTGCACGCGGCCAGAGGGGCGCTCACCGTGCACAGCCCGGCACGCATGACCCCACCATCTCTAACCGAGGCTTCTCGCCGTGCACCACCTGAGAAAACAACCAAATATTAGAAGATTTACCGACATTAGCAATACGCATGCGCGTATTTTAGTTATAGATTCTCCCGTTGTGGCGTTGTGTACTGTTGTACCATTACACTCTACATTAACCTAACCTAAATTTAAGTGTAAATGCCGTATATTACAATCAGAAGAACAAAAAAAACGTGTTAAATCATTTGCGGAAACGGACACGTCGAAAATATCAAATTCCACGCGGAGATAAAGGCTGGAAAACACAGGCGGTGTTCATTAGTGTCTGCCCTAACCGGAATGCCATTAGCACGAACAGGAAAGACGCAATTAAAGCCAATAGAAGGTAATTAATTAAATAGATTAATATTAACACCGCCCAAGACTAACCAACTAGTTCCACTTGATGTGTGTTCATACACTCGTATGTGAGAATAATGCGCATGTGTGGCTAGAACAACGACGCTCAAATTGATTCGAAGCGCATGAAATTGATTCGAAATGATTCACACTCGGGTCAGAAATAAAGCCGAGTGTATATTAAATAAATAGGCGCATTGAAATAAAGCGTGCGCGCGCGTTTGCGTCCGCGCGCCGTGTTAAATCGAAGGTGTTTATGAGCGCGGATTGTTATGCGCATTCCTGTGCTCACGGCGCTATGACGGTTCGTGACTCGCAAATGCGTATGCGTATAGAGTACATACGGCGGGTATGCACTACTTCTGTAGATCTCGAAACTCGTGCCGTATTCATGCCGACATTGTATTTATGAGGTTCGGGCATGCATTGCAGCGCCGCTAATGCTAGATATTAATTGATCTTAATGCATCCGCCGCGACCGGACTGCGAATTCGCGAAGAAATTCAAGGATAGCGAGGAGCGCTTCCAAACAAAGTTCATGGGAATTGAAATTTCAAAATTTTAATCAAATTTTCTTCAAAAAAATGTGAAATTTTAATGTTTTCGATAAAAAACCACAAATTTATTCGTTTTTATGGAAAAAATTCAATTTTTTAACTAAATTAACCTAAAAAACAGTTTTTCAATTTGAAAGAGTGCGTAAAATCATCATTTTTTGCACTAGTTCAATAAAAATCCTTGAAATTACAATAAATATAATTATTTGAATTATGTAAGTTGAAACTACCCACTGGAAATTCCATCATTAGTAAATACAAACGCAAGAAATCAAATATTAAACATTATTATACCCACATAACCTGATATCTGGCCTAACATAACCTAAATCCGAATGAATACGGGTGACACATATTATGCACACACATAGCAATGCTTTTGCATCGATTGCGATATTAAGAAAATTGATGCAATGAAAGTGAATAGAATAAACACAACATCATTGCCGCGCGCGCGAGTGCTGAGTGTTTTATTGTTAACCTTGAATATCGCCACGCGTTTTTACACCTGCCATCACACATCATTCGCATGCTGGCTGGCATAAAATTATGCGTTGAGATTTTTCAATTTCCTTTCATTCAAATTCAACGCTTACATTTACATTTAACTGTGTAATTGTTTACTGAAATTTATTATTTCATTGATCATACAATCTGTTTAAATGTTTTATTTTAATGTGCAATTAATAATTTCATAGATATTTCGTTTCTATCCGGTGACAGACACTGGGTCTTGTCGTGGTTATTAATAAATTACTTGAAAGCACTATAATATTGCTGCAAATGTTCACATTCTGTGTTTAATTCTATAACTAATTAACTAAACATTTAAGTGAATGGAGGTTTGTGTATAAAGTTACAAGCAAAAGTAATTACAGAATAAATATAGAAATAAAATTCATATTTTGTGAAATAAAAGTTATTCCTAGAAAATGGTAGAAAATTAATGCGAGAATTGTGAGTGTAACTGCATTTGTGCATTAAGAATTAATTAATTAACTCATGATAAGCAAGTGACAGATGGGTTTTGTCCCAGTTATTGCTTAATTGCACGGAAATGTAAAGAGGTACAACAGTGATGCTTGGAAAACTAAATTCTGCATTAAATTTAGCATTTTACTGTGGAATTATGTAAGAGAAAGCATGAAAATTTAAAAAAGTTACGAGATAAATAAATTTAAAATTTGGTTAAAATTTTAATATAAACAAAATTTTCAAAAATCTGTATAAATTTGAGTATCCAGGTAAATTTCGAACAATTTTTGATTAAAACCATAAATATATCTTGTTTATATTTCGAGTAACTGAAAAATAACTCAGATAATTGTTCAATGTCAGATTTGTTTCGCGTAAATTTCAATTAATTGCCCAATGTTGCGAAGAAAATCAGGAATTTTCACTTAATTCATTCTCAATATCATTCTACATTCATTCACGATAATATTTTGAAGAATTTTTCACAGCATTCAAAGTTATAGGGCGAAAAACTCGAATTTTGTACGAAAAAACATAAAAAAATTAGGTAGAACTATCAAAATAATAAGTTTTTCGACATAATTCTGCAATTAATACATGCCAAATTAAAAGTACAACATAAAAAAACATAAATTTCTAATGATTTTAAGATAATTTGACTTTTACGTAGTTTAGACCGTTATTCTACACTTAAGCGTAAGTAACATGCGCATAAGTAACATATTACACTACAAGTAGTTTATTGATGTTTCTGAAAGTAGTCTAGGTCCTTACCATGTGTTTTAAATATAATCCGAAATCCTTAGTAAAGTTCCCGCATGTCCACTGTTAAATCCCAATGCACTAATTAAAAGATAATCCAATGATGCACACGTTGAATCCCGGCGGTGGAATCGTCCGCACGCACACTGCACTACTTAAGTCCGATGCGCATTCGCCGAAAAACTCACACAACATACGCCGCCCCGAAACACGAGCGTGCCGATTGACTTGCGCGCGAATTTTCAAAGTTTTCCGCGATTCCTCGGCACTTTTCCACACAACCGGTCCCCGGTCCGCCCGTGTGTGCACACGCTCCGCGTTTTCGTACCTCGTCGCAGCCGCCGCAGCCCAGCGCGCATTGAAAGAGAGCACCCGATTTGGACGGAGTAACGCTCGGCGCAACGCAACGATGGATATTTTTCAACTAAAATCCCTTAGTAGTTTTACTGCGGTCAGGTACACTCAGCGCGCAAAGCACGATTGGAATGCGCTCGCTCAAACAAACATGCGCACAACTCGTATATGTTAACAGCGTATATGACTTAGCTGGTCCGCACGGCGAACTGGTAGTACACTCCGGTTTGACTCAGACCTGCGCGGCTCGCGTGCACGTGCGTGCGAGTAGGACAGCGCAGTCGGAGCGACGTGGATGGAACGAGCATTGGTATGCACGTTGTTACCTGCACGCTGCGTGCTCCCCTACCAGCCCGCTGGCTGGATGGCGCGCGGAGCAGGATATCGAGAGAGGCATCACACGGCGCGATCACGGCCCAAGACTCAACGTGCGCGCGCGCGCCGTATTTGTATGCATCGGTAGGCTGGAACTGCAGCCGGCGACGGCAGCGGCATTCTTGAGGCGCGCGCGCGCTCGCCGCCAGAAGAAGCGCGCGGAGTGTACGCGGCTCAGGTGTGTTGGATACCTGACCAGAGGCTACATTCCACAGCTACATTCCGCGCGGAGAAATCACGTTCGTAAGTAAGCAGGGTACGTACGTTTCATTCCGGCCATTATGCGACGCGTTCTCGCATGCCGCGCGCCTCGCCACGCTTCGCGGTTCATTTGCGGAGCCCTTATCACGAGATGCACCAATTCGAAACAAAAACGTTTTTTTATTATCTATAAACTACTACATAATGTAAGTGCCTACTTCACGCGGTTTTCATAATAGATTAATATAAGTTTAATACTTGGTTAACAGATGGCGCTGCTGTGTCATATTGATATAACCTTATTAAGTCTGTGTCAATAGATCCAAATTAGTTTTTGCTTCCTGTAAATCCGATTCGTGTTTCATCGCTGTGGTGAGATAAGCTTTTGCTAAATTACTGCGTCCAAGTTTATGTTGTAATACCCTAAGTTGTTGTAACCAGCCGCGTGGTTTGGATCACAAGAAATGCACAGATTCAAACACATTAGTGCCAGTTCAATATCTCCAGATCCCTGTAAAATATTATAAATTAATTTTACGTAAATTAATTTTTATAGGTTATTAATTATTTACCAGTGCTAAATGTGATAAATTGTACCAAACATCAGCTTTGATCAACGGATCTGTTGCCAAATCTAACGCGCGTTGAAAACATACATAAACCAAGTCTAACTGCTGCGCATACAGACAACATAACCCTAAATTATTGTACAGTTCGGCGCTGTGCGCGCCCATCGCCAATACGCGTCGGTAATACCTCAGCGCTAATTCCGGTTGATAGTTATAGAAATGATACACTGCGATACATGCAATCGCTTCTGTGTTCATCGCGTCTTCAATCACCACACTGCGGTAGAATTTAATCGACGCCTGCATTTCACCGGTAGCTTCATTCAAGCGCGCCATTTCTGTCAAAATGGAGACATCTTCCGGGTAGACTGTGAGCGCTGCACGACAGATTTCTGTAGCGCTGAGTGGTTGATCCATTCGTAAATAAATACGTATTAAACGTAGAAATATTTCCAAATGTTGTTGTTGTTTTAAAGCACTGCGTAATTGTTGTTCGGCGTCTCGGAGTAAATTTAATGCGACGTAACATTTTGCTAGTTGAACTTTCCACCACCAGTCTTTGAATTCTGAAGCTTGGGTGGCTTGGACTGCTAGTTCCATTGCATTACGTACGTCACCTTCGTGATAGTACATATATTCAAAGAGTGGTTTGCTTAGGCATTTGTCTTTAGCGTATTTTGAAATATTCAGCCGGGATATTTGTATAAAGGGGCCGTCACGTTGAGAGAACATGGCGGCTGTGCCCAAGCGAATGGCGCGAGCTGAATGTCCTGTCAATGGACGTGCGGTTTTAAGGCGGTCGAGGACTGAGGAGCCAGGACGAGATTGTGTTCCAGGACGTGATACTCCACTGATGGGACGGCCGGTAGAAGTACGAGGTCTTGACCTGGATTGTTTATGTTTTTGTTAATATTTATATTTTGTGTTTTATATTTAATTATTATCTACTTACCCGATTCCTTTATTATTGGTGTTTGAATTAGTGGCTGGTCGCATGCTGGTGCCTGGTCGTGGTGCTGTTGCCACAACGTTTTCGTTTAGAAAATCTGTTTCGTTTATATCCTCTGTATCGATGTCGTCAACGTAGACACGCTGTGTCATGGCACGCATTTTTAAACACCATGCTGCTTGGTCCAAGGGTTGTTTTTCTAATATGAGGGTGCACAAGTCTACACATTTGTCGAAATGTCTTCGTCGGTACAGACTCAATGCGACGTATAAAGGGTCCATTTTTGGTAAAGTAAATTTAATACTTTTGGGGATAAAATTACGTTATGTTGTTTGTATCGTCAGGTTTTGTTTACAGTAGCGTTACTATAGTTACATTTTGATTTCAAAAGTTTCTATAGTACGACATAATTGGAGAATTTGTTTTAACGTAGGCAACCCACATTACATTATAAATTAAATATTAGTAGTTAAAACTTTTAAACTTATAAATTCACTCCGCTGCTCTCTGCCTTTTGAAACAATCAAAGCAAAACATCGAGAATCCCAAACCCCGTATCAACCAACCCTTTCAGAAAACTCGTCTCTTTACCGTCTCCAATCATAGAAAATGAAAACACTCACTTTGGATGTGCTATATATAAATGTCCGAATAAATAAACTAAATAAATATTTATTAAATAAACAACTATCAGCTCTATTTCTTTTCAATTGTATCTACGAATTATACATTTGTCAGATATGTAATAAATTTGTAAAAATCAAAGAGTATCGACAGCGAATTTGTTTCCTCGCAAATGTTTCCCAATTGCGCACGTCGACGCTTTTATAAATAAAATACGAGATTTTATAGCGGCGCAGGCCCGCTCTCGATTTATTTATAATCCAGTCGGTCAGTGGTCGGCATACCGGACGGGCTAAGCACGCGCGGCGAGCGTCGCGACGCTCATGGACACGCGGCCATGCACATCTCGTGCAAGTGGATCTTTGCGTGTCTCTTCGTCCTAGGCTTGCATTCCCATCAAACGGAGTCATCCGAACAAGGATTAGCGTAAGCTCCAATTCACATCGACCGTTTAATTAACCCTTAAACTTTAAAAGTTAATTTTTATGCGTAGTATTGCAAAATGGGCCGAGAAATTAAGCAGAGAGCTGTACGATTTGGGGAATGCCATCACCAATCGCACAGCTATGGCCAAGGTAATATACCTATAAGCAGTAACGGGTAAAATGTAACTTTCTGGAGTTTACAGAGATATAAAACACATAATGCTCGTGTAGACGTGCGAAATCCAAATGCTTTATTAGTTGAGATCAAGGAAAACATCGAGCGCATGGTCGATCGTAAAATAGACGCAGTTCGAGTAAGAATTTTATATAGTGTTACTACACAAACACTAAAATCACCAAAAAAAAATGATAATATTTTAGTGTATTCAACAAGTTGCCGAATCCGAAGCAGAATTATTCGATTACACCTCGAATAACACAGAGTATTACTACTACAACTCGAAATACTCTTCGGTTGAGGGTGAACCTCCCGATGCTTTAGAAATTCCTGACCCTATCGCCCCAAACCGGTGGATGTATATACCTATGGTCCTTAACAACGACACACATTTTACAACATCCCTGTCAACACCACTCATAGTTCTGTGCATGTACCTTTAAATATCTACGATAGACGTAAGTTTCTAAAGAAATAAGTGGTACCTTCAATAGTAATATTACAGTTAATATTTAACTGTAGATAGAAGTCCCCAACAGTATATTGAATGGTCTGAGGCATTGGATGAGGTGTTTGTGCAAAATTACAAATCGGATCCATCATTATCCTGGCAGTATTTTGGTAGTACCACTGGTGTGATGCGCCATTATCCTGGTAAGACCTGTAATACTTAAAAATTAAAAACTTTAAGTTTAAGTTTTTGATTCGTAAATTCATGATAATAGCCATGAGATGGATGCAAGATGATTCCGAAATAGATCTTTTGATTGCCGTACCCGTACGTGGTTCATCGAAGCAGCCACGTGCACAAAAGATGTGATTATCTTGGTTGATTCTTCTGGATCCATGCAAGGCATGCGTAAACACATCGCATCTTTGACCATATCCAGTATATTGGATACCTTTTCAAATAATGACTACATTAATGTGATGAACTACTCCATGGGTACCAATTATACCGTACCATGTTTCGAAGACATGCTTGTACAGGCCACCAACGAGAATATAAATACCTTTAAGAAAGCCGTGCAGAATTTAGACCCTGATAACAAATCGAACTCATCCATTGCTCTGGAACATGCCTTTGCTTTGTTGGAGAAATATCGAACCGTAGAACGATGTGGTGCGAACATGGAGTGTAACCAGATGATTATGTTGGTCACCGATGGTATTGCGGGGAATTTAAGCACTGTGTTTGATATGTATAATAGAATTAATAATACTGATGGGGTTAGTATACCGGTGCGGGTTTTACATATCTTATAGGTGTTGAGGTGTTGAATGTGAATGAAATCATGTGGGCAGCTTGTACGAATAGAGGTAAGGAGTAAAATAAAAGAAAAAGAAGAATATTTTATATTTTTGAAATATCTTAGGATATTATTCACATGTGGAGTCTTTGGAAGAAGTCACAGGATCTGTATACAAGTATATTCCTGTAATAGCACGACCTTTAGTATTACAACGTGATGTACATCCGGTTTCATGGACGCACGCCTATGCAGACACCACATATGACGATGAAAATGATAAGGTGTTTAATGAACCATATCGTCTTCTTACATCTGTTGCCGTACCTGCATTCGATAAGAAAATAAACAATGAAAACGACACTATGACTGCTGAACTTCTCGGAGTGGCTGCAACTGATGTACCCATTGATGAAATACGAAAATTAACGATGCCGTATAAAATTGGTGTGATGGGTTATGCTTTCCTCGTGAGCAACAATGGATATATCATAATGCATCCTAGTTTCCGGCCGGTTTTTAATAAAACAGTCTTAAAAGAGAATTACAACAGTGTGGACTTTATGGAGGTGGAACAACATGATGTTAACTTACCACCAAGGAAAATAGATCCCAATTCGACTGTTTATCGTTTACGGCAGGCTTTGGTCGATGGGCAAAGTGGTTCTTTTCATGATGCTACTTTAAAGTATCACTACGATAATATCCGAAGGATTACCAGACAAAGTTATGATTATTATTATTCTCCGATTGAGGGTACACCGTTTTCTTTGGGTCTTGCAATGCCTGATAAATATGGGAATTTGTCTATTGTTGTTAAGGATGAGGTGAAGAGAGCGGCGCATATTGGGAAAAATGTCACCGTGTTCCTAAAGGAAATTTTTAATGGTAGCAATTGGAGGGTACACCCTAAATGGTAATTATAGTATTAAAATATATAATGATAATAATAAAATTAATATTAATATTTATATATTAGGGTGTATTGTAAATATCACTATCTAGAAGGACATGAATTTGATTCTCCTGAAAAAGAGCTTCTTCATTTTATTGAACGAATTAATGGTAGCTCTTTCCTGAAACACCGGCAACACATAGCGAAAAATCAACACTGGGATTCTTATAATCAAATATACGTCGAGGATAATGATGAAGGTAATGTAAATATTATCATTTTGTTTTAAATTAATCAAAATGGCGTCTAGTTGAATGTGGCCGTATTACACTTGGTGAGGACGATTACTACTGCGATGAAGACCTCATGCGACGTTTAATCTTTGATGCGAAGATAACAATGAATGATTACGATGATAAGTGGAATTTTGTGACCAAACGTGATGAAACTCTCTTTTGCGCTACAATGCCACTTTGAGATTCGTAGCGACTATGAGTGGACTTACTCGATGGGAGTATATTTTCGGGGAGGATGAAAACAATACAAAACGTAATTATTTCACTTGTTAACCAGCGAAATTTTTTATTAATTATTTATTGATTTTAGCGAATTTGGTGATTGGCATTCACGTGCAATTGATGAAACGTGGTATAAAAGTGCCGTGCTTCAAAATCAACACGATGATAACTCATCAGTGTTTTCTGTGCCGTTTGAAATCGGAGATCAACCTGATGTGTTAGTAACGTCTAGCTCTGCTATATTTTATCAAGATGGCGTTCATAAAATACCCGCGTCTGTTGTTGGCTTCCAATTCTCACATAAACATTTCTACAAGAGATTTTTGAGATTACAACACAAGTCGTACGTTTAGTCATCTAAAACATTTTAAATTGATTTTTATTAAACTTTCTTAAACAGGACGCCAATGCTACTCCTTGTGGTGATTTACTGGATTGTTACGTGATTGATAACAGTGGATACATTTTAATATCTCCCACACTGGATAACACCGGAAAATTTTTCGGTGAAGTTGAAGGTGCGGTCATGCATTCAATGCTGGTGGAAAATCTATTTGAAGAAATCAAAGTCTACGATTTCCAAGGTTTATGCTTTAATGAATCTGCAAAATCCAGTGATGTTGGACGTCTTGTAACGGTAAACATAACCACAATTGCGATATAAATTAACTATCATTGTTTAAATTTAATTTAATTTAAATTTAAGCCTGGTAATTTAATTCTAAGTATAATCAACGGTCTCTTTGCAAACATGTTATGGTTTTTTATGCGTACCCAATTGTACCACATGTGGGACCCGAATTTTATCGCTGCGGAAGACATGTTTACTACTCCATATCCTAGAATAGATGAAGACGATGATGATGAGGCTACTGTCTCATCAGAAACCGATGATGAAATTGAAATTGTACAACCGAAAGAAGAAGAGAAGATACGCACGTATTACCCATGCGATTTACAGCGTAGTCTCTTTATTATGAATCACACAAAAGTAAAGCGTGGATACAGTGGTGAAGTACCTCGAACTTACTCTCGGCCATTTTATATCAAGCACATCCGTAACAGTAATCTGATTATTGTCGCGGTGAATGTAAGTCATTCGCAACGTGATATAAACTATACCACTGATCCGTCGTTTGTGGAGTACCCGGTTGGAGTGGAACATCCATGTCAGAAGATTGATTTAACTACTTTACCACGACGAGGGTTAACAGAGTGCTTTAATTCTCATCCTGACGTAAGTCAATTTATTATTATTAGTGAAAAGATATAAAAATATTTATTTTGTTTTTGTTTTTGTTTTGCAGGAGGCTTTAATAGATATATGTGGTGAATCAAGCAAGACCTATGCTAATATTCTGTTGTTTGTATCAGGGTTAATGATATTATTTTACATCACCTAGGATTACAAGTTTGAGACGAGTTTGAAAATGATTAAAAGTTTCGGAGAAATGCTCCAAAATGCCGGCGGTGCTGGCTTTGTTTATCTTGTTACAGCTGGCGGCGACCTCCATGTTGATCTTTGGATTGCCACAACTGAACACACCGACTTTCTCGACCTGTAACAATTTTTGTTAGTATGTATTATATGTAAATTATTGATTTTGTTTACTTGTGAATGAAGAGTGAGAACAGTGTTTAAAAATTGTGGTACATTCGGACGTCCAAAGTGTGTGACCGCTTGTAAATTGGTAAACATCGACTTGTTGTTCAGTTTCTGATAGTGTTTCTCGAAGATATACAGGAGAGTAGTACGTAAGTCGTATTTTTCATAGAATTCGGTGATGTAAATGTGCGGATTGATCACATCGTGCTTGTCTTGTTCTTCTATTTCTCGCAGGAGGTCTACTAACCATTCAAATTGTTTTTGCGAACGGGATACCCATAGAAAGTAGACTTTCTTGCCGATAAACTGTTCTGAATTAGACTTATAGACGATATCTTTGAGAATACTTGCGAAGGGAGTAACGCCGATGCCAGATGCGATTAGAACAGACACGTCGTATTTGTTCCAATCTTGATGACCCTCGCCAAATGGTCCATCGATGTATAATTTTGAAAATGGTCTGTCGTATAGTTGCGCATCGGAGTATATCTGACGTAGCGCATTTGTCCAAGGACCTACCGCGCGTACATGGATAGAAATATAGTTTTGATTGGGGCTGGATGATAGTGTAAACGGATGGTATTCATGGGCGTTGATTCCTAGGCACGCGACGCGAATCCATTGACCTGCTTTGTAGGTAAATCCATGTGGTTTTGCAATTTTTAGCATCGTTACGTCTGGAAATATATAAAAATAATTTAGTAACATTTTCTGTTACTGAATATTTAGTAAACATACTAGAAGGTAATATTTTAACATCTTCGACAATGATTTCAGTCTTCTTCCGGCTGATACTGATGCATTGATCAATGGAAAAAAGAATCACAGGTCCCAGAAAGAAATAGTAGAAAATTGGTGGTTGTACCAGTTGTCCAGTGCCATGCAAAACCATCAAAATGTAATATATCGGATACAATGAGTGCGTGTACCAGAAATAGTTATACAGTCGACGACGCAACCATGTTTGAGCAAAAATCATCATGATAGCCAAGATCAACGTCAGTAATATCCCAGTTACGCCTGTAATGGTTCCCCAGCACCAGTAATGAAACTTTGGAAACTCGTGCGTCGCATGGAAAAGTTTCGGAACAAACACGTCAGATCATCGGCGGTTTGCGTTGAGATGTGATAGAAGTTCAGCGAATGGCCAATAATATGCAGGACTAAAATATATCCAATCATATAAACAAATGTTTTAAATTTGGGAATTAATTCTTACGAGTGAATCCAAGTGCCCAGAACGCAATATATTTGTGGAAATCCACGCAGAAGTCAAAGGGAAAGTATGTACTTGCTGAGGTGTCTCTCAAGATGGTAATGATATTACGACACATTGTCACCAACAGTGATGCATAGGTAAACATCATGGCGGATGCCGCACCACGTGTAATTGAGACTCCATAGCCAGCAATTTGTCTCAAACCGCCTACTTCTCTCTCAACCGAATAATCTATCACATAAAGGATTAATCAGAATTATTTTATCATCATCAGAATTAATTTAACATGATTGATAATATTAATTTACGCACAATATGCCCTTTCTGCAAAAATGGCAATCATGACCAAAGTATACAATGTCACCCAAAATATTTCTTTTGATTTGCGTTCCACGTATCGAAGAAAATTCCATCGAGATGACATGGTTTCTTCATTGATCACCGCATCGTTGAGTAACTTTGTTTCTTCTTGACGTTTTGCCCCAAATCGCCTTACATCTCTGCAGAAAAAAGGTAAATTTTATAAAATAAGTAATGTTGAATTGGTATAATGTACTCACGCATATACTTCATCCACCATTTGTTGGGCAGTATTGTATTTCTTTTTGCCAATGGTCAAATTGACTTTAACATTGTTCAAAGTATCGTAATCTTCGTTAATGATAGATAGAAAGTCGTCAAATGTCAGCGCTGTTTTTCCATGGAGGTTTTTGCTGCGTAACAGTTCATCGATAGAGTTATTAAGTGTAACTTCGTTTACCTCGGATAAAGACCGACCTAAAAATGATCTAGAGACAAAGTTATATTTGTTTTAAAATAATTAATCAATAGTTTACCCTGTTAATTGTTTGAAGGTCTCAATCGGTAGCTTTCCCTCGTCGTTGATGTTATACATTTTAAATAATAGTTTTGCTTTGTCTTTAGCGGTCCCCTCAGCAAAAGTAGCAATAAAGTCGATAAACTCTCGGAACGAAACAAAATTGTTTTTATCCTTGTCGACCAGATCGAACATGCTCATGGCTATGGCACTCTTTGGATCCATGCTTAATGCCTCGGCGAATTCAAATCTGGTGAGCTCAGTCTCCACTAGACTGAGTGATGTATCATCCACCATATTTTTCTCTTGACTTTCATAGGACTTAACAAATGCTTGCCCAAAAACAACCCGGAAAAACCGTTCTACTTCTGCTTGTCGCTGCTGCTTTGTGATGACCTTTTTAGCAGCTATTTTATACAACAGTTTTGCTTCGTGTTCATGGACAGCACTTTGAATTTTTGCCGCGAATAATGTTAAGCTTTGTACGAAGTTTGCACGCAGCGGAGCGTACTTAAACATTAACACAAGGTCGTAACCATGGAGAACTTTGATTACTAACGCTGGTTTATCAATGGTGCACATATAAGTGATTCCATTGCTGCAATCTACTGCACGTAGAAGAGTTTCTTTGGGGTCCATTACAAGAATTTGTTTTTTACTCTCGTCAAATGTGACGAAAACAATTCGTGAGGGTGAACGTGGACCGGTAATTTCTTTTGCGTCGTAGATTTGTCCATTGGTAGGAGTGGGACTAGCCATTCTAACGGTACGAACTCGCCATTGCATTAAAACATAAGCTAGAGTAAGGGCAGAGACAATAAACGTGGCCACACCGGTGAAGGTTAAAATGAAGGAAGTTTCACTTCCGGAAAAGTAATCGAAAGTAGTGCCTTGGACACATGGCTCGTTAAGTTGCGCAGCATTTAAAATAGGAAGGTGGGAGCAGTTCTGGCAGCCTGAGCTGCTTGATTTTACAAACACCTTTTTGCACTTTTCCCCGATTTTAGAATCTGAAAATAACAGATGAAGAATTTGTAGTATTGAGAGGAAATTTAATGTTTACCATCTGAAGGGACCCGAAAAACATTTTCTTGAATGTCAAGTGCGTCCATTTTGGTTACCAGCATTACAATATCGTACACAGAGATTTGTTTGATGCGTTTTACTTCTGCTGCTGTAAAAGTCTACAATTGATATTATGAGTAATAGTAGAATTTTAATAGAAACAAGTAATGGTACCTGTTTTCCAGATTCTCGTACCAGAAACGGTCAGCGTTTCTAATCCGTCGAAATTGGTCCAAAATAATTGTTTCAAACAATTCCCCTGGGCCAGTGGATGTGGTTTCCAGGATCCCTCCAATCCAGGTATCGACGTTATTAATATTATTGCGGTAAAGTAACCTCAGTCTTTCTTTTACCTACAAAATATTAATTAAACTCAAAAGTTTACTGATATTTGAAGAAAGAAATACTTCTGGTGTTATTGTTTTAAAGTCATCAAACGATGCGTAGGGTTTTAGACCATAAGCCCGACGTGCCGTGTTGAAATCTGGTAAACCATGATCACGACCTCGTTGTACATTAATTGCCATTAAGTCTCTGCGTGGAAACTCCAGAGGACCAAAAACATTACCGCGAAGGTCCTCAACTATTTCGTGGTCTTCTTTCTCGCACAGTTGGCTAGCCATACCCATCAGGAGACGGTCAATGTCGACTATCTCTCCAGTTGTACTATTCACTTTAGCAGTTAAGGCGGTTTGTGGTCTCCAGAAGGCATTGCACGTGCGCACTGCCTTTGTACCCAGGATTCTTATTGCATTAAATCCGCATTCATTCCGATTGTAATCGCGTACATACACCCCGGGCGTGACTAGGGTGTGTCCAAAACGGAATGCAGCGGTTTGAAAGTACTGATCTATCTGGGGATCAATGCTGGCATCATAGGTTTTGTATTTTTCAAGTGGTTTACTTAGCCATGCAGGCAGCCATTCGTCGATGACGATGTGTTGTTGTGTGGCTATGACCCATTTACGTGCTTCGTTGAAAACTGCTTCGCTGGATAAGTGTGGTTGTCTGAGTTTGATTTGTTCAGCAAGGAAGTTATGCCAGCGGAACCATAATACGCCAAAAGTAAGCAGGAATGTGTTTTCATTGCCGCGTGGGTTTCCTAATTCTACATTTGATGTAATTATAACGTTTTTAAATCTTACTCTATAATAACTTACTGAAAAATCTTGTAACTGGTAAGATTTCGTGATTCTTGATAAACTTAGCATGATGGAATGGGGTGGCGGGTTGGCCATGGGAAGGCGATGGGTATTATACTCCGGAAAGAGCCCGCCAGGTGTTGTCGCTAATTTACCATTGGGGTCTATTGTTCCATTAGCATAGGTCCTCAATTGATCAGCCCATTGTTTTGTGATACCATATACCAACCCGCCATCCAAGTATGGAGTGATTTCATTCAACTAGACATTTTGAATCACACACAATCAATACTTTATGAACTTTTAAATTAACCCTTACCTGTTGCCTTGGATTATTTGGGGAATGCCCAGTACGGTGATCAAATCTAGTTCGCAGTAGTGGCATTTCTGTATGTGAATGCTGTTTCCTATAAGGGTGCTCCTTCGGTATTGGTATGTTGAAATATTCAGGTGGGCATGCTGGGCGTTGTGCATCAAGTATCTCTTCGACAATTTGTTGACCAAAGAACACTAGGAACGCAGTTTTACCTGTGTTTGATCTGGAGCCAATAGTGCCATTCAGTAACTGGTCACTGAGGTCGAAAGGATTTGGACGATTGCCACCTGCAGGGGCGTAGGTTCCATCGGCATATGCAGCTGGACTTCTTCTTAAAAGAGGCCTGTCAATAGCTCCGGAGTCTGGACGAGCGAGATTGTTGTACCATCCGTCATATCCCGGATATTCAACTTTGCGAAGAAAATGTTTACCCAGTAACCATTCACCAAATCTTTTTCGACTTGCCTGTCGAGCCCCATAATCAGAGTGAGGTGGTTTTGTGTCATTCTGACATAAATTAGGTGTTATAAGCACAAAAATGGTCCCGTAAAGGACAAACACCCAGTGGGTGCGGCGCAACATTGTGAACTGTTCGTTTGAGTGAAACAAATTCCACAACAAACGAAAATACTAATATTTGCTCTTATTCATATAAAGAGAGGCAGGATGTGATAAGTTGTGGTTGTATTAATTTGCGATAAAAAATAATTTTGTGACTAAATCCTATGAATGCTGTAATTTACTTTCAATAATATTCAATTTGGACTTCACAGGAATATTATTCCTACAAATTTTATTATTAAAATTAAAATACTTCAAAGAAATCTTCAAAAATGCCGTCGGCGCTGGATTTGTTGATCTGATTACAACTAGCAGCAGAAAAATTATTGATAACATAATATTTGATATTTATTTAACAATATAAATTGATTCAGTCATATAAACATTACGTTTTAAGTTTAAATTTGCGTTTGAACGCAAAAAAATTGCACAAAAACGACAAGTAATTAAACTTTGAGCCAAAACAGCGATTTTTATACCTAATTCGCCGTTTTAAACCAACTAAGCATTACAAAAATACATTTTTTTGATTTTCTTGCGTACCTGTACTTAAATTATACTTGTAATTTGCATTATAATAGAATACACCTCAAATAAAAGTTGTATCAATCTCTAAAAAATATAATTAAAGTGAAACATCACGTTTTAAGCTTAAATCTGCGTTTTAACGCGAAAACTGCATAAAACATTTTTGGTAATTACATGTATGGCTTAATTTATGAAGAGGATATCCATTAAAATATTTTAGAGGCCCGACTATTATTTTTGGGGTTTCTCTCATAAATCCATTTGTTGAAATCTGAAATCTTTGTTTTTATATTTACTGGTGTAAGTATAAACGTAGCTTTATTTGTATTGTGTTCAACCAGCGTTATGCTGTCCAGGTATAGTTCCGGAGTACACCTGTAGGGGTCAACATAATTGTTGTTTATGTCCTATTGTAGGTTCATCTTAATCGTATGGGTAGTGTACGTTTGTATCGCACGAGGTTCGGTACGCGTCTTGTTCTTTGTGATTTTAGCCAGTGAATTTGTTCTTACCAGATTCCCGTACTCAATTGAAGAAGTAAATAAGTAAATCCTTTAGCTTTTTTATAAGTAAGTTTTATATTTAACATACAAACTTATTTTCAATATTGAGGGATTGAATTTTGTTTGTTATTTCAAAGGTGTAGCAACTGAATCCGACTTTGCGAGGTAGCTGTTCTTCTATCCATTGTAAGTAATACTTTTTTTTATTATTTTGATAACCGATATTTATAGAATAAAAGAATTAAAAAATCTTTTATTTCTGGAACAGATATGTTAGATGCAAAACGTTGACATTGACATCAAGTTGTGGTGTTTTTGATACATTTTAATAAAATGTAAGAGAAAAAACCCTGTATCTTGCGTCTTAGCTTAGTTAGGCTTAGTGTTGTTTAGTCCCGTAGAAGTAAAGTTCAGTCTCGCCAAGTATTAGGAAAAGTATAATTGTCGTCAAAAATTTGCTTTCTTGTTAATTAGAGAGTAATTAATTCTTGTTTTACTATGATTTTATATGATCAACTGGACTTCGATGATTTGCAAAGTTTGCATTTAAATTAAGCAACTTAAAACAATTATTATCAATATCTTCGCGGAATTTTATATCACATTCTACTATGCTTTAAACTGTAATGTACGTCAGTTGGATGTCCCACAACTAGGTGGTGCTAGTACTTTCTTAGCTTTATAGTTGAATCTTCAATAAATAGATGGCGCAATGCACGATCTGCGCTTGTTAGTTAAAACTATAGTAACTAGAGGGCGCCACACATGCGCTGAACTTTTTAGTTGCAATCATCACTATCGCATTGACTATCAATTTGGTTCTCAAGTTTGGCATAGTTTATATTTCATGTTTGTGCGTCGCGCACGCGGTCGCTGAGTGAATTGGACATTTGTAGCAACCATGTTGATTGATGGTCTGCATTAGGAGGACTCACTGCGCTGGGTAAGTTGTTAGCTATATCTAGACATTGTTATATGCACTAGGGATTGTGTTGCTACTTTGGTTTATCTTATCAGATATGTGAACATAACAACAATTAAATTTTGCAACTTTTTAAAACATGCGGTGGAAATTTGGCTGTATCTCGGGAACCGTTTGTGCGATTTTAATGATATTTTCGAATTTAGATAAAGCGATAGGCATTTTATAAGATGCGACATTGCCGCCCCCCCAAATCACGCTAGAAATGACGTAGAAGCGCTCTCAAACTTTTACGATTTGTGGGAATTTTCAAAACACTCGGTGGAAATTTGGCTGTATCTCGGGAACCGTTTGTGCGATTTTAATGATATTTTCAAATTTACATAAAGCGATAGGCATTTTATACGATGCGACATTGCCGCCCCCCCAAATCACGCTAGAAATGACGTAGAAGCGCTCTCAAACTTTTACGATTTGTGTGAATTTTCAAAACACTCGGTGGAAATTTTGCTGTATCTTGGGAACCGTTCGTGCGATTTTAACGATATCTTCAAATTTACATAAAGCGATAACCATTTTATACGATGCGACATTGTTGCCCCCGAAATCTCGCTAAAATGCCTTAAAATTGCTCTGAAACTTTTACGATTTGTGTGAAATTTCAAAACACTCGGTGGAAATTTGGCTGTATCTCGGGAACCGTTTGTGCGATTTTAATGATATTTTCAAATTTAGATAAAGCGATAGGCATTTTATACGATGCGACATTGCCGCCCCCGAAATCACGCTAGAAATGCCTTAAAATTGCTCTGAAACTTTTACGATTTGTGTGAATTTTCAAAACACTCGGTGGAAATTTGGCTGTATCTCGGGAACCGTTTGTGCGATTTTAATGATATTTTCAAATTTAGATAAAGCGATAGGCATTTTATACGATGCGACATTGCCGCCCCTGAAATCACGCTAGAAATGCCTTAAAATTGCTCTGAAACTTTTACGATTTGTGTGAATTTTCAAAACACTCGGTGGAAATTTGGCTGTATCTCGGGAACCGTTTGTGCGATTTTAATGATATTTTCAAATTTAGATAAAGCGATAGGCATTTTATACGATGCGACATTGCCGCCCCTGAAATCACGCTAGAAATGCCTTAAAATTGCTCTGAAACTTTTACGATTTGTGTGAATTTTCAAAACACTCGGTGGAAATTTGGCTGTATCTCGGGAACCGTTTGTGCGATTTTAATGATATTTTCAAATTTAGATAAAGCGATAGGCATTTTATACGATGCGACATTGCCGGCCCCTGAAATCACGCTAGAAATGCCTTAAAATTGCTCTGAAACTTTTACTATTTGTGTGTATTTTTAAAACACTCGGTGGAAATTTGGCTGCATCTCGAGAACCGATTGTGCGATTTTAATGATATTTTCAAATTTAGATAAAACGATAGGCATTTTATACGATGCGACATTGCCGCCCCCCGAAATCACGCTAGAAATGCCTTAAAATCGCTCTTAAACTTTTACTATTTGTGTGTATTTTTAAAACACTCGGTGGAAATTTGGCTGTATCTCGAGAACCGTTTGTGCGATTTTAATGATATTTTCAAATTTAGATAAAACGATAGGCATTTTATACGATGCGACATTGCCGCCCCTGAAATCACGCTAGAAATGCCTTAAAATTGCTCTGAAACTTTTACGATTTGTGTGAATTTTCAAAACACTCGGTGGAAATTTGGCTGTATCTCGGGAACCGTTTGTGCGATTTTAATGATATTTTCAAATTTAGATAAAGCGATAGGCATTTTATACGATGCGACATTGCCGCCCCCCGAAATCACGCTAGAAATGCCTTAAAATTGCTCTGAAACTTTTACGATTTGTGTGAATTTTCAAAACACTCGGTGGAAATTTGGCTGTATCTCGGGAACCGTTTGTGCGATTTTAATGATATTTTCAAATTTAGATAAAGCGATAGGCATTTTATACGATGCGACATTGCCGCCCCTGAAATCACGCTAGAAATGCCTTAAAATTGCTCTGAAACTTTTACGATTTGTGTGAATTTTCAAAACACTCGGTGGAAATTTGGCTGTATCTCGGGAACCGTTTGTGCGATTTTAATGATATTTTCAAATTTAGATAAAGCGATAGGCATTTTATACGATGCGACATTGCCGCCCCCAAAATCACGCTAGAAATGCCTTAAAATTGCTCTGAAACTTTTACGATTTGTGTGAATTTTCAAAACACTCGGTGGAAATTTGGCTGTATCTCGGGAACCGTTTGTGCGATTTTAATGATATTTTCAAATTTAGATAAAGCGATAGGCATTTTATACGATGCAACATTGCCGCCCCTGAAATCACGCTAGAAATGCCTTAAAATTGCTCGGAAACTTTTACGATTTGTGTGAATTTTTAAAACACACGGTGGAAATTTGGCTGTATCTAAGTTATAAAATAAATAATATAATAAAAAAATCTTTTGTTGTTTCAAGTTAACGTAATCAGTTATATAATTATTTATTTCAATTTTAAAAAGTGTAGTTACGATTATAACACTAACACTGAAAAGGAAGTAAATATAAGTTTATTGACATATAAACGTGTTATATTAAGTGTAAAGTACGTTTTACAAACCACGTGTGTGTTAACTTAGCCTCGGTTGATTGTTACAGTTATACCAACCACGAATGCCAACATAAAATATAATACATAAAACATAAATATTTAAAATTTTATTTTTGTTAAGTTAATGTAATAACTTATGTAATTATTAGGTTAATTTTATATGGTGTTGAGTTACAATTATAACACTGTAACACAGAAAAGGAAATAAAAATAAGTTTATTCACATTTAAACGTGTTTTATAAAGTGTAAAGTACGCTTTACAAACCACGTGTGTGTTAACTTAGCCTCGGTAAATTGTCACAATTATACATACAATATAATACATATAACATAAATATATAAAATTTTACAATTGTTTTTATTAAGTTAATATAACAACTTATACAATTATTTAATTCAATTTTACAATGTGGAGTGTTATAATTCCATCACTGTAGCAGTGAAATAGAAATAAGGAATATTTTACTGTCCTACACACATAAAGGGTGAAGTAACCATTTGCAAAAATGTTTGTGTTCTATGTGAGCCTTAGAAGTTGTAAATAAAAAATACTGCTATAACCTACTATATTCATTTCTCTTTTCTCATAGTTCTCGGGAGCGCCGTCTTAAGAACAACAGAACCGTTTTTAAGAAGATGGGCTGTTAAATTGATTTTCGGATTCTAGTCTACTTTGCCGTGAGAAGCAGTACCAAGGTGAGTAAATTGGATGTAAATTGTTTGAATTACTCCTTGTTCGTTGTTATGCTAACGCAGTTTTGTTTTCACCTCAGGTGGATGTGGAAGCGACCTATTAATCTGCACGGGGCTATCGCGTTCATGACGATAAGCGTCTTTTGGTTTCCTCAGAACGCTTAGGATTTTCGGACTTGTTTCAAATTGTAAGAGATAGAATTTAATGTTTTCCTAATTTTTTTACGCAGATTATGGTGGCGGACAAAATGATTTCTCGCCCTGTATTGGAGAGAGTTTTGTTGAAAATAGAACAAGCCTAACAAGAAAACATCTTTAGGTTTCTTTACAACGTGTTCTCAGGACACTGCCTAATTTTTCCCAAAATGTAAGTAATCTTATATAATATTTTATTTTTGCTATGATTTTCCATATATTTTGGGGCATTTCTTATCACGAAAGACTAAAAATATGCATACGTTTCATTCTAATAATGTGTGCGTTTTAGGTTTAACGCGGCGTCGTCGATTGATGAAAGGCATTGTTTTTACTATAGACATATTCAATTCCACGCCGGGTATAAAATTGAATTGTTATTTTATTCCATATTTTATACTTTTGTTATTTTTTTTAATTTGACTGAGATAAGCAACGTAAAACTTTTGTTATAAATTTAATTTAGACTAAAATGAGCAAAATTCGGTTTAATTTGATTCTGTGCACAAAATGCTACAATAATTTTAAATTGTTTGAAATATTGTTTGAAAGCAGTAGATTACAAATGATAATAAAGCAAAAAGATACAGTACACGGAGGTATGCGAAAGAGGCCCAAAACTGGACAATAATTGTTTATCAAGTGTAAATTGTTAGTTTGCTTTTACTCTTTGCTTTGTTAAGTGCAGCGTTAAAGCACAACACTTTAAATAGTCAATTCAAAATAACATTTTACATTTCATCAACAAGTTCATTAGGTAGCCATTTACTGCTATGGATGTGTTGTCATGTGTCGCAAATAGCGTTTAACATTAAATGCACTATGGTGGTACAGAATCGACACTTAAATTTGCTTATTACAAGTCGAAACTTGTAAATTTTTAACTTATAAATGTATTTTCTCTGAGCGTTATTTGCACTGGTTTAATTGAAGGATCTACAATTGTTTCACCGGTGAGGACATCGTCAGGACTATCAAAGACATTGCTTAAATAATATTACTAGGCTTAAGTCGACGGAGACGCGTACTTGGATGGAATAATATTTATTTTGTAATACCTATTTAAACCTCTTTTGCGACTCCACCACTGGTAAGATAGGATTTTTAATTTAATTTTAAAATGTATGACAAATAAGCAAGTTGTGAAATGATGTACTTAATAATTTAGGATTATTGGTACACAAACAGAGCGGTACTCAAATCAAATTGAATGAATCAAAAGTAATAAATACTACCCTGATGCTTTTAATTTTGTTTGGTGTCTGCTATGCTGCTTGTGTCGGCGCAGCGCGTCAGTTTTCTTGCTTCTTTTGAAAGTATTGGTAGGGGCTATCTGCTTTGTTTACGCCTGATATCAATTCTCTCGACAGTTTAGTCGATCGCGCGCTGTGCTACGGTTAACACGTGTTTTGTTCGTCAGTCGATCTTCGTGCGACTTTTCGCATTTCTTACTTTAATTCTGTAATTGCCTTCATCGGCCTTTCGTAACAGGCTAATGTGGCGCAACCCCAACTAATCATCGGTTCGCTTGTGCACTTGGGATGTTCCGTCGGCCGTCGCTAAGTATTATTCGGTTGTGGAATTATCTGCCACGGTGTAGGTCTTATATGCGCCACGTGCGTGTTCATCGGCAGTCGTTTATCTTCTCGCATATTGACCAAACTTGGATTTATTATTAATTCCTGCGGATAGACAACGTTGGTGCTCAGTTTTTGAATTTGGGAGTCATGGAAACTGCGATATCCATGAAAGAAGTATTGGAGGTGCGCACATTTTAAAGTAAGTCTTTACTGCTACGAGATTTGAGATTCGTCAATGTTTTCTATTATTTGAAAGATATATGTATTTTGAATGTTGACAATAAAATACATTGCAATGTTATAAACTAATTCTTATTTCTTTCTTGCGTCCCCTTTGTTGTTTTCAGTATCTGTGTCTGAAATCATATATTAGTATATAAATCTTATGTGCGTGAAGCGTGTACAATGTATTGCTGTTGCTTGAATTATGTTGTTGTTTTTAAAAACATCATAAAACCAGAAACATATATAGAAGAATCAAATAACAATGATAAAAACACTCGGTGGTCGAGTGGAGACGTGTACCTGCTGGCATACTAGCAGACACGGATCGAATCTCAGGTATAAGAGGCATTTTTCTCAAATATAAAAATATCTGGTGTAATTTGGGTTGCATATATGAATTGCAACGAAAGAGAAATTGAAATACAAGTGAAGGCAATAAGAGAAGTAAGAAAGTAAGTTGAGAAACGGAGAACAGAGAAGAAATAGGAGAAGTAGAAGAAGGAACAGCAGAGAAAAGTAGAAGACAGAAGGAAGAGAACAGAGAGTAGAGAAGAAGGAGGAGTTAGAAGAAAGAGCAACAGGAGTGGATCAGATTTTTAAATTTTTTGGTCCGTGTCGTTAGACAGTCCACTGCTTCGAATCAATGTGTCCATTGCTCCCGGCCCATCCTACAGCTACGATGTCTCTGCGCTTCATCCCCGAAATTATCAGGCATATCAACAATTTTTATGGTGGGGGATCATCCCCAGAGAGAGGGAACTCCTTATAAGGACAATCCTTATTAGGTATTTCTAAGTTTTAAGTCGCCTCAAGAGAGGTGACACTTAAAAATATTCTTACAAATTCTGACCTGTAGCTGAAATGAAAGATGGAGTACACAAATCATACAGGATACCTTAACAATTTTTATAGTGGGGATCATGCCCTGAGAGAGGGAACTCTCTTAGAGACCTGTACCTGAAATAATAGAAGGGGTACATTCAAAGCCTAAGGCATAATATTTCTTAACATTTCTTTATTAATAAATACAATGTAAAATAATACAAGTATAGATTTTACAAGTCAACAAAATTCATGCTGGCATATTGAAACAGGACTTACGACCTGCTAAACAGCGCAAGCAACCGCGTACCACTTAGTGAAGTTCTAGCGGGATAAAGCAATTAGCAAAGTCAATTATCATCGTGATTGAAAACGGAAATAAATATACAGGGTGTTACAAAAGAAAATTAGGTGCAGACAGGAAATCATCTAAACACTCAAATATCGCTGTTTTTTCACGGTGTCACATATAGAAAATTCAACCAAAAAAGGAAAACACTACAAATATTGCTCGTTTCCACCCGATGCTCCGGGAAATTATTAAACAGGGTGTTACAAAAAACTTAAAAATCCCAAGTTTAAAACAAAGAACACTCAAAACTCACAAATAAAGGCTATTTACTAAAGTACTGTTAGGAAAACATATATACAGGGTGATACAAAAGGAAAATTTTAAAAATTACAAATATGATCAACATTCACATCATGACGAAAGAAATTTATACCGAAACAACTATATTTTAACATAAATTCAAAGATTTTACCCAAAAATCATCGGAAAAGTTAAGTAAAAAAGTTGCTATAAGAATAAAACACTTACATTTTGATATATTGTGTATATATTTATCAGTTGATATCATCAACTGCATAAGGTAACCGACGGGTGAAGCATCATCATAAATTGATAGAACATCAGGCGGAAAACATCCAAATCAGCAGACGGCAAGCGTATGTAAATACGATAAAAATAACTATTTACTTGTAAATATTAAGATATATGGAAACTATTATAGCGAAAAACTTTTCAACGTATAAGATTATATTAGATCAACAAGAAACTTTTTAATTTAATGATGATAAGGAGTGTAATTAGATTTCGTTCAGCGAAAAGAGGAACGAGCCGACGGTCGACGGCAAAGTGAGCGTGGTCGACCACATGAATATTGTCATTTTAATAATCCTCAGATACTTTTTAAGACAGTGTTTGTAATAATTAAATTATGCATGTTATTTTCGGTAACAGGACTGAGAATTTTGATAAAAATGCTACCACGTGTTTGTAATCTGCAAAATTAATATCCCTCAAATGGAATAATCAATTTAAGTTAAACCGTCTTAACTATCCGCGAAAAAAAGTGATTAAACACGTACCAGTGCATTGATGAAGAAATTTTTGACCCAGAAATAAATCTGATCAACTGAAAACTCGCGCAGAGATTAACGGACACTTATATCTCACTTAAGAACAGTCTAACCGCCACAACTCATCAAACAAAACAGGCACACATGCTCGTTTCGAATATTTTGTTGATGACGAAAAGAATACACGATGATTAATTGAATAATTTAAGTCTGAAAACGCGTGGCGATTAGAGACACGCGTTCGCGGACTACGCGGTGAAACGACTCCCGTGTGCGCTGCGCGAAACCAGGTACAAGGCAGGTACGTAGCGATAAGCGATAGCGTACGTAGCGTCAGTCGAACAAAAAGTTGTTTATACACAAACGAAGTGGTAAACACGTAGTTGAGAAGACGAAAGTAAAAATTCACAATATACGAAATATGCTTTTACTTTCAATATTTCTCGGCATAAGAAAAGAATATATTGGTTTTGGACGCAATAAGAATAAAGATAAACAGGAATTTGTAATGTACCAATACAAATAAATAAATAATTTATTATTTTCTAATTGTCTTCGAATAAGATTACTGTATATCTTAGTTAATTAAATAATTGATGTTTACAACACCGCGACTATTAATATATCTATAAAATAAAGTATTAAAATAGGCAAAATAAGTATATCTTCGTAGGGTGCCCTGAACACGAGTCACTTCAACCGCTACCTTCGTAGGGTGCCGTAAACACGAGTCACTTTTACCGCTAGCCTCGTACGGTGCCCTGAACACGAGTCACTTCTACCGCTACCTTCGTGTGGTGCCCTGAACACGAGTCACTTCTACCGCTACCTTCGTACGGTGCCCTGAACACGAGTGACCTCTAACCGCTACCTTCGAACGGTGCCCTGAACACGAGTCACTTCTACCGCTACCTTCGTACGGTGCCGTGAACACGAGTCACTTCTACCGCTATCTCCGTACGGTACCCTGAACACGAGTTACTTCTACCCCTAATTCTTAATATACAAGTACTACGACACACACACACAACTTTCAATAACTCGCGTTACGGATATTTCTCGCAATAAATTTAATGTTTAGATTTTTATAATAAACTATTACACCTAATGTAAAATTGTTAGTTATATTCATGACTTGAGAATTGAAGAATACTTGCTTAGACGATGCCAATATGAACTGTAAGATGTGATATCAGCAGGTAAACAAACTTATCTCTTGTGCGAAATCGCGTGATCGCACACGGACACGGTGTGCACTCACTACCACCAACAAGCAATATTTAACGCGAAAACGTGCGTCGTAGTGCCATCTAACCGACTATCTACTAATAGCAGGTTTAAATTTTAAACACATTTTATCATATATGCAACAAACTTGATATTGCATGAAAATGTCAGTCATAAGCAATTTAATAATGCCTATCAAATCTCAAATATTGCTTTAATTTATACTCTATGATACAATAAAATAATAATATATTCACACATCGGAGAAAACAAACATTCGAAATGGTCAGATAAAAGTTACTTACTCAAGCACGAAAAGAACTCCTAATGACGGAAAAAACATGGCAGGAATATGTATTCGATTGACCGACAAAGTCACACAGTAACCGGCAATAAAACCGCAGCAATCTTGTAATTTGAAAATGAACATCAACACCGCAAATAAAAGGCAAGTCCTGAAACGTAGAAAATACAAACTAGAATAAGTTTTAATTCGTCGTAGAAATGACTGGTAGTTAACCAGTGTCATACGCAACAAATAATGCATTGCTTTATATCATAAATTCATATGCTTACTTGATTGCTCATTGGGAGGAAAGCCGACGGACGACGGACGACGGCCGACGGATCTTCACTGCAACGCCATTCCGCTTACCACAAAACACTTCATTAACACTTCACGAATATCACAAACGTGTAAATAAGTAGACAACTCAGCTGCGCAAATCAGCTGCGACTAGTTTTATCTACTTATGGTGAGCACTTAAGTCTAGAACGTGAACAAACGGTATTCGTAACGCTATCTGACGGCAATATTATGAGACTAGCCATGTGAAAACAAAATTCAGCGCGCGCGGCATAATAGAGGTTCCAAGGTCATTTAATTTAAATAAAATATGAAACTTGATATTCTAAAATTAAATATTCTACCTTTTCTTCAAGAAAAAATAAGAATTCTAGTCCTTTCGTCATTTAATCATGTATAATAAGACTTTAATAGTGTAAATACATAAAAAGGAATGCATTAATATAATATCTTATATAAATTACACTATGGAACAATAGAATTGCACAAAACGTACAAAAAATCGTGTGGAAAAATCAGTCCGATGAGATCTCAATGTTTGTTTACACGTCCTCACCCTTCCTAGGAAAATACACAGTTCACTCAAGAGTACAAAAAGCTACTTTAGGCACTGTTAAATCCTGGCAAATAATAGCATACTTCGGTCGAAATTATTTAAACTAACCAACTAGACGTCGACGAATATCACAAATACGAATATTGCGTCGATTAAGTACGTACAAAACCTTACGGTGCTCGCGTTGACGCATCGACAACCACGAACTCTATGGCAAAAATACAATTTTTTTACACGCTAATAAAATCTGTGTACAAGTATATAAATATAAATATCTTCCCACAAGTGTCATGGTATATTCGCTGAAAAAAAGCAAGCAATAAATATGTCTTTTCTTCGCTTTGATCGCGTGGCAAATTTGTTTGCAGATTGGCGGGATTGTCGTTCGTCTTCCTTCATCGCTAAAACAGTCTTAATCAAAGTCAATTCCTCGTGAACGCCTCAAACCTATCACTCTGATGGAATGTCATGTAGATGCTTTGTTTTACAATGCTTGGCAAATCATAAATACTTAAATTAGATTGTGAACTAAAACTTAATTTGTACATATTCGCACTAGAATTACAATGTCGCGTGTTGACGACGCTCAAAGAGAGCTTACACGCTTGGTGCTATACAGATGTCTCCTCATCTATTTCTTTCCTGTGAACAAAAACCTTTTTGTTTAATTTATTGCATTAAGATAGAGGGTCGACACCTCACCTTAATTGTTAAGACCATATTCCCAACACCATCTTTACGTAGGCATGAACAAAGAAAGGGTTATAATAACAGCCAACACCATAAATTAGTTTTCTTGCAAGGTTACATAGAGTAAAATAAAGTAACAACTTACTGTGATGGATCTGGCGTTGAATGATGAGTAGAATGCATCATAGTCGGCATGTGAGGCATCATTGGAGATGGCGATCCCCTGGCACTACCACAAAGCGATCCGTGAACGGAACCTAGTACTGAACCCATCCGGGAACCCATTCTCGGACCGTGATAATCCATGCCTAATAAATTCATTGCATTAAACAATATGGTGTCGTGTGATTACAGATATTTGATTTAATTTATACCTGGATTGTTAATGTCGTTTGTATGCCCTCCAATTGGCGACATCATCCTACTCGACGGCGGATGCATGTAATTATTAGTGGTTAGATGGTCCTCTTCCGCTGTGTAAGGAAATAAATACTTGTCGTCGACGTGGTGTTTCTCTTCCACATCGGAGCATCTATCAGGGTACTCATGGTAGTTCATGTTGTCATGTGGCGCACCCAATTTGTAGTTGCTTTTGCCTAAATTACTCAGTGTGCCCAAATTGCCCAGATTGCCCATGTGACCCATATTAGTGACGTATTGTTGATCGTAATGTGCTCGCATCATGTACTGTTCCGACTGCGTTGGTGGTACGTACGTTTCACCTGGCATTTCAGGGTTTGGTAGAGGATTGGGTGAGCCTGTTTTATGGCAGAATTCGTTATCGGAACCAGTCTCTGCTGACCAACGACCAACTTCAGGCACTATCATAAAGTTAGAATTAAAATCACAAACGAAATTAATAATTAAATTATTACCTGAACCATGGAGATATGACTCCGGCAGTTGACTGGACCATCGAGGACCGTAAGGTTGCACAGCAGGGAACAGTTGCGATTTGGTCACAACGTTCAATGCAGGTGGAGTTCCACATCTGGTTACCACATGCTCTGTGATGTTGGGAAGGTAACCCTGACGTGATTGGCCATTACTTTTAGTACGATGTCTTCTTGTACTAGATTCGTCGTCGTCGGAAGAGTGACTAGACGCTAAATCCAGACTACGACCCTCGGAACCATCCGAATCTGAATCACTCTCTCCACCACCATGACCATGACCATGTCCATGTCCTGAATGTTCACGTGTGTGTCGTCTTTCTCTGCGATCTTCTTCTGGAATCTCCCTATGGCGGTGTAGAGCAGACTCATGATCAAAACCGCGAAGGTACGAAGGAACATCGCTTGTAGAGTTGTAGTTTGAAGTACTCGTTGAAGTGTGTCTTAAGTGAGTATCGCTTCGATAGGGACTTGAGCTAGTTTTAGTTGTTGAACGCGAGGTGGTACTCGAGGTGGAGATGCCAACGTTCCTGCGGACTGCCTCAATTGCACTTGAATGGTAAGCCAATGCAGAACGCTAAAACAACAAATATTAAATCAATATTTTAGCCGGAAATATACGGACCACTGTTTACCGATTGCGCATTGATGTTTTGACTGCTTGTGCTGCCCACACCCGCCACTGAGTTGTTCTCCAAGAGAGGCACCTTCTTCCCCATGCAACGTAGAATCATGTGCACTAGATGTTGTCGCACCCTGTTGTTTGCAATGCAATAACCCAACAATGAGAATATTGCGTGTATCAAAACTGCTACTGACAAAAACGGAGTCAGGAGTGGATGTTTTTCTGAAGCTGCCAATAGTGCCAGTACCCAGGCACCTCCCAATAAAGGTAAGGCAACAACAGAGACCCATAGTAGGGACCTTAGGTTACCGAAACCCATTACGTGGTCTTGGAGTGTAAAAGCAGCACGAACGGCAAACAACAGCACGCACAAGTTGAAGAAAACCAAAATGGAGATTGGACCCACCACTGACCATATAACGCTTTCATACAACGATACCCAGCAGCTGAAATCATATACATTTAAAAAAAAATACTTAATAGTGTGATGGAATAAACTTACAAGTAATAGTTGCCATATTGATGAGCTCGTACACCAACAGCCAAACTGACAATCACCGCAGGCAAGACATATCCAATGCAATAGTAGAACCTCATAGGCCCATGATTAATATCCCTCATTTCTGTCAGCATTCTGTATAGATGTATTGCGTCCACTAACATCCACGCGAATCCACCCAGCCACAGATAATGCAAACTCATCGCAAACAATTTACAAGCAATTTCATTGGAAACCATTGGCCTTCTTGCCTTCAACGCTATGAAATACAATAACTCTGCCAAGAATACGCAAAGCACCAGATTCTTTCTGATTGTGTTTGAGTTAGTTTGCGCTCCACGCAAAAACGCCAAACATAAATATGTAGCGAATAAAAGCGGCAAAGCAATCGAGAAGCAACTGTACGTCGAGATATTCTCCATTAAAGACGGCTCGGGAATGTATTCCAAATCCACTACATCAACGAGAACAGCGAAAGTTGATAGATGATTGCAAGTACAGTTTACCAACAGCGGATCATCAGAATCCAGATCAAACCAATCGCTGTCAAGTTCAGTGTGACATCCTACTCGAGACCATTCACCAAAACCTCGTGCGGTTGACCAGTGCACGCATTGAGGATTTGATCTTTCATTGAAAATCATCTTCTCTTGATCCAGCCAGATTTGCAATCTAATTGGAAGATCCAAAACTACATTGCTTAAACTTTTATACAGCAGTTTCTGATTGGAGCGTTTAAAACGTTCAGATCTCAGGTATGCATCGTTTTCATGTTTGTCATCAGCGAATGATTTCTTATCAAATTCTTTAAAATTCATTCCTGATGGTAGTAAGCCTTCTTCGAAAAACACCTTGGGTTGGTTTTTAGTCGATGGGGAAACGGCGTTCACATATTCAGGCACAAGTATGCTAACTGACATTAGTGGAGATCCGATTGTAATGTCCACACCCCAACGTCTAAGCACGGAATCATCATACAGCGCAGGGAAGAGTTCACCAGCTTGTTTATATTGCGCGTAACTGATAACAGCCCCATTTTCAGGGAGGCTGTGTTTAGTAATCAACTCCCCTGATTCTATTGGTTTAATACCAAGAAGTTTTAAGGGTACTAATATTTTGGATAACATGTCGAATTTACTCCTATCTTGTAAGTAATTGTTGTATTTAGGGAATGCTACCAGAGGTCCTGGTCCACTAGGTGTATTTTGATTTGTAACATCCAAAAATTGTGATGTATCTGGAAGTATGACTTTTTCCGTTGTAAAACTGCTATCAGAAGGTAAAATAATTTCCTGTTCGTATCCAAATAATGATTCTGGAGTGACTACATCCAAACCAATCGCTAAATTAGGTGACACCAACTCAAATGGACTGGTATATGTATCATGTTGACTATCTGACAAGATATTGATGTACATTGCAAGTGAAGAAACGAGTAGCTCAGCACTACCATCACTTAAGTCAGTGATGCGTTTCCAATGCGAATCGTACTTCTGGTCCAATATGGCGCTTGCTGAATGCACAATGTTGTTGATATAATCTTTATCTTGACTGTGAGTTAAATTAAGTCCGTGCATGCGATTTTCGTGTTTAAGCAACTCCTGAATCAAATCATAAGTGATCAAGACATCAGCTCCATAAAGTGTTGGTGTTACATTAGTAGCTTTGTGTAAATCCGAAGCTAATTGAATAGCAACAAAAGTGTTTAAATTCAACTCGCCTTTTTCAATCATCGATAACTGATTTCTCAATTCGACAAATCGATCGGAAGTGCAATTGAACAAATCAGGAGCCTGCCATCCGCCGAGTTGATTATCGCAAGCCCGAGCTGCCTTTCCATGACTTCCTTTCGGGCATACTTCAATTGCTTCAATTCCAAACGAAGTGCGAGGCCACCAAATCTCATTCGCTGCACTTCTTGGACAACCATCATAAACCACCTCACATCCTCTCAATGTAATCTCAGCATACGGATTCGGACACGCATCGCATTTTTGTCCGATAACACCTTCCCTGCATCGGCATTGACCAGTTTCATGATCACATTGAGGACTGAAAGATCCTGTCAAATAACAATCACATGGAATGCATTTTGTTGATCCTTTTGGTTGATAGTGATTTTCTTTACAGCGACATTGCCCATTTTTCTTATCACAATCCGGATTGTATCCTGCCTCTGTATCACAGTGACACGGTCCACAAACAGGGAAACCCCACCATGACGCAGGGCAAGGCTGGGCTTGTTTCGTCTCACAGTATTCACCACTATACGTTGAGGAATTGCAATTACATTGATACCCTCTTACGTTATGTTCTTCTTCACAAACAGCATTATTTTCACAAGGGTTTTTCGAACAGACTGGAATGCACAGAGGTCCGACATATCCAGGATTGCATTCGCAGTGTGAATGTCCCCAGGAAGTGATGCATTGTGCATTAAGTGGACATTCAGTCTGACACTCATCCAAAGACCCACATCCGTCTAAAACATTTTCGCGCACAGTTGGCCGAGATAATATCGTTTGAGATGTTCCAATTCGGACATCCTGCACGCATCCTTCGAGATAATTATATCCAACGTTGTTGTAGGAAATATCTGGACTTCCAATTAATATTTTACCAACGTATAATCCTTGGATCTTAGCATTGAATGGAACTAAATTGTTCTTCTCGCCGTAGTCTAATGAAAGTTTTATCTCGTTACCTAACCAAGTAACTTCTATATGATGCCATTGACCATCCGCTAGAGGTTTCGATGTTAAATTGAATGACTCACCATTGTAGGAGTACAAAACAAGTCCTGATTTTAATGATAGTACTGCTGAACTATTTTGGCCAACTTGCACAGACATAAGGAATGTGTCAGGCTGGCGGGTTCTTACTGACAACGAGTTTAACCATGGTAGTTGAATTGGTCTCAACAACGGATTAAAAGACAACATACCATCGCCTTCAAACCTCCATGGTTTTCCTATGCTTTCACTACAATCCCGTCCACTGAATCCTTCAGGACAATCACACTGGTACATACTCCAACCCTCTTTGCACACACCGTCGTTTCTACAAGGTCTTGAAGAGCAAAAGTTCCTTCTTTCCGGACAACCAGGTACAGTACCATTGTCAGCAACGTATGAGTTCAAATCTACGAATCTATAATCAACGTGGAAATCACTAATGCAACCTTCATAATGATGATTATGCGCTTGGAATTGTGCTGGCAATGTAGGCAATCCACCAAGTTGCAGTGGTCCGGTCAAATCCAAAAATCTATGGCAAGTTTCCGTCAACGACGCGCATCTACTTTCTAAAGTGTGTTCGACAAATCCTGCGCAAGCCCATTGTCCACCCAGTTCATCTCCAAACTTCAGCGCTAGGGCAGTATCACATTCATCTAAAGAAAGAGTTACCTTCTTGTTAAAGTAAGCCACAGTAACAGTGTGCCATTTTCCATCAGCGACACCACCAGGAATATTAGCCTCAACATGACTAACTTCACTACCCAATGAAAATGAAAACTGTACACCACCATTAATAATCTCCAGTGCAATAAAGTCATGTAATTCATTATATCGTCCATTATAAAGCAACAAACCATTCGGGCTCAAAGTCGCAAATTTCATTTGCAAATGCAATCGATGTCGCTGCTTCAAACTTGGAAACGTCAGAAAAGAGTTTTTACTAAAACTACGACTTTTCAGCTCACATAATGGCGTGTAATGTTCTTGTCCTGTTATCGGTGAACAATCTTCGCAAACAAAACCGCCTTTATGCCTAGGTGTGCAAGTTGCTCCACTGCGACAAACATTCGGTTTGCACGGGTCTGTATTTAATTTAATTTCGCAGTTATTGCCGGAGTATCCCGGTTGGCAAACGCAAGTATATCCACCTTCTTTGATTCGGCACGTGCCGTTGTTCTGACACGGTGCGCTGTAACATAAATTCACTTCGGTGTCACAAAGGTAATGCTCCCTCGATCCAGTGAAGCCCTCAGGGCATTGACAAGTAAACGTAGTCACCGGATAAATCGGCCGAAATAGTACTGTATTACTAGAAATAAATCCAGAGGCGTTGCCAAACTTCAAAACAGTTAAACACTCTTCGTAATTAAGACATGGCTCACTAACACAGAGATTATCGTCAAAAGGTAAAATCTGTACGGTTGATAATCTGGCAAGTATAGCTCGGTTGAGATAAACTCTTTCTTTCAAAAACTGCTGGGAGTAGTAATCTTCTCGTGGCACATCAGGCCTTTTGACAGAAAAACTCACATTGAGAATTTTATTCTGCACGTCGATATCATCCTGTATACTAAAGATGAAAATATTTTCCTTGGGACATGGAATAATTGCTGCAAGGCCATCAACAAAGAAACTTAGCAATGGTGAAAGGAAAGCTTCTTTCGTCATATCATTCAACCTGACTGTGATTGAACTAAAGAGCATCTCTTCAGTGATGAGTTTAACGGTCAATTGCATAATGGCTTTTATATCATTAATACCATCAGTAACCGAAACCTCCATGGTGGCAATCTTTGGAACGTTTGTATTCAATTGAGGACTTAGTTGAAGTTGTCCCGTGCTTTCATTTAAAGCAACTAAATTCGCGTTGTTTCCGGATAATATCCTAAAATGCAGTTTATCTGACACATCCGCATCGTACGCCGGAATTTTACCTATCGGACCAGTTGGGAAACAGTCCTTATAGTTATTGAATAAAACATGGAAGTCCTTTAGAACCGGAGCGTTGTCATTGACATCGATGATAACCACTTCTACATGCACATCGTTTCGTAATGGCGGACTCGCAGCCCTTACAATGAGATCAAACTTTTTCCTCGAGCTTTCATAATCCAATTCAGTCATTGTAATCAATTCAGCTTTTTCGGACCCTGGGCGTGTTATCAAACTGAAACTTTCTGAATCTTCTCCTCCAATGATTGAATATTGTACAATTGCATTAACACCATCGTCGGGATCTTTTGCGTAGATTTCTCCTACTGTTGATCCAATTGGAGAGTTTTCCGATATATACAAAGTGATTTTATCTGATTCAAATGTAGGTGGGGAATCATTCACGTCTTCAATGCGAATGACTACAGGAACTGTTGTGCTCAACGCTGGACTACCTCTATCAATAGCAGATGCTTCAAGATTGTACACAGCAACTGATTCCCTGTCTAAACCTTTATGTGTTCTAATGACTCCACTAGTTGGATCAATCACAAAGGAACCATCTTCCATGTCTTTTTCACTGAGAATATAACGAATTCGTCCATTCAATCCAATATCTGCATCGGTAGCTGATACCTGCACAACACTAGTACCTAACAATGCATCCTCCAATACACTACCGCTATATTGTAGTTGTTTAAATATCGGATAATTATCATTGATATCAGTCACAGTGATTTCTACATCCGTAGTATCTGATAATGGCGGATGACCACCATCTCGAGCTGTTACAGTCAACAAATAACCCGAAACAGATTCTCTATCCAATAACTTTGTGGTTATGATAGCTCCAGTTTGTGGGTTGATGGTAAAAGGTTGCACCTCAACGGAATCTTCACCTAACGTGTAAGTTATCTTCGCGTTAATACCTACATCATTATCACTTGCTGTCACCAACAGCACTGTGTACCCAATTTGTACATCTTCATTAACACTGACGGAATAGGGCGCAGAGTCAAACACAGGTGCAAAATTATTTGCATCTGATACATTCACATACACTGTAGCAGTGTCAGTCCTACCACCTGAATCCGATGCTGTTACTGTTAGAACGTAACGTTTCTCTTGTTTGTAGTCTAAAGGTTGCGCAACCGTGATTAATCCTCGACCATTTTGTGAAGTTATAGAAAACCTCCCTCTGGTGTTACCACTGCTAATCTCATAATGAATCCTTGTATCTTCATCTATATCAGTTGCAGTGACTGATGTTACAGGTGTTCCCGGAGAGTCATCTTCAGCCACAACACAATCGTACACTTTCGGGTCAAAAATCGGATTGTTATCGTTGACATCCTGCACGGTAATAATTATACTAGCACTGGCAGATTGTGGTGGATTTCCTTGGTCACTTGCAATGACCTGGAAACTGTACTTGGGATGTTCTTCCCTATCCAATTCTTTGGTGGTGTAGATCCAGCCAGTATGCGAGTCAACAGACAACGGAATATCTTCAGTAGACATACCCTGTGCGTCCTGGGAAGCGATAGTGTATTTTATGTCAGCGTTGGGACCTTCGTCAGCGTCGTACGCTTGAACTTTGACAATGCTATAGCCGGTAGACACACTTTCCGACACGGATTCTTGAAAAAGTGATGTGTAAAATCGAGGCGCATTGTCATTGACATCTTTTACATTTATTAACAGTTGTGTTGTGTTACTTCTGGCTGGGCTTCCGCCATCTTGTGCGCGTATGACCAATCTATACGAACGAATAGTTTCGTAATCCAAAGGTTTCACAAGTGTTACATCTCCAGTGAGACTGTCGATTGTAAACTGGCTTTGGGTGTTACCCCCGATGATTGCAAAACGAATCGCTGCGTTGTTCCCTTGGTCAGCATCAGTTGCCCTTTTAATTTTAATAAAACCGCAATTATATAAATCCTAAAAATAAAATCAAAATAATAACTTACTTGATATGTGCAACAACAGGATTTTCATTCCAATTGATGTCTTCGTTGACGGTAGCTGTGTAGGCACGTTCCGAAAACTGCGGGTAGTTATCATTGTCATCAAGGACTCGAATGACAACACTCGCACTGCAAAATACCAAGCATAAACATAAACAACCAATTTTAATGCATTTTTGTTTTTATTTACCTTGCACTTCTTCTTGCGCTAGCTGGTGTGGCTTGATCAGTCGCAGTAACAATCAACGTGTAAACCTCAGTTGTCTCCCTATCCAAATTGGTCCGAGTCGTAATCACTCCAGTCTTGGCATCGATTTTAAACGCGTTATTATCTTCTTCGGCAGTACTAATCCCACCTCCATTGACACTCTGCACAGCATACTCCACCTCAGCATTTTTCCCAATATCCTGATCAGTCGCTTTCAGAGTCAACACAGTGCTTCCAAAACTAACACCTTCTCTAACCGTAGCATCATATTCATTCATTTCGAAAGCAGGCGTGTGATCGTTCGCATCCAACACGTTTATCTGCAACATGCTAGTGCCACTTCTCGGCGGAAAACTGTCATCAGTCGCTGTTACTCGGAAATAGTGCACATCTACCAACTCGCGATCAAGTTGCACTTTGGTAGTGACGATTCCCGTCTTCGAATCGATGTCAAACATAGACTGTGTCCTTGAATCCAGCAAGGAAGTCATCGAGTATGTGACAGGTGAGTTTTCTGGATCTCTGGCTTTCAGAGTAGTGACAACCACTCCAGGTTCACATTCTTCCAGTACACTTACAACGTATAAATGTTGTTCAAAGAATGGGCTTTGATTACGTAGTTCCCGTCTAACCCGCTTTGCGATATCAGTATCATTAAAAACTTGATGATGGTAGACAATCTTAAGTCGGTGGTCAGAGTCTAATACTCTGGAATCTTTACACCGAGTAGTGAAAAAGATGACAACTTTCCAGAGTGGTTCCCTGATGCAGACGTCTTCAGCAGCGACGAGGTCACCTTGGGACTGTTCGATTTTAAAGCGTCGATCGCTCACATCAATGAAATCAACATCACATGCTTTTGCTATAGTTTTGGGAAGAAATGCAGACACAGAGTTGACAAACTGCGACTGTCTCAAACAGATCTTCCTCCATTTATCAGCAGTCGGAATAGCAAAAGACGCATAAGTCTCCGAAATCCATTGTTTCGCATCGGTAATTCGTGTTCTTACATTTGGATGCGCCCGATGCAGAAATGGATTGTATGTAATGCTCCTCCTGCTTCTGGAACCGCCTTCTAAGCCAAACTCCGCCTCCAAATCCTCCTCCTCCGCATCTTTGGAACATTCCTTGCCGACGATGAATATTCTCAACGGCAGACTGTAGTAGTCAATGTCTCGCAGCCTATTCGAAGTGGAGTCTATATGCACGGTGAATAGATTCGGATAGTAGAGTGAGTTGCACTCCAGTCGTTGTTTGAGCGAGACGCGACCGTTGTGCGGGTCGACCCGGAGGAGGCGCGACACGAATGACGCCGAGCGCTCCAAATTGATTTTGTAATCGCGCTCGGAGCCCAGCTTGTACACCGACGCGTCGAAGATGAGGTCGCCGGGTAGTTGGTCCTCGGTGACGAGCAGGAGGTAGCACGCGCATGATTGCAACGACGCGAGTAATACCAGCGCCGCCCCCGTGAGTCCCAGCAGGCTACGCCTACTTCGATGTGTTTGCGTTCGCATTGGTCGAAATGGTGCGTGGGCGGTCATTGCGCAGCCGCATCGTTAACTGGGCGGCATAATTCGATCTGAAACAACAACCAAAACATTCACAATCACACAGTACATACCACACCGTAATTGAAATAAACAGTTAAGAGGAAATTCTTGGTACGAGAAAATTTCAACGTGGCTATAAATAATTTAAACTTATAGCTACATCAGGTTGTTTGCTAACAACCGCGGTATTATAACGGAAACTCTCGCGTCCGTCCGCTACGGTGAATGAAATGAAGCGAAAACTTTCTAGCGCGCGCGCACGTCTAATAACACTCACTTTGCGCGAATTGCTGAATCTTCAGAAGAACAAAACACGGCGAGTCTGGGTCGGCGCGTTCGAAGTGTCAATCAAGTCCGTTTTAATTACCCACCGTCGTGTGGTAATAATGGTGTTTGATGGCGGTACGGTCGTGCACGCTGCGAGCGCATTAAATCGCAGTGAGCGGAACTCACGTCCCGTGAGGGGTGTTTTTCGAGACGTTTGTTACCCAAATCGCCCAAAACGCAACGACTTTGCGCGGCGTAACGATGTATAAATCTAAACGCACCTTACCTTCGAATGTAAGATGGAATGGATGCTGGAAAGGTAGCAGAAGAAATAAAAAAGCAGGTCAAGTGGAACGAATCTAAATCACCGGCGCGAGTAATTACTCGCCGACCTTTTTTTGAAAGGGATGCAGACCTTTCAAAAACAAATCGTTACCTGTTTTGATTACTCGAGGATTCTAATAAAATTAACGATAAAAAATAATTTTTTTTCATTTTATTTTTTTCTTGTTTTTTGACATTTTTTGCAGCTACTTGTGGCTCTTCGGCACGACTCGTCGGCAAATTACATTCGCTATTGCCTACACGCATGCACCTGCATTTTTTTACTGTATGCATACAGCCTTGAGGGAAGTCCTGAGAAAAAAATCAAATTACTATGCAATTGCCGTCGACTCTCGCTCGCCTCACTTGCTCGCGGCTGAGCAAGAAGAGGTAAAAGGTAAAACGCCAGCGCCAGAACACAGGTAAAGGTAGACGAAGACCTTTGGGAACTCGGTTGATTCTCGCGAGACTCTTCAAGTTTCTATTAGACCAACCAGAAGAGTGTGCGCTTGCCGCGCAGTGTGCACGCAACCTATTTTTGCGCTTTTATGCCTTGATATTTCTTCGAGAGAGTATTTCAACTCTTTTTATTTTAAGTTCATAAGAGCTTTCGCGTTCGCTTCTATGCACATTCCGCTTGGGGCTTCCTGAGATTTTTTCAGCTAAATTTATATATTTTTTGTACTATTTGTGTGCTTGAGGTAAAATTCGCAGCTAACGCACGAATGAGCTTTGGCAGGATTTACCGTATCCTGGGATTATGTTACTGCAACGTAAGCTGTAAGCTCACGATGTAAACTGTAAGGCATCCTAGGTTATTAAGAGGAAATTGAACTTCAGCGGAAGAAAAAATACACACAAAGACAAAAATTTGATGATGACATGTTGATGCAACGGAAAAAAAAAACTCCAACCGCCGAGTTGCAGCGCACGGAAAAGTTGAAATATAAAGTTGAACCAGTTCTCGAGACGCCGAGAAGTGAAGAAACACGTCGCAACATAATAAACGCGTATCGTATCAGAGTTTATGATAGAAAAATAGAATACCAAGAAGTCGCACTTCGGCAGACTCGCGCTGCAATTGTATGAAATATCAAGAGTTTGCTGTTTTGCTAAACTGGAAGCATGGCTCGAGAGAAGAAAGAAGTTTATACAAGTTCAACGTCGTCATCTCGTCATCGAGTTCGAGTTTCACCTCCACTCCATATTTATAACATAATACACGCGCTCCAAACACAGAATACACAACAGCAGCGAAAGGAAGCAAACGCGGTAACAGAGCATTCCTAATTCTGTTTGTTTCTACGTTTCTTAAGCCACCACAGCAAAGTTCTTTCAGTTTTGTTGTGTTTGCTGCATGCGCTTCGTTTGCTTTATACACTTGCTTAACGCTACTTACTATGAATAGACCGACATGTTCTGCTTGCATTTCTATGGCATCTCATGAAGCTGATCATGAAAGAAGAAAGACGTACGGGCGCATGTTGCGTGATTATCTCTTCACGACGGCGACGACAACGAGTTACTTGCTGCTTGTTTAAATGTTTAATATTCAACGCATTGCAACAGCTGAATTTGCAACAACTACAAGTTGTATCCAAACATTTAAAAATTTATTTATTTTAAGTCTTCTTTATTTAATCAGTAATTATTTGATTGAATTCAATTTCCTCTTTGGTTTTTAAACTTTAAATTAATCGTCCTCCGCGTCACGGATTCATGTTAATTAATAAACTCCACAGCAGTGGACGTCTATAAAAGCGTATGAAACTACTACAACTCTATATCTAGAAAATGTACCGAATTCCATCGGAATGTAAATTTCAATTCAAGATAGCAGCCAGCGGCAAAGAAGCAGCGCATACTGATGAATACCGAATCGGTTCGTGAATGCTCGCCTGAATCCCACCTCAATGGTGAATACGTAAGTAGCAAGCGACGAGCGCCAAAGATTCCTTCTGCTTCGTTAAAATGCACGGGCTTTGAATTAACGCTATCGCGGAACGATTTAATTAAAATTAACTTTATCTCTGCCGACCAGAGCGCCGCGCACATGCACAACTCCACCAAATGTGCAGCTTTTAGCAACCGGTCTTAATGAGTTTCGGTAGAAAAATAAATTATTTACATATAAATAAATTCTCCAGCAGAAAATGTATAGGAGTATTTCATAAGATGGGCAAATGGTACGTCAGGTATTCGAAATTTCCAATAACGAGAATATGCGACTGGGGTTGGAAGCGGTAATGGTGGAGGCGCCATTATGAGATATTTCCGGTACGCAGGCCGGCTATATTCTCCGTAAATAATACTCCAAGCAACCCGGAAACGACAGCGACGTAAAGCCTTTAATGTGTAGTTATTGCCAATATTATCATAGATAACAGGTAAATTATTACCGAAAGTCACCCTAATTCGTGTTGCTTGAGTGCGCGTTATGTCTTAAAAGCCGCACGCACTCTAGAATCGATTAAAACGCGTTGCGAGTACCAAAATGTTATGCTAATAAACATTCGATTCAAATGTTCATTACGTGTATTGCGGTTAAATGCAAATAATTGCTAATGGTGCAATATATTTGAATAAACTTTCCTTCACATACACACAACGAATTTATTTCTAATTCGCAGCAAGATAGAACAATATTGAAACATTTTAAATGTCACTCGTGTTTGCTTAGAATGCCAGCATGAAATATAGTTTATTGCATTGGTTACTACACTCGGTAGTGTCTTTATGGATTAGTTACGACTTATTAACTTGAATGCAGCGCAACTTATTACGCAAAAGCACAGAGGCTGAGATTTTACGAAAATTGCATTTGATGTGAATATATCGTAATCGCAAGCATGCAATTACCATGAGATCTAGCATGAACTAAGTGGAATGCAGGTATTAACAATTTCAAGGGCCATAATTCATTTATGCTATATAATAATAATTTTAATTTAAAATTAATTACGAAAGTAATACGTCTGCACTGCTGTGTTGAATAAAAGCGTGAATAAAGAATAGTATTCAACACAGTTATTATTATCTGTACAGTTAAATTATTTTTGCCCAAAAGAAAAAAACATTTGCACTAAAAGTTTTTAAATCAAATTTAAAATCCTGGAATTATTGCTTATGATTAAGAACCAAATGCTAATTGCCTACTTTCAATCGCGGCCGTTGTTGCGTTGAAACGGGAAACTTCTTGCGCCAGTGCACACACACCGCTAATGCAAACAGCAATAAAACGTGGATTTATCGAAAACTCAATAAATACAAGAAGCGTACCGCTTGTAACAAAAACGTTAATGAGTTTCGACGCCGATGTGTTCTCAAATCCAAAGCAATTTATAACTAATCAAAAACCGATACTCATTTAATAATTTATTAATTTATGATATATGCGGATAATATGAGATATGCGGTTGGTAATTGCACGGTTTAAATTGAATTTAGTACAAGCGCGGATAGCCGAGTGGAATAAATGTGCAATTAACCAATTTACATGTTTGTGTAATTACCTTTTAGAGTGTGTACGCACTCAATAGGAGATTTACTCAATCACTTTAAAAGTCACTCCAGAAGTAGATATTGGCGATACATTCACTTGGGTCTTGGGCGATTTTCTAGTAAAGAAAACAAGTGATTTGGAATTATTGCCGGTGCATTCGTTTCGAAAGTTTTTGACACACGTAAAAATGTTTGTGTTTTTCTTTTACAATGTTTTTCCAAGTAGGTATTAGGAATAACATAAATTAACGATTTGCAATAAAGCGTAGATTGGAAAGTTGTAATTTCACTTCGTTTTCAATTATGTATTTCTATTAAACAATCGTAAAACAATACTTAATAAATAATATTGTGTGTCCACTTTTAAACGAAATTTTCTTTACTGATTAATATCTTGTACAACATGCAAAGATACAAAGATTTACATGATGAAAGTACCGTCGAAAAAGTGCATCGATAAAAAACAGTGTAAAACAGCGTAAAATTAGACGTTTAGACACGCAGTTTGGCGCATTGTGCAACAAGACGTTTGTATCGCGTTTACAAATGAGGAAATTTAAGACGTGATTGTAATTAGAGAAGTAAAAAAATTACTTTAAACATAGTTATTAAAGAAACAAGAAATATTTCCTTATGAAACGTTATCTTTATGTCCTTGCCCGTTATGAACATTTAAACAATTGTAGAAATGATTATTTTCAAGAGTCATGAAAATTTCAGCAAAAATTTCTGATAAAAGATAAAAATACTGCTGAAAAATGCCAACTTTCCAACAATTTCCACAAATATTCGTGACTCATAAAAATTACGTTTCTTGTAAAGTGGTTCACATTACGTGCGCTTAACGCGAAGAAAGAAAATAATAATTACACAAACGCGAACGGTGAGCCTGTAGCTCTTTTAGTATTTAACAAAACGTAATTAAAGCATAGCAACACGTACTTTGAAGCGTATTTAAAGTTAAGAATCGCGCAAGATCAAGCATTAAAAACCTTTCGCACTAGTTTGCTATGTGGGCACGCCGAGCACATTTCCAGCGTTGTTTTGCTGTTGTTACCGCTGATGAAATTACATCCAAATTAAAGCAGATTAAAGAGAAAGAGTCGAGGCGTCGAGTGTCGAAAGGTATATATAGTGCAGAGTGCAGTAATGGACGCGCCACGCCATCGGCGTCATTAAGTTAATAAATTTCCAGGAAACGCGTGAAAATTACACAAATTGCATGCAGGTGTACCGGTGAGCGTGCGGCGGGAAATCGTGCTGTGGAAAATCTCAACTCTTAGCCGCGAGTATCTAATCATTTATAAACTATATAAATTTTACACACCAGCTTCGCAAAAATGTCAAAATAAACTAAGCGAAGAGAAGTTAATGAAACGTTTTGTTCGTTCGCTGAGCTGCTTAGCAGAATTGTCCAACCGAAACTCATTCGTTCACTCGATTAACGTTGTGCCGGTTTAAATTGATTCGTGGTTAATTTATTAATCAACTGTAAAATCGCGTCCGACCCCGGCTGGAAACCAGAAGTTTAGCGCAGAAAATTAGAGATAAACCGAAGCTTAGCGCACGATTCCGGGTGGAAATTCCGCACGTTTTCCAACTTGCAAACGTCCGCAATGCTCATTAGTTCGGAATCGCATTGATTGATCAGTTTAATCAAGCGTGCGCCGCTGTAAACTCATAAATTCATTATTCACAGCAATTAATCACACGCTTTTTTAATTGTTACTTCATGTACAATTATTTTACGTGCCATTAAAGTAATTCTGTTTCAATTTCAAGAAAACGTGTAAATGTTAAGAGACAAATAATTTTATGACTGAAATTTTTGTAATCATCTGCAAACGGTAGATAGCAATTACCTGATGAACATGAAACCGCACTTACAAGTAGCTTAGGAATCGTTTGATATTTTACTTAAGTCATATCTTAAGTCTTCAACGCGGATGAAAACAGTAATCACACGTCTTCGATGTTTCTCTAGATTCCTCAATTTGCGGCAATTTGTGCGCGACGTTACTTCGAGGAAAAGCGACAGCCGCATGGAGTGAATTTACGAGTTATACGCTGAGTGTATTCAGGCATACGAAGTGGAACTCGCGCGCGCGATGAGAAATAACTTAAATAAGTGAAGCGAGCCGAAGCAATGAAGCAGGTCGCATATCTAGCAGAGTTAAAAGTCTTCGGAGAGAAGCAACAAAAATACCAATCACCTGTCTATTTAAGAATCAGTCGCGGAGACGGCCAGGAAGAGCAAAAGAGTTGGCGTCATTCAATTTGCCACAGAGAGCGAGGCGGATTCGGAGCGCGCAGTTGGAGCGTAAAATCGTTATGCTAGAAAATGTTCGGAATCATCTGCGAAGCCCTTTTTTTATCAGCCACCATTGTGATTCGGCGTACGCTTAAGGTTTACAATGAATGTGAATTTCTAGTTCTCCTGTTAAGGCGATTTAGTTCAAGTTCTTTGCGGGAGGAAAATCAATTTTTCATGTTTTACATCTATTACATAGGAATGCTTCAGAATTATAGAATATTTTTCTTCTACAATAACATCACTAATGTAACAATAAATAAACAGGAAGCTATCACATCACTCGTACCGTTCATCATTTTTTTAATAAAATTTATAACTCAACCGGAAATATAATATAACATTTTTCATAAATTTTTTCACCTTGTATAATCCTAAATCCAAAATGGTTGTCCGTTGGCAAAGCATTTCCAGCAGGAAATGTCTTTCCTCGAAACCATCGCACACAAAAGCCTGACGTTTCTGTCGCTGCTTTTATTCCTTTTCATTTCGTATTTTTATCGCCCGCGCCATTGCCCTGTGTCCTGCTGAACGCGCCCGCTTTATTATATCGGTACCGGCCGCAGAAGCAGCCGGATTCGCAGGATACCACCGCGACACTTGACCGAATGACGCGCACATCGCTTTGTTCACCGGCAGCGGAAAAAAATATGGTGATAAAAGCCCCAATGCTGCGCAAAAAGGGTTTTGCCATAAAACTTATAAAAGCCCGAACGCGGAAAACACTCGCAAGACGAGATAATAATAACAATAAACCCGGAATTGTTGTTACTCTAATACAGCACAGACAAAGACGTTTCATCCAAAATAAAATAAAGTCCAAGTATTAAACACTTGTGCACGATTTTTTCCACAATAAAATGTTCACATGGATATATTACCCGGCACCAGTGACAAAAGCCGTCAAAGGCGGCGTAACACACAAAGTGCAGGAAATTGCATTTCGCTTTTGTGCGCGCAGTGCAAATGTAAAACTAATTTCAACATGCAGCGTACCTACAGTTTAAAAAAGTGTCACAGGTGGTTTGCACATTCGCACATTTCCACCACTTGAATAATTAATTTGAGTAACACCCTACAATTACGTGTACATGCAATTAATTACTTTGTGCGGATGCAGCGTTACGCTTTTAGGAATATTACAATTCTCGCTGGTGAAGGAAAAGCTAATGGAGGTAATAAAGTGTCATCAATAATTCGGTGAGTCTGAATGCAGGAAATTAGGATGTGGAACCGCCGGGCAATAAACGGATATTCCAAATTCTCGAAAACACGTCCAATAAATACATCACTTAGCTTATATTATTCTAAGTTATCGCCCATATCGACGGAACATGAACTGCATCCGAGGGCGACTATGGCAGAGTAATCGAATTATTACATCCAACAAGCAGTTACACTGCTTTAATAGAATCAGTAGCTTAGCGGCGACTTTCATGTTTCCATAAATGTCATTAGGGTGAGAGATTGCTTGAGTTTTTTCCATGGTGATAACTCAATTATTTTGTAATAAATGTGTGAATTTCTCGCTGGAATGTTATTTCACTTTTAATTGAATATTTGCCTTGCAGATCGAATTCTACGATCGGAATTCGATGCGCTATCGAGTTGTGTTGGAGATATACAAGCGGTAGCGATATTTGCATACATCTCCTCCGCCTTAATCACATGCAATCGCGAGATATACGAGATATACGCGTACGCCAGATCGCTAATTAAGTAATTTACGACAACGTCCGAGTTTGTTGAACTTACTGATCGCCGGCGACGCCGGCGTGAAACAACAAGCAAAACAAGAGAAATTCCCCGTTGAGACAAATTTCTCAAACGGTGTTTCATACCATATACAATTTCAAATAGCCTACTACTCGATTACTTACCAAAGAAACAACAAAAGATTAATTTAACACAAAATTCTCGAAAATATAAAAAATTAAAATTAATAGTATACTATAATTTTACTGGTTGTAAGAATGCGTTTCTTTTTCTTTTTTTATATTTATCTATGTAATAACACGTAATATTATAATGTAAAGTACGAACAAGAGCGTGGGACTCTTCATGTTCACGGTCTTCGCGCAGCACGAGGAAGTGCCTACACACAGTCACATTATTCAAGCGTAGAAAAGTAAACAATGTGAGATTGTAAGGTGAACCCGGCGAGGAAAACGCATGAACCCGTCTCACGGGTTAATCAAACCCTATTAAAATGTTAAAACCACATCAGCGAGCAGAACGCACAGAGTAACGTTAATGAATGGCTCGGACAAACATTTTTTGCTCTTTGAATCGGACGCGTCTAGACAGAGGATTGTGGAGTGACCCACGCGATTTTTTGTAATTTAAATTAATCAAAAAGATTTTTACTGAAAATTTAAATTTGTAACTTTGTTATGTTATAACTTTTCATTCTGTTCAAGAAAAATCAGTAATACAATCAGTAATATCAACTTGTACTCTATGAGTAAACTCATCCCCTGATCATTTGTCTCGAAAAAAACACGTCCAAAGGCTCGGGGAGCGTGCCTGACGTGAATTTGCGGAATGAGGGGTTGCTGAGGTCAAAAACTCCCCCAACAACTTTCGGCCCGTGGGGTGAAAATCCCGTCTCGTGTATCTACATTGAAACATTCATACACAGTGTGTGCACAACTGCACAATATTCGATATTGCGTTACACCACCCTCAGAAAAAACCACCGCCAGGACACGCTTCATTGGGATAGTCGGGCCCTATCCCAAACTTTTCACATTTATCGAGATATATGCATTATAGTTTTCTGCATTTCGAAAAACCATTAGTATCATCCATAACTATGAAATATTACTCCTTTGAGTAATACAAAAAACTACTACTGGAATAATTGAAATCCCGAAGCAATCCCTAAAACCCTTACAAAAGGGTTGACAACGCGTGACAAGCGCTATTCTTGCTGAGACGAGATAAAAACAATAGAAACACGGGGGTTGCGCGTTAAAACAAAAGAGCATTGTTCGAATATTGAGGATATATCACGTGTGATCACACAAGTGTAATCCTCACATACTCGCCAACTCATGGGGTGGAATAACAATGTGTCAGGATGAAAATAAAAAGAAAAAAACAGCTGAATGGATGAATTTGTCATGTAAAACCTTAAAAACGAAATTAATTAAAAGCGCCGAAGCCATATGGTTAACAGCAGATCAAGTACCGTCTGTTGGCAAACAATCAACCCTTAAGGAGATCTGTTTACACCGCGTACACTTTCTGAACTTCTAGAGGGAAGTAAAACGTGGTTGGCGATGACTCACCGACAAGTGCTGTTCAGCTGGTCTATACTCTGCCCAAATAAAGGTGATTTAATTAACGCACCGGTGCAAAACCTCTCACTAGGGGTGATTTTGAAAACTTCCAAACACAAAAATAAAACAAATCAAGCACAATGGTTATGTAAAATGTTAGAAATCCAATTGGAAACACACTTTGGCTTGTTTTCCTCGTGATTTATCACTCCGGCAAGTCCTCGCGTGTAAATCAAACAGGATCAACAACTTTTCCGCAAGATTACGTCCCGTCGCACGAAAGATTAACAGGTATCGCGTGTAGCGCAAACTTCTCGGCTGCGCGTTCGGTTGGCGTTCACTTCTTGCGCCCAGTTGCCCGGAGTGCGCTCTCGAGCGGGGAAGGTGCAATGACTCAAGACAGGTATTTAAAAACGCAGCACACAAGCAACAACGCGCGAGACACAACAGCGCACGGTGTGGACGCGGCCGAGGCTGGAGCCGAAGTGAGCTCGGCTCCTTGCGCGCTGCGCACGGACGCGATAGTAGACTCGCTACAGGATAAAACACACGCGGTCGGCGCGACGGTTTTTCGCACGTTATAGGCATGCGATGAATTAAACCACGCGATAATTGTATGCGATTGAAAGATATACACTCACCTCGTGGGTTATGCGTTGTTGCGAGATGAATTTCCACGTTGTTCAGGCGGATTTTCACTGATAAACACACTGCCGCACACGACGCATGGATGCACTCACGCCGCCATCTTACTGTTTACGTGCGGCGTCCTTTGCGCTCATGTGTGTCGGGAGGACTTGTGTGCTTTGTCGGCGAGTCGCGACGCTCGCGTGCTGCGCGACGGGTACGAGGGGAGCGGACACCTGCTCGCGTACTCCTGCGTACTCTTGCGTTTACGGTTTAACTCGCTTGCGATTGTCTACAATTTCACATTCAGAAGATCCGTGGTTCCGGATGGCGCCACCGCGAGTTGTGGCAGCATTGTCAAAGAAGTGATTCATAGAATATTTCTGAACTAAATTCACAGAATTCTATTTTAACTTCACGGTTTTTATTGTTGTAGATACGTTTTTAATATTTTTCACTATAAATTTTTACTGTTCATTCAGGTTTTACGTAAAAGAAAGAAAAAAACATGCGTAATTGTATTATATGTAATGTAGGTTGCCTATAGTGTTAAAATCAAGTATATTTCTATGAAAAATACTTGAAAAAGTTGTAAAATTCATGCTCTTAAGCAAATAAATCACTTAACAGACAGAGTTCAAGCATAAAAATAAACTCAAATAGCGTATTTCTATGGAAAATTTGTTTTTCAGTGCAAGTTGATATAAAAACACAGGATATAAGAGCAAAATAAGTTGCCTATCTTAAAGGAGTATAAGCACCCAATAAAAATTGATAGGTCGATTATCTTTGATTATATTAGTTTACGGTCTCTTACGCCTTCGAAACAAAACGTCACATTACAATATCATCACAACATCATCGGATTTCATGTAATATCTGTAGTCGTTTGTACCATGTTACTGTTTTCGTTAGTCGTTAGTCTGCGTGTGTGTATTTACAATACTGGTCTTTCATGTGTAAAGTGTGTTTATGGTTGCATAGTTAATTGTATTCAATAGATTTAATAGAAATCAAGCAGTAATACTGAACCTGTGCACATAACAATTAACATTACAAAAAAGAACAAAAAATAAAATTTGAGCAAATTAAAATAAGTAGACTCAACTAGACAATAAAAGTTTTAAACACCTAACCTAACACAACCAGAAGTTCTCTGACTAAAGTAGCTCACAACTTTATCCACACAGTTCCATCATAATTAACGTGTGTGCTTGATTACAATTATAATTATACATAGGCTTATTCAATCGTATGAAAACTGCAACTAACTGTAAATGTAACTTATAATTAAATAGATTTCTTGCTTTACCTAAGCTTCTTTTGGGAGTTTAATGTGTAAATGTATTTTGGTAGACCACAATTATTAGTTCTTCTCATCTAAATAGTTAAATCTTAGTTAAACTGCTAACATTATTTATCGTTTTATCGATACACTGCTACGTTGTGTCGCTCTGCTTAAAATGTTCAAAAATAATTCCTACTCTGTCCTCTCTTTCTCGCGTACGCATTCGCATTCACTATAGTGAAGTGTTTAAATATATATTTATAATATACGGTAATTTTTCATCAATTCTTAAATATTTAAATATATAAATTCGAATCTTCGACGAAAATCGTGCATTTTATAAATGTGCAATTTTCGCCGAACATCCTGTATATAGAACAGTCTAATAGTTATTCAATGCATTTCATTTTTCTCAATAATTTAAAACTCTAATTCATAAAATTCAATGCAGACGTGGAGCGTCCGAAGGTAACAAAACATTTTGATAGAATTTAAAATTTTCAACTTTTCAATTCAATTCGATTATTTGCTTCATTTTTTTGTGGTTTTCTACGACGACCTTGCTAGAGCTTCGTTAAATTTCATTTACTTATCGATAGTTATTATTTTAACATAGTTTGATCCATTAGTTCACCTTAAATCGTAAATACTTCGTGTGTTTCTCAAGCATTTCACAAACGGGAATTATGCGCGCCGCGGCGAAAAGTTAAGTCTGAGCTGGATTCAATTTGGCGTGGCGAATAAAATGCGCATCGAAAAACGAGCATAAATTGTTCCGAAACATGTTGGCACGGCGTACAGAATGGAAAAGTCTGGGCGCGACGCAAATAATTCCCTAGTTTTTATTACAAGTTCAGGTAGCCATTTTGTTTTGTTTGTTTCTGTGATTTTATGTATGTTCTGTGTGTTGTGTCTTGCTGTGTGTGGTGTACGTATTGGTAACGATTGAAATTGTCAATACTTAATTTAAATACAACTGTTTACGGTTACTTACTTCACGAACATTGTACGGTTAAATTTGCTATCTACGCGAAACGCGACGAAACGATGCGCGAATGTTGATGAGAAAAGGCTATCGAGCATGTTGTGTGCTTGTAAAACGTTAGACAACTTTTGTTTTATGTGTTTGACACGTGCTGCTCTGGTATTGTCCATCGGTGTATTGAAAGTTGCCTAACGTCAACGCGCACTCCGGAATGAAAAGATGTAACATGATAAAAAGAAGTTTAAACAATGTATATGAACAATTTCCCCTTTCTGTGTGTGTGTGTCTCACTCATGAACATTTTGATTAATGTTGCCTAATATGCAGATCTAATGTGATTACCACTTGTTACACTTGTTTAACTGCTCATCTACGGTTGCCTACCACTGTGTCAGCCTCTAAGAATGCGTATTCGACACGAAAATTCAATGCGTAAATGAATCATATGTACAGCGGGCGAGCGAGGGACGCGCTAATGTGTAACATATTTACATTGTCGTTAAACGTTAAATTTTTGTTCCGTTTTGTGTGTTCCGCCTGCCGTCCGCCATCTTTCTTTGGACATTTTTGGTAACTGTTCCGCTCGCGCTACAGTTGTTAACACAGTTCGCTATTATGTTTGTTCTTCGGCAATCGCTTAAACCTTTAACCAAGTGGCAGTGTGTGAATAATCGCTCGGATGAAAAGTGTAATCAGTTGAAACACGGAAACAAACTATGACGGGGCAAAAAGAGCGGCGTCTACTCGGAAATGTAGGCGTTATTGCGCGTGTACAAGTACAGCGCAAGCGCGCTGAGTAGCAGAATGCCATTGGAGTATATCGAGCATCCGGCGCACGGATCTTTCACAGCTTCCAGCAGGCCCATCGTCACCTCCTTCAAATCTCTCATATGTGAACAGCGGTTTGAGATGTATGTCGAAAGGCAAATCTTTACTTTATCCATATCCCTATAAAATCGTAAGTTAAATATTAAATGACATCATTTGCACAATGATAGCCATTCATGTAAAGTTTACTTACTCGCATAACTCCGTTTTAGAAACGATGGGATTATTTGAAGTTCTACGTGTTTTGGTGTTGGCCATGCAAGCACTCAGTTCGTGGCCATATTGGCTGGAAATCATGCACGGAAGACCACTGAGGAAGCCTGCAACCCAACATACATTAATGACATCAAATATCAGTATATCACAAAAAAATAGATTATCAGCAGGATAACCCTAATGAGATTTAAAATAGTGCAGCACTCACGATTGTAGTTGTATCCGTTGTTCTTGCATAAGTAATCCAGTCCGTTGTCAACGCTCGCGATCGCAAACGCGGGCAGGTAACTCTCTTGCGGCGGCAGGCAAACGCGTAATTTGTTCGCCGTGCGACTAACGCACTTCTTGCCATCGCTGACCAGCAATTCGCAAGCATTTTGTTGCCGCAGTAAAGTTTGGATACAAAGTTTTGTTTCGTTCACAGATTGCTAAACAAAAATCAACATGTCAAAAGTGAGCAATACCAACCATTATAAACAAAATGGCCGTCACACAACACAACATAACACAACACAACTAGTAAACTTACAGATAAGTCGTTGAAAGCACTAGGTCCGGCATACTTGTTGCACTTGTCGCGGAAGTTGTCCACCGACGTGAAGTCCACGGACTGACTGCGCTTCACCTTATTTCCGATAATCTGCTGCGAGTCGAGAACGTTGAAGTTGGCAGCACTGATCGCCGTTTCGGACGTGCGCGACTTGCCTACGGAACGCACACAACGATAAGACGTAAGCAACAATGGAAGTTTTGATTAACAATAATCAACTCACAAAGCTATAGAAGTAACGCACACAACACAAAAAAACATTGATAAACATGAATCATACATCATAGTATTGCATGTGCGCAATGACAGTTATAAATAAGAAACCAAAATGGCCGCCGAGAAAAAGTAATACATGCGTGCGTGCATTGATTAAATATTGCTCGTCATAACCGCATGCAACCACAACAACGTGTTATTAATATTTTTCTGTTCATTTGCATCGCATTCGGTAAGACGGTGAATAAATACAAGGGTACAAAGGTCAACATATTGTCGCTGATGAAATGATGAAATTACGCGATCGTCAATTGTCAATACACACATCGTAAGCACAACTAATTGATTAAATTCGATTATGCTGATTAGAGATCCACACAAAGGGAAGAAAAGATTAGATAAACAGGATTACATTGTGCACGTGTGCTGGTAGTGGTGCATGCCAAAGTTCAACACACAGTGTGTCCACACAGAAAACGCGAATAAGTATCATTAAACACGTCACTATAGCCATGCACGTAGAACGAAGTTCAAAAGGCAGAATATATATGGTTGCATTTTGTTCATGTTTATTGCATTCATTGGTTTCTGTCTCGTTTTTGGTTCGATATTAATATAGATATAAAAATTAAAAACAAAGTATCATAAGAAAATATTTACGTAACACTGTTTTCTAAAACAATATTAAAATGAAGACAACACAAACAAAATCATTTCAACTAGATATATATAGAGATATGGAAAAATGGGAACCAGTTGTATCACAAATTACATTGTCTTGATTTCTTCTTTCACTCGCCTTCACAATCGTATGCAATGCCCGCGTACAAAATTCTCGCTACGCACAGTGGATGCAAAATGGCGGATATAAATTAATTTGAAGTGTATGTGGAGTGTGTGTGTGTTTAGAGATAATGTATCTATTGTCATGCCTTGTATACCTTTCCCTACTTAGGTGTGAATGTGTTATGCTAAATGTAAATAAACTCCTACATCAAACGCAGGCTCACGACGAGAGTGAAAACTAATGCGTAGAAGCTTGCATAGATTGTCGGAGAGGAATTGCTTGATTCCAACTTACGCTGCGGCATCGGCTCCCCGCGCTTCCAGTCCTTGCACGGGCTGACCTTCTTGATGAACTTGAACAACGCCTCGACTATGTTCGCCGGCGTGTTGTTCTCGCACTTCTCGAGCACCACCACGGCGCATTCCTGCAGCTCGGCCATGTCGCTATAGATGAAACATAACCTCAAAGTTATGATTAAACACGGCAACACTGTATACGAGACTTACGCGCATTGGGTTTCGCCCTTGAAGGTTAACAACGGAAGGTTGGTAATGGACAAGTCCTTGGGGATACGTTGCGCGATTGTGTTATTGGCGCAGTCCTGCAGCGCCTCTTTATGAGACTGCAGACACTCGAAACCTCCCTCGGCGACAAACACTAAAATAATCGATTAAAGAGCCATTAATTAGCCGTAAGCACACCGCGGAGTAATACAGGAAATTAGAATTAAAGTGAATATAATCCACTTACTCGCCAATCGATCGCCGTCCTTGAAGCAGACGAAGTCGATGAGGTTTTGCGTTATGTTGAGGACGAGTTTCATGTTGTCTTTTTCAACTGGTTCGAGGCATTTTTCCACCTTATTGGTGACATCGGTCACGCAGCTGAGAATCTCCTCACGTTTCTTGCAGTATTTGCCGAAGATATCATCCATGGAGCCGTCTTTCTTCGCCTCCTCCAATTCCTCCATGATTTGCGTTTGGTTCAGGTGACTGGTGAGACATTCCTGAACTTTATCTTTGGAAGCCTGGACATTAAACATGTTTTATGTTAGTAAAAACTATTAAAACCTGTTTATTTTAAGTGTTAACTTACGAGAATATCTTCATAAGTGCCTGCTCCGCCATTTTTCTCGCATTTTTCCTTGAGGACTTTCTCGACTTCCTCCTTGTTCGGCAAGCTGGCTTCGTCAATATTCAATCCGGGAATTTGTTGCTTCACAGAATCCAGGTTGAGGTTATTGTCGCTTTGGGCGAGTGCACAACCTATAATTCGATAATAAATATGGTTGATTATCGTTGATAATTATGATTCATTACTGTTTGTTGAAAGAGGATGTGAATCAACATGCAAGTAAACACTTTACAATAATACAACAACCTCAGCTTTGCTGTAACTTTGCTTTACGTGGTAGTTATGCAGGTATTTACTAAATATGATGATACACACTTAAGATAACGATTAGAGTAGCAGTTATTCGCAAATATTATGAAATATTGATTCAGAGTTATTATCGAAAGGTAAATAATGTTGATTTGTGTGCAACCGGTTTGATAGCATGTTGAAGCACGTCACATGTGTTAATTATTCAACATTCAAAGTTGTTCAAAATGATTGCACTCCGAATGCATTTCCACATCGCAATCACATCTGAAACATTAAATGCTCTCTCCTAATTTGCGTGGCAAACAGTTATTAATCTCATTACTCGTACATTGTTCATAAATTTACGGCAGTGACGTTAAAAGCTTCTTTAAATTCAATTATTCATGCGGTTTAACGTCTGCCGCGTGAATTGTCTGATAAATGTAGAGCAGTGTAACAACGTGAATAACAATTTCTGGGTAATTTTGATATCAGATAACTTGTTTACACAAATTAGACGTGCAAATCACATTTGCACACGCAAAACCTAGTTCGACCTTCAAACGTTCGAGATGTACATGGAAAAATAAACAAATGAAACACGAGCGTGGTTGTTCGATGTGACCAAATGTGGCATACGGGATTATTTGAGCAAACGAAGTTGAGTCAAGCGAGCACACACAATGCGAGGATGATTAAATGACGACGACACCGATCAGCGACAAAGCAGAGGAAGATAAATCAGCGCGGCGCAATGAATCCGCGCGCTCGCCGTCCGAACCCTTGCACACGCACGATAACGAGTTACGACAATTATTTCTGCCCGCGGTTGGCAATGGCAACAATTTGCCACGAAGGAAATTAGCGTTTCACACGTTCGCAAATGCCAGCGGTGGCACAGATTCGGGCACCGAATCTGGCGCGGTGTGTACAAACAAGGCCTTGGACTGGGCGCTCGCGAGAAAATCGATGAAATGCATCGCGAATCGCAAATCGCATTTGAATCCATCTTTGCGCGCAGCACGCCAAAGGGAAAACAAACGACGGTTTGCAATGACTCAACCTGTGCGAAAACCCCACACACACACCGCACTTGTTTGTTCTCCGCGCGAGCATACAAACAATCGACAATCGGCACCCCTTTTTTGCACTTCCTGTTTGCGAACGGTAAACGGTATTCGTGCGATATTCTAGAGCGTATTACCTGTGAGCAGGACAACGCAGAGGGCGATCCGTATTGCGTTCATCTTGTTAGCACTTGGGATGTTTCGTTGTCGCTAGGAGAAAGTAGGCGAGCCGTCACACGCGAACTACGACAATGATCGTGCACAACTGTTCGGTTTCGCCGTTAGCGCGTTTTTCTAGCTCGTCCGCAACGTCTCGCTATCGCTAATCCGCGCTCGCAATGGTCGGTGGAATAGAGCTGCGCGCGTGTTGAACGGTGCACGCAACGCCCGGACAGATTCCAACTTCCAATGTTCAACTTGGCGATCGCGGGCGAGACCCAAAAACACCAACAACGCGCACGGAACGGACCAACCTGCACCTTGCGCACCGCGAAACTTCTACTACTACGCGCTCGCTACAGCGACACTGCAGGGGGGGCACTGGGGCAAAACAGCAGTCCGCTACTTCCACCACTTCAGGAAGAGGTCGGCCAAGAACAATTCGCAAACCGCTGTTCGTCCTTCAATCGTACCCGCCTTAATACAAGCCTAACTCAGGCCAACATTATATTTCATCAATATTTTGCACAATCATACGATTTACTTCATAAAACACAAGAAAATGATTGAACAATAATATTGAACGTCTGAGAGTGGCGTAATGGAAGTGTGAATGCAGCGCCATCTAATATATTTGTTTAAAAACTTTTGTATAAATTGTAAATCAAGTTTTATAAGACATAAATTCTAAAAATAGAATAATCAGATTAAGGTTTAATGGATTCCGAAGCAATATTAGTCATTCCACATACTACGCAGAAGCTAAAATTATCAGGGTTTAAAAAAGTTGCGAATACGATTGTCCATAATCAAGTTGGGCAACCTTTGAACTTTCAGACGTTTGAATGACTAATAAATACATCGGCATATTGATTTTCCTATTAAAACATTAATTTTCTAGAATTGTGCTTACATTTCAGCGGTTTTGTTATTTCAGTGCGTAAACTAATTGTGAATTGTGAAATAAAACACAATAATTATTCAGTATCAAAAAATCACAACTTTAAATTTTTATTCATTTTGAGTTTTCCGCTATTCTCATATTCACAACGTCACATATGGATCACCCAATCCAAATATAGATGGAAAGATTCTTAAGTAACTTAATTTTGTACACATTATGTTACAGCTAATATTGTTTCACATTTCCTACGCGTCCCTTTCATCACGCACCGGTGTTACCCCTTCGCTCAGTGTTCACAATTGTTATGTAAAATTACAAAATCTTATGCTTATATACTCTCTACTTATCGTCTATATATAAAACTAAACAATACAAAACATTTTTTCACCATTCACACTCTGCACATTTGCTCTTTTTTTTTTAGTAAGTAGTTCAGCAATGTACGCACAAATTAGATACATTTATAATATTTTACAAGTGACGCTCTTCTATTTTATAGTCACTAATTTTTATTTTCCTGTAGATACCTCGCATTCTGCTAGTTTAAAATGTTTGCATCTCTCATCTTCAAGACGACAGCAAACTTAATTAACTAATTATAATCAGTCCACGGTGAAAATAGAAAATACAATGCCTTAAAACTAATTAGGTGTTTTTCTTCTGTGACAAAATGTGTTTGGCATCGGCACAGCACCGAATTTGGTGTGTCAACCCGTTGCCACTTCAGTGGTCGTCATCAAGTGTCAACGGGTTAAAACTTAATATCATACTTTTCTGACTTCCGCAAATCTGGTCCCGAATGTGGATTGTTTCAGTGTTCCATGCATCGTCAAAACGCAAACAAATGTAAAATGTAAAATATAATCAAAAATAGTAACTGAATAGTTAAATTAAAGTAGTGTTTTTCACATTGCTTCGACACCGAGAGAAAAGGTTCGAGCCGCCATTGCGCCGATAAGATGGCAGTGTCATCGCCGCAATAGCGGCCGCTCGGCAAACTAACCTTACGCGCTAGAAATATATGTACAGAAACCAAAATTGTTATATCACCATCGTTTACACAGCATTTCAGCAAATAAGCGGCGCCTGCACAAAGCGATCGCGGGCGGCGCTTATTTATATTCGTTTTTTTTTTTAAAGAAAAAAATGCGACGCCACCGGCGCGCCCTTTCACGCTCTGCCATGTTTAAAACAACATGGCTGCAGCAGTGGCGGCGCACCGCTGGCATGACAATCGAATAATTTAACTTACAAATTAACAAATCCTACTAGTTTGCTTGCTTAGCGCATTTTCTTATAGAATTAAGAAGTCTTTACGGCGTGGAGGGCAAACGTTAGTTCTGTATGATGTAGATGTTTTTCCGGCGCCGCACCGACGGATCATACTCGAGTAACTCTTTCTGCGCAAGCGCCATTTCCATGTGGAGGATCTCCGAGTCTTCATCATCTACGATTTCATCATCGTATAATGAATCGGCAACCTAAACAAACAAAAAAAAATTAAACATTCGAATTTAATTTTTTTTAAATAAAGAAAACTAACCTCCACATCAAACTCATCAGTCTCCTCCTCTTCCTCCTCATCCTCTTCATCGTCCACCTCTTGTTTAAGCTCCGTCTTAATATTCGCAATATTAATGTACTGCGGCTGCGCGTGAATAATCTTCGTGGTCGGAGTCGTATCCATCTCAGACTCATACTCCGACCCGTCACTCTCGGCACTCCCACACGAATCCCCAAAGTTATCTTCATAGCTCTCGTAACTGCAGGAGAATTTCAATTCGCCTCGCTCCAGCGCCTCCAGATTGCTCGGGTTTGACATAGCGCGCCGTATCGCTGACGGGTCCTTCTTACTCCACTTCTGCACCTCTTCGTCCATTTTGGTGATCTTCGACTCGTTCATCGCCCACAGGCAGCCCTTTCTCTGCGCACCGTTCACCGCGGGTTTCTCAATCTTTTCGAAACATTTATTCAGGCTTAAATTGTGCCGCACCGAATTCTTCCAGCCATTTGGCGCTGTTTTGAAGAAAGGAAAATGGCGACACATGAAGTTGTAAATCTCAGACACAGGCAGACTGCCTGTTTTGGAATTCTTCAACGCCATTGCAATCAGACAGCTATAACTATACGCCGGCTTCGGGAAGGGTTTGACATCTTCAGCGAAAATGCGATTGTTGTTAAACTGTTGTTTCCGCGTGTGGTTTACGGGCGCTGTGCTGATTGTGCGCACCTGGCCTAAATTCGCCAACTGCGCAACTGTCACCGGACTCGCTATCTGCCTACCACCGACTGTATTTCGAAACGAAAGTAAAGGTGTTTTTGTGACTTTAACAATCCCCTTCGAGATGATCGGAGTAACTTTCTTGATGGTGTTGATAATCGGTCCTGTCGCGCTCTTTTTGATAAAATGTTGCGTACCTACGTTTCTATTTATGACTGCATTGACAACATTAATAGTTTGTGGTTTGTCGATTTTAATCGAAGGACGTTCGCCTAATTTAAATGTCGTGATGTTACCGTCGTCCAGCTTCTTAATCAGATCTTTTTTTACAGCCGCTACCTCGGTTTTCACGCTAATGCCGTTTGGTTTAATACTAGCCGGAGAAAACGTTAAATGACTTTCTTTCAGCGATGGCGACGGTGATCGCGTATTCGCTGAAATACTGCTGATGATTGGCATCACCGCATTGGGATCCACCATCGTGGTGTAGTCATCGCCGGAGAAGTCCAGCGTGAAGCTGGAGTTGGACATGTTGGAGTTGTGCGAGAACCAGCGGATGTCGCTGACGTCGTCCATCTCCAGCGGCGGCAGGTCGGTGAAATTGAACCCGGAGAGGTCATTGTTGCCGCCGATCAGCGTGTCGATCTCGGATTTGATGTCGATATCGAGCATCTCCTGCAGCGAGTGGATCCGAGTTGCCGAAGTACATATCCATGAAAGTGGACATCTCAAAAACCTGCAAAATCAAACAAATTTTTGCATAAACAAAACAATTTTAGAAAACATTCAGATTTGAATTTCATGCGTTTCCCTCCGGTTTGAAACCTATGGCCAGCGCTGTACTTTGCTAGCACGAAGAGACAGATGGCCTCAACACTACAGGCACCCCTTTTGCTTATCTCTCTCGTATTCATAGCATAAAATACATTAGAGTGAGAAAGAAGAGACAACGCAGCAGAAACCACACCACACACAAGCCTAGCAACCGAGAAAACAAAGACGACGATTACATAGCAACCAATGCGTTGGAGCAGTGCCGCAATAAAACATAGAAAGAGACGCGTGATTCCATTCCGACTAAAAAGGGGAGTGGCACGCTCCTCGCTTCATGCCGCGTTCTCATGTTTACATTTCTGATGCCTCATCTACCGCGCGCTCGACGTAACGACAGAGAGAGGGTGGTGTGAAAGAGGGAGCCCGCAGCCGAGCCTGTCCGTCCCTTTACGGCTTTGTCTAGCGCACGAAATGATCGAAAGCGAACAATTAAAATTACCCAGTATGCCCCAGGTATACCGAGGGGCCCGAGAAAAACCCGAAACAGACACTTACGGAAATTTTCTCACAATAAAAAGCAAGTCATAAACCCTAATCTTGTCAAGAATATCCCAAACCGGACAATAGCAGTCAAGTTTCGTGAAATATTTAGCCTATTTTAGGGTAATCCTGTCTGCGCTTAATTGACGCCACCAGTTTAACACGAATTGTTCGATTTGGTACCTGTAACGAGGCTATTGTCCGGCAAATCTTTACAATTCGTACATGTTAAAAAGTTATTGACTTTCATTGAAAGAATGCCACAAAATGGCGGTTTGTTGACGTTGCCATGGCGATGAATATCAACAGATTTCAACGCATGACAATGGCGCTCGCGGTGGCTGACATGCTCGATTTGAATTTTTGAACGGACGGAGGCGACGTGATGAGCGCGCGAGCTTTTTTCCCACCGTGGTGTTCGTGCGCGGGCATAAAATATGAGCGCGCGGCTCAACGTGCTCCGCTCGAAACTACTGCGCGCGCGATATCAAAACTTCTTTCCGCAACCTTGAAGTCTCGAGAAAACGACCGAAAACCAACGAACTGCGGCTCTTACTTCCCGCCAAGATTATTACATGTGTATACAACCGAAATATTTAACAAGTCGATGAAAAATCTCTCCGTACATGAATATTTATTTAGTTGATTTACAGAGACAAGTAATATGTTTATTTTAGACAATGCGCAATAATTTTAATGTTTTGTTTCGAATGAAATCAAAACGGCACTCGGTAATGTGAACCGTGGGTTTTGATCGCCGTCCACAATATACGAGTACGACTGAAACGCGACGTGTACGTGAATACATGAGACACACACACGTTGGGAATTTACGCGGTATTTCGTGTTGCCGGCTCACTGTTTACACAATTTCGCGTGTAACCTAAAATCGCGCGCGCCGGCCGTTATCGCGTATTCGTCGCGCGATGTTATTGCAAATGAAGGCTCGGATAACGCTAAACAACGCGATCCCGCGCTTCAATACTACACGCACACACATGCACAATCAAACACACTCGGCTCGCCGACGGAAGAGTCCAACTGGCACAACTTCGACTGGCGGCGAAAAACCCGCCGCTTTTCGCGCAATTCCTAAATGAAAATCGGCCGACAATCGCCGCCACACGCACGGTGGTACTTACGTTTAGCGTTCCGGTGCGATTCTTCCCAATGTCTCCTCAAGTTGGCATCGAATTTTCGAAAATTATTCCCGCAACACACGATGGCAGAGATGACAGGCAGCACACACAGCAGAACGGCGGACCCGACCGAATGTACACAAACGTTGAAGGTTGTGTTGCTCGGCGCGCGGCGCGCTCGTCGCAAGAGAGGGATTCAAATCCGCACGCGGCGATTGGTGCGCGCGCGTCACGTGGCTTTTCCCGCCAGGCACCGATTGGCCGCCGGTCGGTGCGCCGGCCGCTCGATCGCGCACGGTCACCGCGACGTGCACATGGAGATGTATGAAACTTTTCAAATAATCACTCGGCGCAAAAAAACCGCCGCATGCAGCAAACTCACATGAATCGCAATATTTCGCCCGTAAAATTCTGCATTGATTAGTACCGCTTTCCACCCCAATCCTCCACACGCCAGCGAGCATTAGATCGACATTTGTTGATTTGTTTTGCCGGGAAAACAAAATCCAACATGGCTTGCGCGCCGCTGGCTCGACAGCAAAGCGAGGCAACCAGCCGATCGCACTCAACTCAACAACGCTAAAATCGAATCAAAATTCATTAAAATCAGTGCATTTCCAGCATAAAATTTAAAATCAGACACGAATTTCACGTGTGATTCGCATTTGGTTGAGCTTCGACGAAGAAGTCGTTGTTAAGTATTAAAATATCGATTTTATGTTGGGCTGGTCGTGGCGATGTTTGTAAACCGGACGAGTCCATGCCGAGCGCCGTCGAGGGGAGCCGCTGCGAGTCGACCGCGCGACAGCGGTCGTTGCAAAGGCAACGAGCGAACACCACGCTCATCACGAACATTGAGAAAACCCTGAGCGAACGAGGGAGCAATGCACTTGCCGCGCTGCGTGCGACTTGCTCTCGCTCACGTGGTTACGTTGCTCACACACGGCGTAGCGGAGGCGCTGGCTGCGTTCCGCGTGTTCCATTCAAAGCTGTTTTTAATGTGAACCATGTGAACTAATGATGGCGGCGGCCATTTTGTTGTAATAGGAATTTTAATGTCACTTTTTCGTTTAATCTTTTATTGCGTATATTCATATTTGATGTCCATAAAAATCAAAGCTAAAAGAGAAATACCAGTACCTGTTTTGGAGAATTTCAAGTTAATCCAGAATCATCGTGATACTGCTGTCTGACACATTGATTATCCATTGTATTTTTGTTTCCAACTTGATGAGTCATTCCTAAAAAATTAAATATAATTAAACAATTATTTTGACACCGTTCCAAACATATATCCGGGTATATCTCATGACAAAATGTGAACAAAAGGCCCTAAACTGAATATTTAATGTTTTTTTTAACTAGAAAAAATGTAAACCAATTTATTAATTAGCTTAAAACTTAATTATAAATTTAAAAATGTTGAATACTCCCGAGGTTCACAAGTTCACACCCACTTTGACAAGAATGTAGAAAATAATGTGCACTTAAACGAAAATTGACTATAAACACGTATTAATTAAGAAAATCTAGAGTATTGGCATCAATACTTTGCGTTGCAAGTGTTCCACGCGTACCAAAAATCATCCGCCTTTACGAAAGTCGATAATGTCCGCAATCCGCCCCGAAACGCACGAAAATTGTTCAAAGTACTCACCAAGCTTTCATCCACCGCTTGCCGATGCTTTTCTTCGTGTTGGATGATGATCTTGATGATTTTCTCGACATTTTCTTGCGGTTTGCACGCGTAGTTCCATGACAAGTCGGTCGGTCGGTCGCGCAACCAGCTGTATGGCTTGGCTTGGTCGCGTTGACGCTTCAGCTTCGCTTCGTCGCTTCCACTTGGGGCATTCGGCGTCGCTCGTCATCTGTTCAGGCGGCGGTGCGCGCTTTCTTTCCGCCCGGTCAGCTGACAACCGCGTGCGCTGCGAAATTGAAACTTCAAGTGCGGTGTTACATATTAGGCAACCCAATATACAAGATTTAAAAGTTACTTATTTTTAATCAGAACCACCTGAACCAAAACATGAAAATTGAGTAAAAAACAAATGATTTGAGACATATTTTGTGTTTTAAATGATTAAATCCTTAAACATTAGCCAGGGCAGGAATAATTCTGCAGTAGATATCAATGCCGCGTAGGAAAACGTGTTTTCCAAGTACTCGTCGTTGTCGTGCAGCAACACCGGCGTGTTGTTCATCGGCGAAAACCGAGCGCAGGAATGTTGAGTTCTCGCAGGTAGCGACTGTCTGTACCTCCAGGAAAATCATCGGCTTGATTTTTAATCCTCTGCAAATATTATTTTCATTAAATTTGACTTTTTTGTTATTCAAACACTTACAAAGCGTCTGTGGCTTGCTTCATGGCAACCCAATAAGCATTTTTATCATTCAGCTCAGTGGGTTTGATAATTTCTTCAAATTGTTCCTTTACAATTGTTACATCTTTGCCGGCGGCTGCGCACCACGACTCGAAAGTTTTATACAAGTCCTTGGTGTTCATGGTGACTGGAATGCGGCAATCCATTGAGCACCAGAATTCTGGTGGGACAACATTGCTTTGCTTTCCTCCCTGTGGAAAGTAATAAACAAATAAATTTAAAGAAATAATAACAAATTTTGATGTTTTATACCTGAAGAATGCATAAATTCAAAGTGAGGACGTCACCAATCGTCATTTCTGGGTTGTTTTCCAAAATTTTCTTTTGTTCCTCGCGCATGTCAAACAATTTATCCAAAATCACGCGCATTTTCTCACCGGCAGTATTTTCGTGCAGCAAAGAACCATGACCAGCTTGCCCGTTGCAATGAAACTCCAAATCTTTTAATAAAATAATAAAAAATTAATGTAATGTACTTTTCATGGTCGCCATTTTGTTTTTTACTCACGCCAAATAGCTCTCTCGCCATAATACAAACTGAAGGTCTCATCAGGACTGGCAATTCCTTCATCCAAAGAAAACCCAATATTCAAGTTTTTAAAATCAGCAGTGGTAACAAACGTTTTCATGCCATCTTCGCCACCGATTTCCTCATCGGGCACGAAACAAAGATGCAAAGTGCGCTTGGGTTTCCACGCGTTTGTTTTCAGGATACGAATAGCCTCGAGGTATTGAATACCCACACATTTCATATCCTGTGCACCACGAGCGAAAATCTTGCCATCGGCGTCCATATCGGCAGCAAACGGTTTATGTGTCCATTCTTCTTCGAAAACGGGCACCACATCCATGTGGGAATTCAGCAACACCGAAGTGAGGGATGGATCGGTGCCCTGCCATGTTATAACAACAACTGGCTTGTTAGGTTTGGCTGGGTAATACGTCTTCAAGGGTAAACCAAGCGAAGTTGCTTGTTTTTGCAAAAATGTTACACAAGGCACTGGAAATTCAAATTAATATCTTGTTACTATAGGCAACCCAATATTCAACAAACAACAGATTTAAATGTAATGTTGGCGACGTTGAACTTTGAAACAGCAAATAATTTGATAATTATACAATTTAAGTACGCGGCTATTTATAAAGCAAAATTTGTCGTTTAAATGCGTAAACTGTGCAATCAGAGTGTTGGTATTATTAAATATTTACGTAGGTTTAATCACTTGACTCGAAAGTGGAATAATTTGTGTCTGGTGACGCAAAAATCGACCATTTCAAAATTATCTTGACATAATTAAAAAGTTCAACATGTTTCATTTGTTAAATTTGAAATTTTACCGTAATCAACATCAGGGTGAACACTTGGAATGCGTAGATATTCTCTGAAGTTGTCAACGGCAAGATCGCTGAGCGCCTCAGTGCGATTGGCTGTTGGCGAGGTCGTCATTGTCGCAATGGTCACAATTTAAAAAAAAATTAAAATTAAACCGATGCCTTGTTGTTCACGGCGAACGCAATAAACAAGCACTAATCATAGCGCACGATTGCGATCGTGCTTAAATAGTTCGCGCGCCGTGCGCGTTATCTGCGACTGACTAATCACCCACGATTTAAAGCCCGCCTGTCTTTTCTGGTGGGGTATAAACAATCTCAAACAATGTAGGTAAAATGTACGCAAAATTGTACATATTACGAATCATAGCTAAGCCCAAGCATGCGGTTTGCACGTATTGTTTGGTGAAAAACAAGAATTAACATGAAACAAACATCATTGGATAAGTAATCATTCGTGATGTTTTTCAGTGGTTTTGCGTTTTATCGTGTTTTACCGTGATATTCGTTTCAATAAGCCATGATTTGTGTGTTATGTTACATTATTTGGTGCGTGTGTTTTTGGTTTAGTTCTGTTTTGTTAATTTTCGTCGTTGGCAATATCACCAAGTGAGGAAATCAACTTCATGTAGATTTCGATGCCGCGCAGGAACATTGATTCAGCGAGGTATTCATCAGTATCGTGCAGCAGTACGGGATGGTTGATGATGGGCGAGAAGCCGAGTGCTGGTATGCCCATTTCGCGCAGGAAGCGGCTGTCAGTGCCACCGGGAAATATTCGCGTTTCAATTTGCAGTCCCCTAGCAGGAAACAATTCAAACAAACGAGAAAAATTAACCAATTGCCAACGCTTGGATGAATTCTAAATACAACATAGGCAACCATACTTACATGTCATCCACGCTTTCCTTGAAACGCATCCAGTATGGATTCTCATCAGATATATCAGTCGGTTTCGCATTTTCAAAACGAGATTGAACCATATAGATACCTTCGCCTGATTCTGCACACCAAGTATCAAGTGTTTTACTCCATTCGTCAATGTCTGACGTTACCGGTATTCGACAGTCCATTGTCATAGTTAGTTCAGATGGAAGCACATTCGCCTGCTGACCGCCATTTAAAATTGTTACGTTTACAGTCATTACATCACCGATGGTTAAATCTGGATCCGAGTCGAGTAGCCTAACTTGTTCGGCACGATGTTGCATTATCTTCGACATGAGATTGTGCAGTTTTTCAGCAGCAGTGTCTTTCAATAAGAGTGATCCATGACCCGGTTGACCCGGACAATGAAAGGTCACATCTGCAAATATAAACACACAATAAGTAAATAAATAATTATATGAATCACATGTTTACTCACGCCACATGCATCGTTCTCCGTAGTAAACCAAAAATCTATCGTCAACGCTAGGTAATCCTTCGTCGAGAGCCATGCCGATGTTTAATTCCTTAAAAGTTTTGCTTTTGACAAATTGTTTCATGCCAACAGCGCCACCTATCTCTTCATCAGGTACAAAACTACAGTGTATTGTGCGTTGTAACTGGACGTTATTCTCTTTGAGGCGACGGATGGCTTCCAAATATTGTATACCTATACATTTCATATCTTGTGCACCACGGGCGTAAATCTTCCCGTCGTGCACTTCAGCACCGAACGGGGGATGTTTCCATTCCTCCGGCATTACCGGAACAACGTCCATGTGCGAATTCAGCAATACGGAAGGCAAATTTGGGCTTTGGCCAAGCCATGATATGATTACAACTGGTTTACTTGCAACAGGTTCAATCACTTGTACAGGAAGTTTTATCTCATTGGCCAAACGTTGCTAAAACTCAACGCATGGTCCTAAAATAGAAATATAGAAATAAACACCCTGTATAAGTTAAATTTAAATTTATATCTAAATATTCCTATGATAATTTTAGGTTATTTTAAATTATTTAATAAAATTTGTTATAAATTAAGCAAATAATTACCATAATCGATGTCCGGGTGGACGCTGGGTATCTGTAAATATTCCCTGAAGTTATTTACGGCGATCGAATCTAAGTCTTCGGTGTTACTGGTCATTTTGTATATTTCAGTGGAGTACAAACATTTTGTATGGCAATCACCTGTTATACTGTGTGTTGATTGCACGCGACGTAATTATCAGCGCGATTAGAATGAGTTTTGGCTAAAGCTAATTCTGTCACGATGAGATGACACGAGTGACCCAAAAACAAGTTGTATGTATTTTTAGGTGTCGATTTTCGCACAGGTTGATACCGGCAGCGCCATCTATCATCGAAACAATAAGTTTCAAGAATACTTTCGAAACAGATTGGAAATCATTTCTCCCATAAATATTGTTGTCTCCTAACATTTCCAAAGATTGTTTAAAAATACATTGCATTGTTTTTTATGCTCCTGTGTTTGGTTTCTGCACTGCGCATGCGCCAACCACTGTTATCGATCCTAAGGGTGAATTTTCCTTGCTGTAGTATCAGTCGTAGTCCTACCACAAGGCAAAATGTACAAAATTGTGGTTTTCATCGGTTTTCTCTTGAATATTTTTGATTATTCCCACGGAGGAGTATTAATATGGGGTTCAGAAAGTATTCAATTACCATCACTGAAGCAATTCAACAATGAAGACTTTGATTTGCTGAAGAGTTACATGCGCCGCCCCAAAGTAGTCGTCTTCAAGGGTGATCCAATGCAAATCTCCAATGAACTTCAAAATCTTCTCCGAAATAAATACACTGCGTACGTCCCAAGCAGTAATTTAAACATCGACAACGTCATTGGTAACCATAATCAATTTATCTTATGTATATTGATGATTACATCCGCCATTTTTAATTTACAGAATTAAAAGGTGATGCCACATCAAATTTTAAACAAATCCAGGATACTCTGGATAACTGCAGTCGTGAATACGATAATATCTTGGCATTGATTCTTACCAATCATGAAGCAGCTCCAAGTGCGCCTCCTGCTGCCAATCGACCAAAACGCGAAGCTTCCGATGAGTTCACCACTGAATTACCGGAAACTTTTACGACCATGGAAAACTACGAGCCTGTCACTGGCCCAGTGCTCTATCAAGCCTCAACGACCACTTCCGAAGTCGCCATGATTTATTCTTCAAGGACACCGGTCTTGAAAATAAACGCCACTAGTTATAATCTTGGTAAAGCCGCCGTGGCAACCGTAGATGATCGTGGTGATAAATATCGACAACTTAGCGTTACTATTCCGACGGAATCCGGTGATAAAGTCACGCTCAGATTTAAATTCCTATGGAATTCTGGGTATTGGTATCTTAATACCATTAATCTGTTGCTCATGTCAACGAAAACTTACACTTTGACAGTCGATAAAGAAGAAATCTCCGCAGCAAAGTCATTTTCGTATCACTGCAGCGGTAATTCCGTATTTCGAGATGAAGAGAACGAGATTGAGTTGATGTTGTTCGACATTCAAGCTCAGCCTGATTCTCTCAAAGTTAGATTTAATGATGCTTACGATTGTGTTGATTTCACCACTGTTCCAATATGGTCCGGGTTGTTCATCGTGTCGTTGTTGTTGGTGGCGCTGGCGATTGGTCTAGGCGCGTTGAACAGCATCAAAACGATGGATAAATTCGATAACAGCAAGACAAAACAGTTGACGATCACCACCGGCGAGTAGTAAGCACGCACGTTTTAAAATCCAAACACATATGTCACACTCAACGTCTCAAAACAGCTTAACTTGTATATAAATACTATGAGAATAAATACTCGTTAACAATATGTACACTTGGAATTTGGTTTCACTGCGAGCAGTAAGATGGCAGCATGAGTTGTGGTATTCCGGTGATGAGTGGTTGATTTTTATCTTTTGGACACACAGATAACCTATAAACATAACCTATGAACATCTAAATAACTTGTTATTATTTGTATTTACCTTTCTTTTGGGTTTAAACTTTCCACTTTGATTTTTGCAAGGTGTACCCTCGGCGAAGCCAATAAACGCCATGTTAGTGGGTTAAACACATTACTGTGGTAATCCCACTCAACTTCTAATCCTTTCAAGTGTAGAGTTTTATCCATTGACACAATTTCCGTGTATAATTTGCCTGGTTCGTGATATCCGCCTTTGTTCAACGCAACTCGATTTGTTTTTAATCCGCGCATGTCTGTTGAATCATGCAACACGAACCAGAGTTGACCGATTTCACCACCGTGTTTTTACTTTCAGATGAATCAGATACTTGCACGGATAATTTGTAATGTTCTTCTATATAAACAAAAAAAAGCATGTTTTAAAGCATAGGCAACCCAAATTACGTGTTTATACTTACTGCAAAATGGCTGCGCATCTGCAGTACGAAGATACAATACATAAGTACGCCTTTTACTGATTATTTTCTTTGATAGTAGTTCATCGTAGCGTTTCTTGCTGTTGAAACCCATTGGCATGCAAAATTGGCCCTTGGTTTTACATTCGAAACATTTCCCAGCGACAAAATCCTAATTTAAAAAAAGTAGGCCAAATCACATGCATTACATTATTATTAAATAAATATTTTAAAGTTTTGATTATTGTACTCACTTCGTAACTAGCACAAGTAATTCCATAAAACGAACAGTTACTGTTGATACTCTCCGTGAAGTACTGATAACTCCGGATGTGATTACAACCCAAGAACTTTTTAATTCCGTTAAATAAACTACCACCGTTTTCAATCGCGAATTCTGTCACGCTTTTATCGCATCCGGGTTGGTCAGTACCGCCATTCGGGTAGAAATCAACATGACCGATCGCTTCCGTCATACCGAGTCCACCACGGATGAATTGGCTCGCGTCCGTATGGATAATATCCACGTATTTCGCCGCGGACTTGTCCAAACGCACCGGACGGGAAGATTTTGCAAAGTGTGGCTCCGCAGGGTCCAAACCAGTTATTCTACCTAGGGTTAATCCTTCAAAATCCTAAAACCAAATTATAATTAATTGGTATTTTCAAATAAAAACACTTTATTACATCTTGTAGTGTGTATCCAATATAACCAGACATGTGAGCACCCAAAGAATGTCCAATCAAATGCACATGATCCAGATTTTTATTCGTAAACTGCGCAAGATCCGCTAATAAATGAGCGGTAATGGCAGCGACAAGACGAATATTAGCAACTGCTTGTGTGTATGGCGGAGAGGAACCACCTTGCCAATCAACAACAATAACATTTGCATTCACATGAAGTAATAATTCTTTTGTCATTTGTTTGATCTAAAACAAAAATTAAAAAAAAATTAAATATTACAATGACAATGACGCCATTTTTTCTTACCCATGGATGTTGCCCACTCTCGGTGTAACCATGAATTATAACAAAAACCGGTAGTTTCGGATTGATTCCCGATTGTACAATGAGATCAAAATCATCAAGATCAAATTTCGTACCGTTTATTGGCTTCTCACGTGTAAAATATCGCAATTTCGGTTCAACCTAAAACCAAAACATGTTGGTACGTGTTATATATAAGTCGGTTGTTTATTTACCTTTCGTATACTTTCCGGAAGTAACGCAACCGGTCGGTTTTCGCTCGTCCATGGCGATTGCAAATTGAAACAACCATACATTCCATAACACTTTGTCTGTGTTGTTTCTACAAATAAAAGAAATATATTTTAATTAAGTTTACAAAATATGCATAGAAATAACATGTTAAATTAAACTAATGTTACCTTTACCAATGCTTCTGTAATAATTATTATACGAAACTGTTTCTTCGGGATTCTCAACTGTAATGTTAAGAATCGTAAAGATGCTCTGGAAGAGTATCGATGTGTTGTTGATGGCCACCATTTTAACACTTCTTCTTTAAATGTGTATAATTTCAGTCGCAATAATTGATGGCTGCTTGATGTCACATGCCCGCGTGAATGTTTTCTGTTTTTCGGTGGGCGCGCTACATGTGCGTGCGCGCGTTCGTTTGCGCCAGCAGAGATGAACGTGTCAAAGTCCAGGGGTCAGACGCGTTCCTCGCCGGTGATAAGAATCGATAGAAATCCGTCTCGCGGCGACGGCGAATCCTCCGCGCCAGAAATCTATCACTTGCGTGACGAGCGCGCACATGCAGCCGAAGTGGAAGTTCATGTTCAGCGCGATACGCAATAACCAGCAGACGCGCCAGACATCACATCCGCGTGCCGGGTGAAATAAGTAAACACTGCGGACGTAACTCGCGGATTGCGTTGGGGCAGTCGGACGGCGTCAACATCTACGATCGATATCGATTTGCTAGCGCGCTTTTAATTAGATCAATATGTGGTGAAAAATAACGATTAATCGGGTTTATTTTTGGGTATATTTAGAACGACGCAATTGGAATGTTTTTGAGTTATATTCTTATTTATTTACTGATAAAATAATTACTTATGAATTAATTACTAATTAATTATAATATAATAAGTTATAGTTAAATCCTTTGGCATTATTATTAAGTTTTAATATAAAATTTAAGCGTTTTGTTTGATTTTACTGATTTTTATTCCAAAACTTACATAATCACTTTAATATAGGCAACCAAACACACATTTTGTAGCAATACTTTATGTTACTTAAGTAATCTACCCTGTTTCCGCTCCTTGCCCTTGATATAATATTATATGTCATTAATTCTATTAAAAATCGATTTTAGCAATGACATTGAAAGCACACAATACAAAATACTTTCCCAATGCACGTGTGCTCATTCGTCCACACACATTATCACCCCATTAACTTTCAATTCGATCGGGGAACGTGGCTCTATGCAGTTACCCTGGGTGCCGACCGGTGCCAGTCGCAGATAGACGTATCGATTGTGTGAACATCCGCATGATAATGACCCAAATGGCTTCATGACCAAAACACCTCACAGCCCTTTGTGTCCTACTAAACTGATTTAGAATATTCGCGTGCGGAATTGTTAAAGTAGACCCACTTCATGCAGATGTCTTATTAGTAGTTGAAGATGTCTCGAAGCGGGAGCACGTGTAGTGCGCTCACGCTCAAGAAGTGGCTGCCGGTGGAAAACGATGAAATCGTCAAGTGTTTCGCGGATTGTTCGAAAGTGCGTCATGCGTCGGCCATCTTCGCGGAGAGTTTGGCGTTGTTCTTGAATGAAAATGCGTTCGTAAATAGTTATTTAAGAAGGAATACTTTGGATTGTGAACAATTAATAACAGTAAGAAACAGAAGATTTAATTTTTTTAAATAAAAATTAATTTTTTAGAAACTAGAAGAAGTTTTAAATGAATTGGAAAATTTAAGATTTAGATATGAAAAGTGCTACGAGACTTTGAACAAGAATAAAATTCTTAGTTCACTTTTAGATGTAAAGATAAAAATGTGGAAGGATACTTTAACGTTTGAGAAACAAAAAGTCACTTATTACATTCAAGATTTAATCGGAAAAATCGCTCATCTGTATATTTATTACGGTGCTTCCATATTAACACAAACATTTAAGTAAGTTGCCATTAATAAAATAAAATTTTATAAACTAAATGATTATTTGAAGAATTTCAAATGTTTTCAACGCGTTATTAAATTTTGACACAAAGTACGATCTCACCGATCCAGTACTGATAACCAGCAACACCTGCACTTACCTACAACATCCGCAGCGAAAAATATCGATTACAAGATTGCTGCAACTGTTGGCCTTGAATCGAGCAGAATTGTGTGCGCATAAATTGATCGATTGTCTGCTTGAAACGTACAAATCATACGAAGCCCACAACGATGCAAATGGGGACGAATCGGATAATTCCAGTGTAGAAATTTACAAGTTTGTTAAAATTATTGATAATTATGATGTAATTTTTACATATTTCAATATTACTAGGGCATTAACTCATCATATGAACGATGAAGAACTGCAAGAGTTAAAGAAAAACGATAAAAACTACGAATTGAACGTAGAAGAAGAAATTGCGAGGGAAATTTTGAGTGGATATCAAAATGACAACTTTACACATTTAGAGAAACTAATTGAATATGAAGAGCAGAATGTATTGGATCTTCTACAAGTCGCAATTGAAGCAGCCCCTAATATGTTGGGGCATGACGGAATTAAAAAACCCAAAAATGGAGGTACTAAAAGCAGACAACCAAAAATACACATAAAATATAACAGGGAATATTTTACAGGTGAAAAACGTATTAATCCTAAAGCACTTCAAAAAGTCCTCGATTACTATCAAGAAATCCTCTGGGGAGAAGTAGGAAACTACCTAGAACATATAATACTATGGTGGGGACCGTCCCCATTAGCATCCCGCGTCCCTCATTCGTCCCAACATCTCAGGGAGTGGATCACACAGTTTACACCAACCGCACAAATCCCACCCTTTATAATATCAACATTAACCAGCCTAGCAGACGGGTTAGGTGTGCACGTCACTTCCACATCCTGGGACCGCCATTTTCGACTAGCTTTAGTCCATTCGAAAGTCCGGAATGATCCATTGACAGGACAATTATTCAGTGAAATGTTGCAAGACTTGGTAAATCTGTGTAATCAATGCGAGGTTACGAATGAGTGGGTTGTGGGAGCCCCTCTTGATGAATTACCATTAGTTGAACAGATTCCTGTTTTACATCGATTGGGTAAAAGGTAAAATAATTTTTTATTAAAATATTGATTATATGTTGATTGTAGATCATTCTGTGCATACAACACGCCTCTGGGCTGCATCTGAAACGAAAAACTAGCAAACGCATGGAATGTATCATCGTTTTTCAAGATAACGCACTGTGATATCATAAATTGCTTGAGTCAGTTGTCCAATGTGCGATTGGTCGACCATACAATCGCTATTGAGAAGGGTGGATTGGGCGTACACGTCGAGGTGTGCTCCAAAATGAGACATAAACTTGTATCGGAAGTGCAAACGAATATTCAAAAACTCAAAGAAACAGCTGCGGAATGCGTTGAATGTTTGGCTGCAGTATGCACAACTACAAGTCTGGCACATTTACAAATGATATTTCCTAAACCAGGTTATTACTCGCGTGGAGGCGGGGACATTCCAAGCGGTCACACCACTTACGTCTACAAATATTTAGAACAAATTCTCACACCGGTTCTACGCGCAACTGAAGACGTGGTTATCTGTAATATGATTCTTCGCTTGATGTGTGAAGCCTGGTTGGATCACATCTACAAACACAAAGTACACTTTTCCCACAATGGCGCATTACAGCTACTCAATGATTTCGCTGGTGTAGGTGAATGGCTCACACAAAACAAAGATATCAATGATCATATTCGTCTCCAAATGATGAAAAACGAAGTGTTGAGAAGATGCGAAGGCGTTGGACGATTACTACTGCGAAATCCCGGTGAAAAAATCAAAATGACTGACAAACAAAAAGGTAACGTATAAATTTCATACTAAAAACTTCTAATTTTTTACTTCTGTAGATAAAAATGTTTCACCTAAAGCAGACACCAAAGAATTAATGCCTGCTGAAATGTACGTACCGAATCAGGAGCAGTGGCTTGAGCTCCGTGCCGGAAAACGTCGCTTTCTCCTCTTGCATCCGCCATGTTGTTCATAACTAACTCAGGATACAAATCGATTTAAATATATATTATACAGAACTTTTATGTAGTCATAAAATATCTTAAAAAAATGTATGTACACAATCAAAGAAAGTCGTCATTTACAATTTTACGTCAACTGTCAAAGAATCTTTTTTCGTTCGTTCGTACGTACTGAAAGAAAAGTGTTTGTATTTTATATTTTGTATAACAAGCATCTTTGGTATATAACTCGAGCGACCGCGTGAAAATTGCGTATGACTTTGATGATGATATGAATGATATAGAAATGAAAATGAACACAAAGCTGCCTGCCGATAATAACAAACGCAAAACGTAAATAATACTAATTGCAATTAAATTAATCGATAATTAATCATATATCACATGTATTACGTTCAAGTAACTCTAGTCGCGCAGTGTGCTGCTACGTCTTGTTCTCGAATTTCTGTTGTAACGACGCGACGTTCGAATTCTTAATGGGAAAGACTTTACCTTTCGCTGCGGAAGCGGAGCTTACCGTACCGTTGGCGACGTTCGTCGCGCCTCCATTCGTGGTAGCTACCAAAGGCGTGTTTTTAGCGTTGGCTTTCTTTGTTTGTAAAGGCTTCTTAGCGGCGTTGCTGTTGTTGAGCACATCGGGTGGTGCCTTTTGAGTGGCGCTCTTTGGAGGCGTTGAACAACTGACCAAATCGGGGCTGTTCGACGTGGTTTTTAAACCCTTTGGACCGGAAATCACCGGTTTCGTTGAAGTCGCTGGTTTTGTCACGGCCACATTTGGCTTAACACTTGTTTGTGGTTTGGATGCAACTGTTGAGGGTGTAGATGTCGCTGTGGGCGTGTTTTTGGGTCGTGTGGGTGACGCCTTGCGAGTTTTTAGATTCGTAGGCGTAATCTGTCGGGTGACTTGAGTAGGTGTTGTCTTAACAATGGGAGTAGGAGTAGCTTGTGCAGTCGATGTTTTGGGTGCATCTCTAACCGGAGTTATAGTAGTTGTTGAGGGTTTCTTGAATGTCGACAAAGGTTTAGCTTCTACAGTAGCCGTCGGAGCTTTTGGTGTGACTATTGGGTTTTCATATTTGGGTCTATTTACTGCTGACGGGTGGATGTATCCACTTGAAGTGCTACTTGCAGAATTCTCATACCCACGATTCATATTGCTGTATTCACCCTCAGCTGTACCCACGCTTTCAGTTTCATCACTAACACTCTGTGTGTTCTCATACACCGGACCACTCTCTTTGTTAGCTTCAGCAAGCGCCCTCTCCTTTTCTTTCTTTTTGCGTGCCAAAGTAGACGTAGAATAAATAGAATCAAAGTTTCTGTTTTGTATTTCATTGACAATTTCGCCCAGTAAACCGAAACTTTCATTGCTCGTCGAATGGCTTGTAGTTTTTGATGGTGGTGACTGAGGAGACTTTAAAGAAGCCGGAGATGTGGGAGAATCCTCAATGACAGCGTAAATATTATCGTTTGATGGCGACGTGCTTTCGCTACGTGCAAGCGGAGCAGTCAAACAATCGTCGTACTGATTCTGGTACTGTGATTGAATTTTATTTTTAGCTGGTGGGCTTCGTGGCCTGTCTTGTTTGGTTGGAATAGGTACACTTGGGGCCGGTGGTGGCGGACTCTTGGGTCTAGA